CCGTCTCTAGCGTCCAACAAATAAAGATGTGGGAGTGTGAGGATAGGGGGGCACGCATGTATTTATAAACGAGGGGTTATCTCAATGGAGGTGTGTGAAGTTCGAGTCAGTGGCACAACGGCCGTTGCGGGAGTAAAAAAAGGCATATCATATGACATTTGTTTTTCTTTCGAAGCAGGGGCCTTTATAGCTGAACCTCAAGATTATGGGACATTAGGCCTACCGACAGTCCAGAGAAAACAAGTATTTTTGCTCTCTTATGCCGTTATTGCTCGTAACTTAATCCAACAAGTCCCACTCTTGTTTAGGATCAACTAGACGAAACTCAGTACCACATTGTATATGTGATGAAGGGATATTAGAGTAAATAAAAAAAATTCACGGCCAAAAATGTGTTTCTTACAGTATGAATGATCAATTTGATCAAGAAGTACATCATTATCCTGACATACCAAAGTATTGCTCAGTAGCGGAATGACAATGCTCATTGTAATTACAGATATCTATCTCGCTGTTCCACCTTTCAACTAAAATCATCTTTATCGAAGAGGACTTAAGGAGGTTCTTGGTATCTGGTACAGGACCAAAACCCCTTTTCTGGGGGGGGGACCAAGTGAGTGCTTCACAGCAATCTTGTATTCCTTAAACAAATGATATAAAAAAATGAATTTCACAAAGAATTAGAAAGAGTACCAATGATTAATCCTAGAGGACCTGATTGTGACTGACGGTATTATCTAAAATGGATTGTTTCTTGTTCAGAGTATGCCACTTCCAGTCAACTCCCGAAGAAACCACTCAAATCTTGATCTAGCAGGCGATATCGTAAACATCCATTGGTACCTTGGATGAAATAGAGAGAGTAGCTTTTATTTGTCTCATCCAAGGTATCAGTACAACTTCTAGTTGCAAAATAATGGATCTGTAAATAAGCGGGGGGACGGAGGGGGGAATTTGTAATGGCTGCTTGTTGCTAAAGAAGTTGGTCATATTCTAATCAGCCACCTGCAGAATGCAATATGGCGTGATGGGCTCAGGGTGCCAGGGAATATTCGTGCATGCCACTTTTCTTTGTGTGTGGACGCTTGGACCTCTAATGCCGTAAAATAGCATACACAAACACTCTGATTGCTTCATATTCTACGGGTTTCAGATGAACCAGTCCGAACTAATTGGCGCACTTATCACGCACCTCAAGGTGACACACAAAAAAATTGTTACCGTCCTCTACATGCTTGGCATTGTGGTCATGATAAATACGGACGATTTCTATCCGTATTCGTGCTTCGCACTGAATACTATGCGCTAACTGGCAAGTGGCAGCGGTTCAAGCACAAGGCGTCCGATGGGGGGGGGGGTCCGATTCCTTGGCTACGAGACAATATAGCAGCTATAGTGCGAGTGGTGAATGTAGCTGGGAGAAATCCGCGCATGGGCCACTCAGTGGAGGCCTCAATCACCAATGAGGCGACAGTTGACTCCTGTCAGGGTCCTCGGCTGACACAGCCGTGTGCAGTCAACCCAGGTACCCGGCAAAAACCCAGGCCAAAGGGTCCATCGCATCTTTCCCCCCATGTTGATGATCCCTTAGGTCCCCTCCCAGGGCCGGGCTCCTGTGTGCCTAATCAGCTCGCTGTTTCCCCAGCGCTTTGGTCAGATCGATTAGGCACTCAGTGCCCGTACAGCCTGGCTCGCCAGCGCAGCAGTTCCACCGACAGCTGCTCTCGCACGCGCATCCTGTCCAGCTCCGTCAGGCTTCTCCCAAACGCATGGAGCGCGTCCCGGAAGCCCTTCGTCTGGACCCCTGATGCAGACAGACCAATCGCCCGCATGTTCATGCAGAACTGGTACTTGCGTTCCTTCTCACGCCGCCGCTCCCCCAGCGTCTGCGACATCTGTCGCCAAAGCATTGTCCGCCGTGCATCTACTGCACCTGCCATGCCTGCCGACTGGATCATCGCAGCCACCTTTTGGTTCTGCTGCGCGCGCTTCTCGGACGCCTGCCACTCCCATGCGAACTCGTGCGGCCGGCCTATCGGCACTAGCGTCACTTCTTGCCGTCCGTTCCGTTCTTCATTCGACCCTGTCACTTCTCGAATGAACAGATCGTAGTGCGTCTCCGGCCCAGGGCCCGCGTGCAGATGCCGCACCAGCAACTCACTCCGTTCTTGCCGACCAGGTACAATGCGTGCCTCGCGCTCCACCTCGACCGCTGGACATGCTTGTACAGCACGTCACGCACTCTGTTGTGACACAGTGTCTGTCCGAGGATCCTTCGAAACAGGTGATGTTATGCCAGCCTCTTGTACATGCACTTTTAGCATGCCCTCGGTGGCTTCCCCAGTCCCACATCCAGCACTTAATTTGCAGGTGCTACATCGTCTCGTAGCCAAGGAGTCGGACGCCTCTAGCCGGGATTTTTGGATGTCATGTTAAGGACTTGTAACCATTGTGTGCTACGAAAGCAGTCTCATCAAAGCTTCCCAGCATCTGGTCTCATCGGTATCCACGGTCCTGTATCGGGCTCCGAACTGAATGACCGTCTCACGAAAATCTTGTATTTGTCTTCCAAGTCCTTCTCATCAATAGATCTTTCAACGAAGAATTTGACTAGAGCATCAATTTCGATACTAACACCGTCCCAGCTAAGCGACCAGTAGGATTCACCATCCTGAAATAGTATTGTATCTTGTTCGGACTCACGAATACATACGTCAACCTCCCAAATGTACCAGTCGCCGTCCGGTTGAGGCAAATTGTAGAGTAAGTACCCATTGATGTTTTTGATAAAATAACCAGTATAGTTTGAGTTCGGGTTAAGAAAACCAGGATAGTTTAAATTCGGGTCCGCCATAGAATCAGACATATTTTGAAAAGAAAGGGAAGGAGAGAGAGGGGAGTTACACTCGCGATTTTTCCTTGGATGTTTAAAGAAATGAGTCATATGTCTGAGTCATCGACATGCGAGATGCAGCATTGTGTAATGACGCATGGTACACGGAAGCAGCGAATGCAAGTAATATTCCATTTCATTGTGTCTAATAGCTGGGGCCTTTCATTTCGTGACGTGGTAAACGGACCCCTTGTTTCAGTAATTGGACCACACTGCCAAGACGCTACGTCCGTCAGACTCGCTAATTCCTCCACATTCAAAAGCAGTCTCCCCCAAGTAACCAAAACCCAGCTAGCTTAACATCAATGCTCATTGAAACTGCAACTGGAAATGTGAAGCATCATACTGCTGCCTAGTAAGGTATTATGATGTACGCCAACCATATTCTCAAAAGTGTTTAAGGACCGAGGTAAACAAACGATGGGAATTTACAATTACGCCCCCTAGCCATTTAGGCCCTCAATACTCCATCTATTTTCACAATGCGCTAATCGTTCACTGTATCTTTCAACCTAGTTGAGGAAAGTAGCTGGAATGGGGTCTTTGATGCTAGATCTTGATAAATCCCCTCTATTGGATACGACAAGATGAGAGACTAAGCGTTATGCTGTGGGTGTCCTAGCTGCTTGGCAGAAGTGGATAATGACGTCATCGTATGGACAGTACAAAATGAACGAACAGATTGAACGTAAAGATAGCCTAACAGACCAGGACCTAGTAACATTGCGTCTTCTACGGGTCTGATTTCCTCATAACCTCCAAACTTACTGTGCTCGCCAACGATAAAAGCCTTTACATCAAAAGTCATCCTCTCTTAGCCTAATAGAAAATCAGGGTGGGGTGGTGACCTGACACTGACCTAAAAGAAGTATTTGTAAAAATTGGTCTTGTTTAGAATACACGTTCCTTTCGAATAAGACATGGTCAAGTAATTTGAATATTCCGACAGATATGGGCAATAATCTGTTAGTTAATCATCGATTGTTGTTAACCTTTTTGGATCTAATACGATGACATAACAGAATACATTATCTGCTTATGAGGTGATCGGTCCTTCGAGGTCAATCTCGCATATGTATGAAATGTCCTTCGCGTCGGAAAAGCTATCACTGCAAGTGGTCATTAAGAACGTCAAAATTCTTTGTTACAGCTTGGACCTAGTCTCGAGAGCTGACATAAAGACCCACGTCTCGATAATCGAAATATATTTTCAAGTTGTTATGCTACATCAAAAGGCTCTCTAGTTAAAAGAGCACAGTCTTATTCAAACAGCCAAATTATATTTAGCTGGAATCTGAAAATCAATGATTCATTCTATAAAGAAATGAAATTGACAAAGAAGCATCGAGTCATTTCCCTATGATCATTTCAGGGTAGAGAGTATCATTTTATTCTAAATAATCCTGAATGAGAGTATCGTTGTCAAATATTCTGAAACATTTCGTACACATGACGATCATGCTTGGCCCCCTTCCCATCCCAGAACGACTATCTAGTTTCGCGAAGCTCTCATCGCTTGCTTTATTGTTTCAACCACGACACTACTTACGACGTCACGTTGCAAAAGAGCTGTGCATGCTTTCCATTCAGCATTGCTCAGCAAGTACTAATAGTAGAGGGGACAAGTCTTCACATTACCAAGGAGTGCCAAAATTCAGTGTACCTCAGGTAACAGCTTCATGATCCAGCACATGTCGATGTTGGAATCAAGAATGTCTCGGTCTTGTCCTAGTTGTTGATTGAATGGTATCTGTTATACCCATGTCCATTTTTTAGAGGTTGACGGTTTTTAATAGTTAGAACTGACGGCCACCACAAAAACATCCCCCCTTCTGGCGCAAACATCCACACGGGTTTGGATTTCGCTTGCTCGAATGTCGCTGACCAGGTCAGGAATAGGTCAAGCATTCTAAAAGAATACGGACATGGTCACTGGTTGCGTGCTGCCTTGGCCGTTTCTATGGCTTTGAACCTTGAGACAGATTGTGGACAGTCTCGATCGGCTAAAAGCGTTAGGTCTACGCCGCGTAAAAATGAGCCGTTCGCAAACGATCTCAGCAGTCTACTCAAAAGTAATTTCTGTCGAATCATAAATGGCCCAGACCCGTTACTCGCAAGAGTCCGCGTAATCTAGACTTCCAGCATTCCTCAGATCGTATATGGATCGACCCAGACAGCTTGACCAGGCTGACTTCTATCCGGGTCAGGTTAACATCCACTCAATATTGTTGTTTTGGTCTCCGTTCGTCTTTTCGACCACTAGTGGTACTTACTTCAATATCTGCATTGAAAACTTCGTTGGTCTTTGAGAATACACCCCTATCGCAGAACGGGACTCGTAATAAACAACCAACTTTGGTTTATAGTCGTGCAAACACACCCCCCAGGTCCACAGATTCAGGAAGGTCAATACCAAACAGTGTATGCAACTTTTCCACTGCTTGCTCTGGTGTCAAGCTGGAATTTTCCTCTCTCCCATCCAGGTAGTTGATTTTCATTTGACAGTTGGCCATCGTAGCACTGTAATCAGGCCCGTGCACCGCTGCCATAAATTTGTTTTTGAAGATAGAACTCGGGTGAGCGCTGACATAAAAGTTTGAAACTTCAAGATCTGATTCCACCGCTGGGTGCGAGTGAAACGCGTACACATTTTTCCAAGCTTCTTTCAAGTAGATTTGCACCAGATACTCAGAGCCGCCGAACGCCTCCTGACCCTTGACGTCGACTAAACGAACTTTGTTCAAGGGCAGCTCCTGTACCTCATCGATAACAAAGCGCAAAGGTCCTGAAAACGTCGCCGAGCCAAAACCCACGTCGGCAAGATACGCAGTATCTTCTACTTCCACCAACAGCAGCATGTGAGTCCTAGGGGGAACGTAGCCCTCCCGTTCAATCCAATATACACGACCTGATAAGGGCTGAACCTTCTTGTATCCGATCTCTCTCAGAGCATTCATGAACAGGATGTTTTGTTCATAACAATAGCCCCCACGTTTCTGATCCACCAGCTTCTTTTCCACCGCATTCAAACTCATCGACACGGGCCGACCCAAAATTGGGTCCAAGTTCTCAAATGGTATTGCTTGAGGATGTAACCGATGAAGTTCTTTCAGTGTACTAAGAGTTGGCGGAGGAACACTAGTTCCGCGAAATCCTATGCGAGTCAAATAGGCTGCCAAGTTCATAGATGATAGATGGTTGCGATGTGTTGTTGACCTGGTCACGTGTCTTTAAGAGGGTCCGTGCACCGCCTGTAGGACCCGACTCATGCAGGCTCTACATTTTCAGCGATGGCAACGCGCGTTGTGGACTGACAGTCACTGTCAAATAAGAACTGATGAAATAAATGGGATATTCATCGTCAAATCCAAACTATCAGCAACTTGGAGCAGGTAGTCTACTTTGTTCATCACACCATCTTAACGATAATTTACACTGAGTAGCAACTTTCACGCCCATGCTGACCATGACCACCGTCTGTGGAAATGCCCATACAAAGAAAGTCACAAATAGATATAATGTATGTTATAGAAGTTTGAATAAACCGATAAGGTCTGCTGTTTCCGGCAAGCTATTATGAAAGAGCGTGCACAGCTTTTCCACTGCCTCCTCTGGCATTAAGCTAGATTTACTTCCCTCCCATCAACGCAGTGGATGCATCATTGGCGATTAAACATCGTGGCAAAGTATTCCAGCCGTTTACAGCTCGAATAAACTGATTTGATTAAATAGGAGTATGTACAGACAAAAAAATTGAAGGCTTCAAGATCTGATTTGATGGCTGATTGCCAGTGAAACGCGTACACAATTCTCCAAACATTATTCAAGATATTTGCAACATATACTCAGAGTCTCCAAACGCTTCCTGTCCTTTGACTTCTGTTAGACGCATTTTGTGTATGGGAAGATCCTGTGGTTCGTCGACTACTATACCTACAGGTCCTGACGAGGGAGCCAAACCGAAAACCACATCGACAAGATTATCAACTTCCACCGATAACATCATGTGTGTTATTGGAGCAACGAAGACATTCCTCAATCCAATACACTTGACCTGTTAAGAACTTGACGTTTTTGCATTCAAAATCTTTCAGTGCATTCATAAATAAGATGTTTTGTTCGTGGCCGAACCTCTCAAGGCCCGAATCCCATAGCAATAGGCGTCATATAAGTCTCGTACGGTGGCAGTGCTTTCTGTATGGATTCACCATCTCTGCTGTAGGATGAGGCATAGCTGTAGATACCTGCGTCTCGATCATTGAAGCCAAGATTTACGGCCAAGCATGCAGAATAGCCAACTTTGTCCATGTTGCCTGCCATACATGCACCCAGTCCGGCTCCGTGGTTTCCTGTCACATAAAAAGGCCGCATATCCGCTTGTAGAGTCGCATAGGTAGCTGGGTCAATCAGATTGACGGACTGTGTCGTGCTCAAGGAATATTGAGGGTTGTTATGTGCGCGGTTCTTCCCTTTCAATTTACTGAGCAAGCTTTTCTTCTCCGTGGAATTTTCCGTATAGGGCTGACCGAAGACATGCTTCCATATATATTGTGTTTTGGAGGCAGCCTCTTCCATATCTTTCTCTTCCACCTTGTCTTCATGATCCAAAAACAGGCCTACCGTCATGATCATATCCCAGTAATACGTGGAACTGAGCATATGTGTATGCCAGCACAGATCAATGTCCAAGGTGGGTACAAGCACACCGGCTTTGAGACTTACTAGAGCAACCCAAGCGCGGTAGCGCAGGAGCGCACTTCGTGTGTCAAGTGTTTCGGGATTTGAGAGCCATCCAAGCTGCTGGACACTGTCGACAAAACGAAATTGACGCTGTACGGCCCCCACCAAATCTATGCTGGCATGACTCAATGGGTGACTTTGCTTGTAGTTTTTAATCATCAGAGCAAGTCGGTGTCGAATGTCAGCCCGACGCGCGTTCACAGCTCGACCTTCTTTGCCAGGAAGATAGATGGACATCCTCTTCAGCTCCTGAAGCAACGCTGCGCTAATCTTATCAATGTCAAAGTCGTACATCCGTCCCAGTTCCTCCGCAGACCAAATACCTCGCTGCAATTCGCCATAAATATCCTTGTTGTTATCAGGCTCGGAAACATTGCCCCACATTGTCGCTGTGCTCACGCGTTTGTTGGCAATGCACCGAAGCAAGACCGCCGCATAAGGGTCCTTGCTGAAGTAATAACCATCATGAGGTGAAAAGATGGCACCGCGCAGGCGAAAACCTGTCTCGTCATCACCTCCTTCTGACCAGCGTTGCACATCATCGATCCAGGCTCGACCTGTCACTTGCGATGCTCCAAACGTCTTTGCACAGTTAGCACACTTAGTTTTCCATTGATTCGCCACAAGATCATCAAAAGAGACTGTGCATGTCGTACGACAATGCGGGCAGCGTATAGGAGCAACCTCGCTTTGCGACATGAGCGGATTAAACGGAGTGTGTGTGGAGCGCTCCCACGTATCCTGCGCTGCATTGTTCACAACCCGTGCCTCATCAATAAGAATAGTTTTTGCAAGGCTTTCAAGAGGAAAATCAAGCTTTCTAAGAGGGGCATACGGCGTATCTCGATGTGAATCTTCTAAAATACGCGATGGGTTCAATCGGTAGACGTGCCAAATGAGCGCAACGTCTAAAGGCGGGAGATGCGTATCCGGCACATCAATTGCCTGTACCTGAATACCTTTTACTCCATCTCTGAAAGAGGCGAAATCAGGGGCAAAAGCCTTAACTTGAGGTAGGGTAGAAAGGACTTGCCGGACATAGAGGTCAAAGCGGTACAGCGCTCGAGTGACAAACTTGGCCCATAAAAATCCATTTGCATTGTTTAATTCAGTCGGGGGACTTTCATCCATCATCGAAGCCTTATACGTGGGTGGCGCTGAACCATCCTCTTTTTGGACTCGACTCCGCAAGGCACGGAATGCCGCAAGCAGCCGAAGATGGGATGTTAGATCTTGAGGAGCCACAAACTCCCTTAAACGTGACTCAATTTGTGCGACATACTTCTTATCGTCAGGTCGGGCCCGGTAGGGTTGAATCACTGTTGACCGAGCGATAAGGGAACGGTCTACGTTACCACCTAACATAGCACTAACACGTTCAAAAAACACAGGAACCGTGTCAGTCTACGTGCCTTGGAATAACTTTGGTTGGGCTTACGTTAGATTAATATTAATAAGGAACGCTCTTGGACCAACAAAGCAAGGTGACACGAGTGGGGAGCACAAGCCTACAAGTACTACGCGTATTTTCAGCTCTAGTATCAAATCACGCGACATGTCTTGTAAATGGAAGTGGTGACGATTGGTTGTCATGTCATTTGCTATACGTATAAGTTCATCAAGTCAATTCCTCCCTATATAAACACATTCAAGACGACACAGCGCCAGTCAACGACAAGACACCACCATGGGCCGCCACGTTCTTCTGGTGCTGTCCGATAGCGATCTGCTTAGCGATCGGGTCTTCGACATCAGGCAAAAGGTTCCATGAAATGAAGTCGTTGGTCATATTAGGCTGAAAGTCGGGCGCTACAATCTTCAGGCGCTTGCAATAGTTCGTCACCTTGTTCCAATCCCTCTGGACATTCGCACAGTCGCGGCTCAGATAAACGAACGAGCGTTCAAATATCCTCTCATTGACAGGTGTGTTCATCGTCTTCTTGTACAGCTTCAATTCTTCCCAAGCTTGCACAGGGAAGCTCGTGACATAGTCGGTTGCGCGCTTGATCGCACGGAGGAAGGCACGTACTTTATCGGGTTGGCTCTCCAGGAATGGCGTGTTCGCAATGTACAGGATTGAGCAGAAGCAGCAGCAGCCCAAGCACGCAAGCTCATCGATGCGGAGCATCTTGACATCACTAGGATCGCGACCGTTCTCTTTGCACCACTCCTCCAGTTCGACCATCTGGACATTCTCAAGACCAATACCAGCATCGATTTGGCCACGCTTCAATGCATCGGCGACATTCATACCGACACGCACAGTCGTGTATTCGTCCTGGGAGATACCATGGCTAGCAGCAAGCTCGTCCACCTGGATCTTACCGAATTCACCAACATAACCAATGCGCTTGCCCTTCAGCGACTGGAAGTCGGTGATGCCCGAGCCCTCCAAGTAAATAATACCTGTAAAGGGCTCATCCATCAGAGTGCCGATTGACTTGATCGGATAACCACGGGCTTTGCCTGCAATGGTATGAATCATGGCCTTGAGACCCATGTCGACCTTGCCGGAACCAATGATTTCAGTCACGTCTGAAGGATCGTTGGGTTCAAGGATGGCCACTTTGATGCCCTCCTGGGCAAAAAAGCCCTTGGCCTGTGCCAAAAAGATGGGGGCATGGTAAGGAGTCGCGTGCCAGTTGAGTAGAAATGTGATCTTCTCAGACGACATAACAAATAAGCAGGAGTACGGAAGCAAAATGTAAGTTCGGGCCCCCTTTTATGTCCCGACGGGCGACCGGGATGGGGCGACCCAACATCGGGCAGGTGGCTGATGGCCCGAGCCAATGTCCAATTAATGAACAGGATTCATGTATGGTTTGTAAAGATAGACCGTCCCTAGTAATTTATACATCGCAGCTCTACTTATCTTTGGGGGATTGGATCGGGAAGTTGAAAGTTACTTATACTGCCGTCCCTGCATCTGATTGGATGGGTGAGTCATTTATGCTCCGACAGATTCATTACAGACAGCGATGAACTAGGCGTTTTCCACTGGTTCCCTATACCACAACTGATTTTAAAACATATGAAAAAAACGCTTCCGCTTAGAAAGTCACACTGTAGACTTGGAAACCACTGGAGGCAGCATCTTTTATAGAAATATTACCATTCTCATCCATGGAGATCTGTTGCTGGGTCTTGGTGTTAATAATCGCATGGCCCTTGCCGTTACCCAGGTCAATAATAGAGAACTCGGCAGCCTTATTTTTGTTGGAATCCAGAGACAGAGATTCGGTCAGGTAGAGGCGATGATCCTTCGACGCAGTCGAAATGAAGAAGCGCTGATCCTTCGGCTGCGTACCCTGCCAGTGTACAATGAATCGCTGCTCAGGCGCATCGTGGGACTTGCGTACGGGCATTGAGCCTAGCTTGTTGTCCTTGTGGCTCAATGCATGTTTGCCCACCTCAAATGAGAGGTAGCGACCCTCGGTAATGTCACCACGGACCGGCTTGTAACCCGTCTCGACACGGAGACTCTCTTTCTCATCAAACTTGCCGTACGGCACCTTGGGTTGGACATTTTTAAGGAATATAGCCGAGCACACATCAGCACCATTGTACTTGTTCGTGAAGGGGTCCTTAGAAGCCTGAGGCACGTGTGGAAGCTCGAGCACACTAGTGTCTTTGTGCGAAAAGTCGAGCATGTTAACCAGGTTGCTCAGGTGCTGACGGCGCCAAGAGTTCATTTCCTTGGTGTGGAAAGGCTTTCCATTTGCCTTTGCCCATTCCTCCAAGAAAAGGATCTGACTCTCGTGTGCAGCATGCTCGGTAAACACGCCGCCATTGCGCGACCAGGGAGAGACGGCGTAGAACGGCACACGGAAGCCTGGACCAGTAGGCACCTTCCCCAATGTCTTGTTATAGGGATCGGTTATCCACTCACCCGGCGTGTCCTGAGGTGGAAGAGGGGCAACAACGTGGTCTGCCCAGCCACCCGTCTCATCGAATGAGTAGAACAGCACGGTGGAGTCCCAGCTCTTGCCCTTCATCACAGCATTAGCCACCAGCGTTTGGATCCAAGCGCCATCCTTCGGTGTGTATGGAGGGTGCTCGGACAGCTCCATAGGAGCAACGACATACGAGACCTCAGGCAAAGTGCCATCCATGGCATCCTGCACAAAGCGATGAAGACCAGGGTGCGACACCGCCTGCTTGGCAAGCTGGGTCTTGTGCTTGGCCGCCTTCTGATACTGGTCCCAGCCGACGAGCGTGTCATCGCCAAAGTTGTCCTTGTCTTGGTAAACCTGGAACGTGATGTTGGCGTCGAAAAGGTACTCAGGTACCGTCTTCCACTTGAGCGGACGGCACGAGAATGGCGAACCATCATCCGCTGTGAGACAGCGGGGATCCTCATTGTTGTCAATGACAGGGCCGCCGAGCTTGACATTATCGCCACCCACGGCGCTGCCATTCACGTTAATTGAGCCAGAGAACCACGAGGCACGGTTGGGATCAGTCGAAGAGATGACTGACTCGTAGTAGCTGTCAGCAATGGTAAAGTTGCCGGCCAGAGCGTACTGCGTCGGAATGTCTTGGCGGCGGTAGTAACCCAGACTGTAGGGCGTGTTGTCCATCGCCCAGCGGTCGATCTGACCGTTGTTCCAGGCAGCGTGGTTCTGGCGCCAGTCGTTCGTACCAGCAACCATGCATTGCGTGCGTTCCTTATAGTCACCGCCCTGGTATGTAATGTGCCAAGGAAGCAGTTCCGTCACGTCTTTCGGAGGGTAGTAGTCCGGCTTCACATCCATACCGACCTTCGACATGCCGCCGCTCACGGGCTGATGAAACACATCTTTGCCCGTGTTCTTCGAGACGTGCACATTGGGGTCCTGGAAGCCCCGAACACCGGCCATAGTACCAAAGTAGTGGTCAAAGGCACGATTCTCCTGCATGAAGAGCACAATGTGCTTCACATTCTTCAGCTCATCATGCGCAGCATGAGCAGAATTCAGCGTAAGCGCTACCGTGGTAGCCACAGCGGCAGTGGTAAGGCGGACCATGGTGGTAATAGGCACCAAACGGTGTGTTCAGCTCGTCCGCAGTTATGGCTTGCGATTCCTAAAGCATATCAGGCACACGTGTTGATAAAGAAACCAATGAGCGTCAAGTAATTTCAGGGCTTAGTGACATTCCCCATATAGATGCCTCTCGATATGAAACGTGCAAAATTCTCGCACGTGCATCAAAGTAAACAAGCGAAAGATGTACAAATAACGAGCGTTCTAAAAACCTAGATCTAAAGAGTCACACTGTAAATCTTAACCAAAGCGCCGTCAGCGAGCGAGAGCGAGCCATCCTTGCCAATCGACAGCGACTTGCCACTCGCATCGTCTCTAACTGAGTAACCAGCGCCGTTGCCCATGTCAGTGAAAGAGAAAGACGCAGCGTCACTCTTGTTCTTCGAGAGCTTCATCGACTTGGTCACGTAGACACCCTGAGGCGTAGTGATGTGGAAGCTGTTGTCCTTTGGCTCGCTGCCGAGCCAGTGGACAACGAAGAGCTGGTTCTTGTCGTCGCGCTTCGAGTTCACACGGCTGGAACCAAGCTTGCCATTCGCATGGCTCAGAGCGCGGCCATTGGCCTCCAGAGTCAGATAGCGACCCTCTGTGATGTCACCACGCACGCTCTTGTAGCCCTTCACCACCTCCATCGAGTTACCAGAGTTCTGCTTGCCATACGGCACAGGCGGGAACACAAGACCGATGTGCTTGAGCAGGCACACAATGCCACCATTGTATCGGTCCAGAATCTTGTCCTTCGACGGCGTAGGCTGAGGCGGCAGATTAAGCACACGGGTGTCCTTGTTGCTAAAGTCGAATGCCTTGACCAGGTTACTCAGCTGCGAACGACGCCAGTCGGGAACCTCCTTCGAATGGAAGGGCTTGCCGTGCGCCTTGCCCCACTCCTCCATAAACAGGATCGTGCTCTCGTGTGACGCGTGCTCCGTGAACACATGGCCACCGCGCGTCCAGGGCGAGACAATATAGAAGGGAACACGGAAGCCAGGGCCAATAGGCGAGTTACCATTAATAGGCAGGTAGGGGTCGACCATCCACTCTGAAGTAACGTTCTTTGGCGGGTGAGGACCCATCACATGGTCAGCCCAACCACCTGTCTCATCGTAGTTATACATCAGCACAGTCGAGTCCCAGTCCTTGCCGTTCATCACAGCCTCAGCCACCTTAGCCTGGAGCCAGCCACCGTCCTTGGGCATGAACGGTGGGTGCTCAGCCAGGTTCTGGGGGGCAACAATGTACGACACTTCCGGAAGGTTGCCGTTCTTCGCGTCCTCGTAGAACTTCTCCAGACCAGGGTACGAGGTACCACGGCGAGCAAGCTCGCCCTTGTTCTTCGCGGAATCCTGGTACTGCTGGAAGTAGCTGAGCGCGTCGTCACCAAAGTTATCCTGGTCCTGGTACACCTGCCACGAGATGCCAGCGTCCTGCAGGTGCTCGGGAACGGTCTTCCACTTGAGGGGATAGCAAGTCACTGGACCGGCACCAAAGTTGCGGCAACCGTCAATAAGAACGTTGTCCAGGACAGGGCCGCCCATCTCCTCATTGCTACCGGGAACATTGCTGCCTTCACGGGGATTGATAGTTCCCGTGAAGAATGCAACACGGTTGGGGATTGTCATGGCGATAATCGACTCGTAGTACATATCACCGACCGTAAACGAGTCGGCCAGCTTCCACTGGATGGGAATGTCATCCTCCTTGAAATAACCAACACTGTAAGCCGAGTTACGGAGAGCCCATCGGTCGATCTGACCTTTGTCGTAGGCAGCATGGTTGAAGATCCAGTCATTAAGACCTGCTAGCATGCATTGAGTCTTCTCCTTCCAGTCACCTCCAGCCCAGTTGAGGTAGAATGGCTTTAGGTAATGAACGTCTTTAGGAGGCTTGGGAGCAAGGATGGACTGATCAACAGGCTGGTGGAACACATCCTTGCCTGTGTTCTCGGAGACGTGTACATTGGGGTCTTGGAACCCACGGACACCGGCCATAGTGCCAAAGTAGTGATCAAACGCACGATTCTCTTGCATGAAGAGCACAATGTGCTTCACCTTCTTGAGGTCTTTGGTATTCGTCCAGTCCTCAGCAGCCATAGCGGACAGCGCAGAGAACACAAGCGTGCCCACCAGAACAGAGCACAGGTTCACCATGTTGACGGTAGTGTGAGAGCTAGCAACACGGTCTCAAAGACTCTATCAAGTTATATTTTTGGGCATCTGTTTCTATACCTTGACAATAATTCGTATATGATTGGTATTTCGCTACACGTGCGGGGATTGGTATGTGTACCTCCACAACGAAGCATCGGATAACTACGAACAAGTCCGCTGCACTGGGGGCTGAGCTTGCAGAACCTCTGGCTGCTCAACAATCGCCATGGCCATGCCGCTCGCCAAATGGACAAGCATGTGACAGTGGAAGGCCCACACGCCTGGGTTATCAGCCACCCATCGGATGACTGCGTGTCCCATCATGGGCACAATCACCGTGTCTCGTTTCATCTTCCGGTTCAAATTGTAGACTTGGCCCACATCCTCATAGTAGTCAAACCCTCCGAAATTGGGGTCTGCCTCCCCTGTCTCCATCACCCAAAACTTGTGTCCATGCAGGTGGAATGGGTGCGGGGAATCGTCCTGGTTGTTGATGACCATTTCCATAACTACTGGTCGGCTGGGATGCGGACTCGCCACGAGCTCATGACTGGGATCAAGGATATCTTGATCATGCCAGCCTTGCACAGTGGAGGTGTTAGCATAAGAGATGCGGTGCAACAGGGGCTGGCGTTCACGGCCATGGCGTCCATATGGGCGCCACGTTGAGCCATTCATGAAACCCATAGGTACAACGCCGTATCGCTCTAGGATTGGGGCTGTGACAAAGACGAACTCACGGTGGTCACCCTGGTCAAGCCGGAGCGGGGGTGCAGGATCGGGGATAAGAGGAACTAGCGTGTCCGGCTCCAAGTCATGGCACGGTTCTTCCGGAAGAATTGTGTCAGTAACATTGGGGTTCCACGGCAATGTCGCAGGTAATTGGCTCTGGAACCAGCTGCCGTGCCAGATCCTGTCTGTCAAGCCACGCTTATAGCTTCGTAGGCGCAGCAAGGATTTCCAATCATCCTTGCTCTCCTCTCCACTCTGCCTTGTATCGTATGCAATGATAGCCTTGGCGCCGAGCTCCATCACAGGGTTCGTGTACTGGAAACATTCTGCGGACATGTCAGCCCGCATCCATACTCGCGAGTCTTTGCTTTTGGGCTCCCGGTGCAGAATAACCGAGTAGCGTTGACCAGGAGCAATTGGAATGCGATGGACACGCACAGGCTCGACCAATGTACCATCCGCCTCAATGACCGTCATGGTATGACCATCGACGCTAAAAGTGATGTCGGCGAGTGCACCCACATTAACGAGTCGAAGACGGTAGGCCTGCTTGGGATCCAGACTGAAGGTAGAATATTCACCCACTTGATCGACGTCACCAGCGGGGCAGGGTACACCAGTTAGACGGCTGTGGTGGCAAGAAAATACATGCTTGCCATTTATCAGTGCATTTTCAGGTACCGGCTCAGCTTTCTGAAGCCAACGCGAGACGTAAAAGCCAAGGCTAATGGGACCAAATTGATGGTAGTGATCACCCAAGGCAATGGCCACTTCCTCATTCCAATGGGTATTTGCATCTGGAAAGCGCGTGGAAAGTTTCTTACGCTCATCGGTACGCGAATGGACAATGAACATACCCCACAAGCCGTCGGCTCGTGACGTGCCGACATGCGAATGATACCAATGCGTTCCAACATCTTCCGGATGCACGAGGAATCGGTACTCTCGCTCTTCCCCTGGAAGTAAAGCACAGGAAGTGAACGCTGATGCGCCATCCATGACTTGTGTGTTCCTCATGGAGAGGCCATGCCAGTGGAACGTAAACTTACGGTCTGTCCCGTCCGGATGCACATCATCTCGTTGGGATGAGAGAGGCGGCGGCGGTATGGTAAAGTTATCATAAATGTGGTTTCTTACGCGAACCACCACTGTATCACCTTCTGTAGCCTCAATGATGGGTCCTGGGAATTGGCCATTGATGGTGTACATTAATCGCGGGATACCGTCAGGCGACTGCTCTGCGCGCTCCACTGTCCAGTCGAAAACACGCTCACGAGGTAGCTCCGTAGAATTGTAGCTAGGGTCCATTGCAAGAGGACCCGTTGTCACTCTATCTGTAGCGAACGCGTCGATTGTGCTCAAAGGGTTCTGAAAGCCGATATTCCACAAGCGCCCAAGCGACTGCGCCACTAACGCATCCGTGTGGTTTAACCACACATACATAGCCAAAAGTACACTTGTCACCAGAAGCAGCAGACTTGGCGCTATTCGCCAAGCCTTCGGTCTCAGAGACATCATGATGGGAGACGGCCTTCCTGGGAAGCGTCGTTTCCGCTCATAGGAGCGCGACCGCACGTGTATTACCTTGCATAAATGTGGAGGGTATGACAAAACTAACTCAGCTATTGACATGTGGCGGGCACAGGGGGGCGAGCCTGGAGGACCTGGGGCTGCTCAACAAAGGCCATAGCCATTCCACTGGCAAGGTGCACATTCATGTGACAGTGGAAGGCCCATACACCAGGATTGTCGGCTACCCATCGAATCACCGCATGACCCAACATAGGCACCACCACCGTGTCACGCTTCATGGCGCGTGCCAGATCAAATGAGTCCTCCACCTCCTTGGTATACTGGAATCGCAAGCGCTCCATTTCGCCGGTGTGCAGCACCCAAAACTTATGCCCATGGAGATGGAAAGGATGAGGTCCATCATCGTAATTAAATAGCACCAATTCAAAAACAACGGGCTTGCTTGGGTGCGTGCTTACCACTAGCTCATGTTCGCGGTTCACGAGCCCGGTCTGTTCCCATTCTTCCGGCGACGTCAGATTGGAGTACGAGATACGGTGTAGTAATGGCTGTTTAGATGGCCCCTGGAGGCCGTATGGGCGCCACGTAGACATATTTAGGAACGACATCGGTGCTTTCGAATACTTGTGGCGGTTCAACACCTCAATATTGACATAAACCTGACGGTCTCCACGGCCGACATCAAGTTTGGGTGCAGGATCAGCGACTAATGGAACAAGTGTCCCTGGCTCCAAGTCATGGCAAGGCTCCTCAGGGATTCCCACATCGGTTACGTTGGGGCTCCATGCCTGACTGGTGGGCCGCAACGTCCAGCGCCAACGTCGTGACAAAATGCGTTCGGACACAGTGCGACGGTAGCTCCGCATCCTCAAAGGCGATAACCAATGGCCATCGTCTGTGACGCTTTTATCGTAAGCCACGATCGCCTTGACCATAGGATCCATCACGGGATTTAGATACTTGAAGCATTCTGCAGTCATTTCTGCTCGCATCCAAACTCGATCAACTTTGCTGAACGGTTCGCGGTGCAAGATGACGGAGTATCGTTGGCCCGGAGCAATGGGAATGCGGTGCACAGACATGGGCTCCACTAACGTTCCGTCGGCCTCGATGACGGTCATCGTGTGACCATCCACACTGAATACAACATCAGCCACCGATCCAACGTTCACCAGGCGCAAGCGATAGGAGCGCTGTGGGTTGAGACGGAAGACTTCGTACTCGCCTACCTCATCGACATCACCCGCGGGGCATGGAACGTCCTCTTTCCGACTCATGTAGCAGCTGAATACATGCTTTCCGTTGATGAGACCACTGTCAGGCACGGGCTCTGCATTAGACAAAAGGATAGAAACATATTCGGCCAGACTTTCGGGACTCATAACATGGAAATGATCTCCAAGCGCCACAGCAATTTCGTCGTCCCAGTGTACTTTCGCACCTAGTGCATGCTCTTGGAATAAAGGCCGCTCATCTTCCCGAGCATGGACAATTAACATTCCCCACAAACCATCCGCACGCGACGTGCCGACATGAGAATGGTACCAATGTGTACCCACATCTTCGTGAAACACAGTGAATCGATACACCGTCTCGTTTCCTGGTTTTAATGGGCAGGATGTAAAAGAGGCTGCGCCATCCATTACTTGCTGTCCACGCATAGAAAGACCATGCCAATGAAGGGAAAATTTGCGGTCTGTGCCCTCTGGAAACACATCATGGAGGCGAGATGTAATGGGAGGCTCGGGCACTTGATAGTCATCGAAGATATGATTTCGAACTCGCACGACAACGGTGTCACCTTCTGTCACTTCCACGATAGGTCCAGGGAACTGGCCATTGATAGTGTACATTAAACGAGGAACGCCGTCTGGGGCCACCACCTTTCTCTCAACAGTCCAGTCAAAATGCCGTTCTTGTGGCAGAGCTGAGTGATTATAATTAGGGTCCATTCTCATAGGACTCTCCGCGACCGTTGAAAAGGGACTCAAGATGTTTTGCCCCAGACTGTGCACATCGAATGGTAACACGCGCTGCAACATGCTATGCGTCAAGTCTTTGGGAATAAGCCATGTACTTAGAAAATATAGGCACACAAACAATAAGCCTAGGCCACCTATTTTTCGCAGATGCCGTGGCTTTGCCATGGTCTCGATAGTCAGACGATGGCCAGCCGCGGTGCACGTGCAAGAGCGAGTGGGGAAATGGCTCCTGTGCACGTGCGCAGCGGTGAGCCGCCCACAAACTAAGCGCTTTGCTGTGAGGCGCTTTCCACTCCCATGGAGCAGAAATGAATGACAAGATTTGTTTTGCGGCTTTACAAATGTCAAGGAGGTCAGCTTGGTGTGGATAACTCCAAACGGATGGATGGCTCGAATGTCGCAAACACTAATGCCCCCATTATAGAATCAGGCAGTAAGGTTAAGTGGTATTAGTAGAGTCAAAGATGCAACTGAGCCTCCTGGACCGGTAAGATTTAAGCAGTTATTATGAATGCCTGGCCGATTCAACATTATGCGTAAAATGGTGACGCTTCGGTGGCGCTCATATAGCTACTGGTATACTTGTTGCAAAGAAGACATAACAGTTATATTCAAAAATAAACTTATCTAAATGTCATTACATGGCAGCCTGCACCGACAAATCAATTTTGCTCTTGATTAAAGAAGGAAGAGGGGATGAACAGGGATTCCGTAATATGTTGATCCACTCACAATCATTACTAGTGTCCTATTTGTAGAATGAGTCTTGGGTTAGTGGTCATGCAAGTCAAAAATGATACTGTCATGAACGCTGAGTAGTTATAATCAACTGTCTGGAAATGATGAAATATACCAGAGCTACTAATGCTGATATAGATGTGTTAAGAGTCCCAAGAAGAACGTACGAATGAGGAATGTAACTGCCATATAGCCAAAGTAGAAACGTTACCCAGTCAGTTGTAACCTCTAGGATTATATCTGTGATTAAACCGGGTTAGTGTGCGAGAAAAATGCAACATACAGTCACTCGCTGCTGGCAATCAGCCCCAGTCTAGCCTTCTCGCAGAATGACACTGTTCAACTCGTGTCATATTTCAATCCTGCAGAGATACATTCTTCTATTTGCTGCATAGTCACTTAAGTGCTACCATCAGGGTTTTCTGCAAGCACGAAATGCACCTGTCATTCGGCACAGGCACAAACCATTGCCGATCGTTCTATCTGTGGGGTAGAAGCTATTTAGAATTGCTGTGGAGGGCAAGATATCCCGATATCGATACAGGCTCCCAGGACAGCTGCTCAGCCGACGGATTGCTCCACAGTTGGTTGGCTTCATACGCTTTGGCATGTGGGTGTACGAGTCCCACAGTAATATGCATAGTCTTTTTAACGCACGTCCAAACGCTTTCCTCCAGGTTTTCCGCAGTAGTGTGAGCAACGTGAAGCGCCATGACAGAATTGTTCCAGGCCAGGCCATCAACCTGCATTGTGAAGCGGGGTGCCTCAGGTCCCGCAGTCGAGGCTTCATAAAGCAAATTCCATTGTTGTTCTGTAGCGATTTTTCGCTTCACATCCTCGCGGTGGATCAAAGTCAGGTGGGGTTGACTGATAGCACGCTGCCCAGTAAGAATAGTCTTTAGAGCTAGCTTGGCTGACGTAGTCTCGTCGGATGGAGCAAGCTCGTCCAGCTTTTGTGTCACAAACGCAGGTACATCTGCATCCACGAAAACTCCCATATAGGAAGACGGATGAATAATGTTCCTGGGCACTTCATCCATTTTAGGGGTGTCTTTGATTATGCTTGGGCGATAGTTAAGTGCGGTTTGTACGGCATGCTCCGTGGCTTCTTTGCTTGGCTTCGCAAACTGAAGAAGCGGGCAGAGATGCTCCAGTGTCCGGTTGAGCACACTTTCAAAGGACTCTTCAATATCAAGCCACAAACAGTCGTCAAATTGAACATCAGAGGCCCCTGCCGAGCCCTCACCATCTTGGACACTCTGGAACGGCTGAATCTCTTTAATGAAGCGAGTGAGAATTGTGTCGTATTGGAATGGCTCGTTAGGATTCACACGAAGACACTGGTGGCGATCACCACGCTGTGTCATTCGAGACGTACAAACTTGCTGAATAAGAGAATGAGGCAGGCCATCCACACGCCACGCCAGAGCCACCAAGCGTACACGACCTATTTTGCCCTTGACAGGATCGCTAAGGCGGCGAATCATGTCAACAATCTCATTGCGATGCTTCAGTAAGTGATTGTTGCGATCTGCCAACACCACATCAGACCTGAGTAGCGCTTGCTCTAGCCGTTTCAAGAACATAGGAGCGGTGCGTTTGGCCTGGACGTCGTCACTTTGGATGTGCGTCCAGCCGAACAAATCGGACAATGCCACACACAATGCCGTCTTCCCACAGCCCACCACGGCAATAGGGACGATCAGGGTCTTTGAGTACGGCCGCTCGTCCAGACGCAGGTCTCGAATAGATGATACAGGGCTTGTTTCATGACGCTGTAGAGCCTTTTGTCCCGCATCTGATGCCTTGTATTCCAAAAAGGCTTCACGAAGAGCAATGATACCTCGGCCCTCTAAGAACCGAGCAAAGATTTCAGGCTGTGGCTCTACACCTCGTTCAAGGTTGCCATACAGCCGATCATAACACCATTCAATATACAGAGTCGTCTCAGGGCGACGAGTTCGTGGCATAGGGGGAGCAGGCGGGACGCGACCGGCAGCCCGGTCCTGCTCCAGCTGATTCTTTTGGGCCTTGTTGGCCAGCTGGCTGGCTTGCTTTTTGGCACGCTTAAGAGCTTTCTTGCTTGGCGCTTCGGTATTGATAGTGGAAAGGTCTTGTGAAGGATTCTCTTCCGACACTGTCTCAGCGGGAGTAGCCTCGGACACCTGCAGTTGGTCGGCTTGGCGCGTGAGTAATACTACTTGCAACGCATCAAAGTCCTTCTTCTGTTGCAGCATGGTCCGCGTGAGCTCGCGCCAGTCGCGATACATCAGATACGGCTCGTCGAACTTGATTTTGTAGAACCAGGTTTGACCAGGGGAGTAGGGTGGCTTCACAACACCGCTTGGAGGTGGATCTTTGTGAGACGGCATCGTTGTACGGACGACAAACCCTTCGATAGGCTCGCCATTAAGAGACCCTGTCTCACCCACCTTTCTCGCGAAATTCTCGACCTCTTCAAACGTGTTAAAGACAAGATATCGCACTGGCATCAAACCCCAGTTCTCAGCAAATTCATTTACTTGCTCAATTGGCCTTGTAGAAAACTCGGGCGTATTCGAGTTCAGGCCGTGCAAATGGAGCCCTGTCCGCTCAGGACTGTAAGCAAGCACATGTTCCTCAAAGGCGTCATCACAGAGCTCCATAACAGCAGTCTCATTACGATGCCAGAGTTCTGCAGCTAGTTGGGCCTCAGTCTTACCGCGACTTGCTAAGTGACGGCGCAGCCATGTTTGGCCCATATCAGCATGGGATACCATGTCACCATCTGGTCGAGAGCCAATAGCATGCTTCGATGTAACCAAGAGATGCTCGGGCGATAGCGCAGCTGCAAAAATAATACAACCGTTTTCCTTGAACGACAGAACATAGGGACCCGTCGAGTAGGTGGCAAGTGCTTCAGGTCGAGTCCACGAAAGTTCTCCTTGGTTAAAAAACTTGTCGTATCCGCGAGCTACAATTCTGGAATGTGGTGCGTCACCTTCCACTTTCTCAGTAAACAGGCCACGCGCCAGCGTAGGAAGCTCATCACTGTCTTGGCTAAACTGTCGATACGCGAATTCTTGCGCCTTCCAGGACTGAATCTGATGTTCAACTGGATCTTCCGGAGTAGGAGGTACGGTGTATAGCGACGAACGTAGTAGTGGCTTGGAACTGCTCGATGATGCCTTGTGTAGTGCCTCTACAAAGTCGTCCACATACTCATAAGGGCCGTGCATGACGAGAAGGAACTTTTGAGTCAGCTTTTTTATGCCCCCTATTACCCAAGATGACTCAGCCCCGAGTCATCATGGGCCCCTCCGCAGACAGGGAACACGGTGTAAGGGCAGAGGAGAGAGATCGCTATCGAAGCAGTCGAGGACCGCGTGAGGATGATCGCAGTCCTAGAGAGTCTAAGAGGTACGAGCGCAGCTCAAGGCACGAGCGAGACGACTCGCCAAGACATCATCACAGTCACCGGCACGAGGGTAATCGCAGATACCGAGGGGAATCGAACGAACGAGAGCGCTCACCCTCGCGGCGGGAATTCTCGTCTCGGCATCATAGCCCGTCGTCAACTAATGAAGCGCCACCGCCGGCGCCCGCTCCAAATTTCGAGCGCTCCGGCCTGTTAGCCAAAGAAAGCAACAATGTAAATGGAGTTGCGCTCAAGTACCATGAGCCACCCGAAGCAAAAAAACCCCGTAATCCTTGGCGTATGTTTGTATTCAAGGACGGGAAGGAAATAGGTGCGTCATTGACACTGACCGCAGACATGTTTGTTCTCGGCAGACAGTCCTGCTACTTATTTGGGCGCGATCGGACTGTTGTTGATATACCTACAGAGCACCCTTCATGCTCCAAACAGCATGCTGTGATTCAATTTCGGCAAGTGACCAGGCGGAATGAATTTGGAGATGTCCAGCGCTTTGTGAAGTACGTGAAGCACACTCACACAGACCGTTCTTAATTGACCTTGACTCGGCCAATGGATGCTGCGTCAATGGAGAGGATGTCCCTCCATCACGATACTATGAGCTTCGATCTGGAGACACTTGCCAGTTCGGCGCCAGTGCACGCGAGTACGTGTTACTCGATGAATCCGCGGCGACGTAGATCGGAATTAGTCAGCGCCCAGCCCCTCGCGGTTGACGTTATGCCATACCGCGTCGAATACGCGTCCACGGGGCGTGCGACCTGCAAAGGGCCTAAGCCTTGCTCAGGATCAAAGATTGAGAAAAATGAGTTGCGACTTGGCTCTCTCACTGAAATTCAGGGGCACACGGTATGTATGGTGCACTAACGAGAGGCTATGGCCTGGCGCCATTGGGGCTGGTATGTCACACGAACTAACTTGTAGCACCACCGAGCGTGTTCTAGCGAACATGCGCAAAGAGATCGATGATGTGACTCAAGAACTCGATGGTTTCGAGGACTTGGATGTGGCAGATCAGGAGAAAGTTTTGGCCGCGTTCGCCCTGGGTCATGTGCGCGATGAGGACAAGACGCCTATATTGGCTGACTACGAGGAGCCCAGCGCATCGCAGGAGGGCCATCAACCAGCGCAGCCAAAATCCAGGAAACGCAAAGCAGCGCCAAAGGGGGACGGGGATATCCAGGATACCACACACGATGACGATAGTGACGAGGAGGACGAGCCTGAACGGCCTGAATTCCTCGACGAGCTACCATCCAAACGCACAAGAAAACACACACAGCATTATGGAAGGGATGAATCTTCGCGCCAAGTTAAGCGCAAGGTTCCGGACGATGGCGATGACAATGACGAGGACGACGAGGACGGGGACGAAGAAGAAGACGAGGACGAGGATGAAGAAGAGGACGACGACGAGGAAGACTCAGATGATAGCGATGCGTTCCATGCTAGTGATGCTGGAGACGATGATGACGAAGACGACGACTAGGGCATCCCTATCATAGATCTCGCCCAACCTACGCACGGTCCTCGATCACGTGTCGTCTTCTTCCTCCATCACTATGGGTGTGCTTGGATTGACGCGATGGGCAAATGAGTCGGAGCGGCTTGTCTCGAGCGAGCTGACACTCCCTATTCCCAGCGAGGCCGGTAAGGCACTGGAGAATGGCGAGCCTGTTCAGTTGAACAGCGAGGGTGACTGGCTTGTGATTGACGCTTGGGCGTGGATCCACTACGTTTGGCACTCGATGAACACAAACGTGTACCAGGGCGGATCGCTCTTGCACTTCCGTGTCCATCTCATTAGCTGGATTGAGAAGCTGAGAGCGGCCGGCTTCCATCTTGTGGTCGTCTTCGACGGCCCTCGTTTGCATCAGAAGATTGGTCCTCTGCTGAGCCGCACGCAAAACTACGTGCGTCTGAACGCCAAGCTGATGCGCGCCGGCCCGAACCTGCGCACTGACCACGAATTTGAGCATGCCCGCATGCTTCCTCGCGGGCTTACTCAGTGTGTACAGGATGTTCTGCAATCGAGTGGAGTCGAAATGATCATGGGTGCCGAAGAAGTGGACAGCCTCCTTGCGCAGCTGGCAGACGAGCGTGCTGGCTATGTGCTCAGCCGCGATTCAGACTTTCTGATCCTATGCGGAAATGCACCCAAGTGCAAGGGCTACATCCCGCTAGGCTCAATTGAGTTCATTGCAAAGGAAACTGCCCCTCCGCTTCCTGAGGCGCCGCCTGCAGACGATGACGGTTTCATGACCGTTAGCACAAGTAAGCGCAACAAAAAGGCGGCCCAGCAGGCCAAGAAGGCGCATCTTCCGTACCTGCTGCAGTCGCCTGTCCTTCCGCATCAGTCGTCTACGCTCAAGGAGACGTCTGTGCGTTTCCGATGCTTTTCCTCTTACAAGTGTGCGGAGCTGCTGAAGCTTCCCATGTCAATCTTACCCGTCTTTGCAGCACTTGTCGGAACGGATCACCGCACGAACACGCAGGCCGAGCTGTTTAATGGCATGTTCCATGGCGTACCCAACCGCATGCAGACGATTGCCGCCCTGCTGGCAGAACAGTACACGCGGATCAAGGAGGGCGGTATTCCTCCACCCCCAGTGTCAGAGGAGGCTGATGATGAGCATGATTTAGACATGGCCGACCCAGTTATCCGCCTGCTGGCAAGCACGTTTGACAGTATTGTGGACTTTGGGCGCAAGCGCCGGGGGGCGCCTCTGCCGGTGTCGTGGGAGAGTCGCAAGGAAATTGTGAACTCTATGCATTCTATGGCCCTGTCGTACATGCCATCACGAACGAGCGAGGCGATGGAGCGCTTCATGGCGGCCAGTGATCTTCCCGCTCTCCAACTGTACCAGAATGCGTACTGGGCTGGTCACTTTGACCAGGCGCTCGTCTCGGCGATGCTTGAACGCATCTACATTGCTCGTGTCTTCTTAGAGGAGCCGGACGAGCCCTCAGCTGAACGTGTCATTGTGCGCCCAATGAGGAAAGTTTTGTGGTCTATCCTCTTCTCTGTGTGGCTCACGGCCCATCCTGAAGAGAAGACCAAGATCGAGGAAGCCATGGAGGAGCTCGGCGTGGATGAGGAATCGGAACAAGTTCTGGAGAAGACTGAGGGCCAGGAAGAGAACGAGAACGACGTCAAAGAGGAGAACGATGAAAATGATGATGACGGCAACGAAGACGGAGAACAAGATGAAGAGGCCAATGACGTGCGCGAGCCGGAGCCAGAGCCAGAGCCCGAGGAGTCGGGGCCTGCTCCCATCACCTTCGTTACCGAGTACACTCGTACAGAATATTCTCTGCGCAAAGAAGAAGTACCAGTGTATGCATTGCCTGTGCAACTCGAACAGATGGCGCGCCAGGCCCCTCTGCCTTCGTCGTTGGCCCGGATGGTGGACCAGTATGCAGATGCGCTTGCTGCAAACCCCGATACTGAGCCGGAACTTGTACAGGCGGCTGAGCTGCCTCACGACGTGCGTATGGACCTGTGGCGCTACACGCACCACACTGACATTCCTGAGCTAGAGCGTCTGCCCCAAGATGTTCGCTCGTTCGCGGCTGCCTTGCGTTACACAATCGTGACAAACCAGGAACGTCTTGGCGCTCTGCGCACACGCCATAACTGGTCCATGGCGGAGATCCAGGCGGCTGTCAATGCAGCCTGTATTACTCGGCGTGTGAATAAGGAGGCCTCGCCAGAGGAGATGCAATCAATTGTGGCAGCTTATCCGCATGGATCGCCGTCCAACCGGTCGATTTCATTGTGCACTATGTTTTCCTTTGTGCTGCAGATGAGTGCTTTGTTCACACAGTCACTGGGACTGGCTGACGAGCTTCCCCATGGCCGACCAATGTGGGAGCCGCCGCTCTTCCACGCATGTCTTGGCTCCAAGATGGACCCGAATGCAAAGAAGACGCCCCCGAACGAGGCTTGGACTAAGTTCGAGGATCCAGAACTATGTGACCTGCTGTTTACGGTGGTGACGCACGGCCTCGACGCTAAGATCGGGCGCACACGCACTGCGCCTGTGCCTCAGACCAAGAGTAGTGGCGGCCAGCGACAGCGCCGACACCTCGGTTTCCTCGAGGAAACGATGCTGTAGACAAATCGTGCTGGGTAGAATCGTACGTACGAAATTTGATGTGGGGTCGCGGGCCGCGGAACTAGAGTGGAGGTTGGGACAATGCGCCCGATGCGAACCCGATACTAACGCGATCTCTGCCGACGATGAGCCAGGCGGCAGGAGGCGCCTCGAAATGGTATCGGCCTCCTACCCCAACGCTTTATGAAAGTGTAGGAGAAGAACTCGATGCCCTAGAGCTAGAAAGTCAAGAAGAGTTTGATACCTCGAAAAAAGACGCACCCGCTGCGTGGTCTCCCGCCGTATATGCTGCTCAAGACGACTCTGATGATGAGCTTACGGAGCAGTTCGATGATGACGAGGAAGATATGCATGCGTATGGGATTCCAGCAGCCCGTGGGTGGTACTTGGATCCACGGTGTGTACTTTTTGCTAATTGCAGTCGATCGAACACAGATGATTTTAAGGTTAAAGTCCTGGAAATGTTTTCACAGGTACTACAGCTGCCCGGCTGGACAGAGGCAGCCGTAGCGCCTTCGCTAGTCCCCTTGAATTTCAAGAAACTCACGTTGAAACGTATCAGCGGTGCGCTGACCAACGCTGTGTTCTTTGTGGGTTACGAGGCCGATACACAACCTGCTCCGCCGACGCTGCTGCTGCGGATCTATGGCCCAGGGAGTGAAAATTTACTCTCGCGCCGTACTGAGCTTCTTATTCTGCATACTCTCTCGAGTCTTTACGAGATGGGACCTCATATCCTCGGCACTTTTGCCAACGGGCGTATTGAAGGTACGTGCAGCGGTGTTGACACAGAATTCTATAATTGTGAGAGTATCGGTTGGGATGGCTTTCGAAATCTTCAAACCTATCCGCAAGAAGGACCGGCTTATTGGGTCGCGCGGCGTATGCGTGAGCTCCATGAGGTGCCCCTGGACGTCATTCGCACTGTGATGGAGCAAGGCGACCTCAAGTCACCCAGCAAAGGATTTGGCCGTGGGATTGAGAATCATATAATGGCATCTAGCCACAGGCCCAGGCAGCGTCACACTCAGCGTACGGAGGCAACGTCGCCGGTGTGGCAAAGCTACAGCTACTTTGCGCATCCCTCTCCCGGACTCTTTCCGAATCACAAGAATACTTCAACTATGTCGTTTGACTCATTGGCTACAAGCTATGACTCTCTGGCGAGTCCAAAAAGTGCCCTGTGGACACCTTCTACCCAATCGACGCAGCCGTCTCATTCCTTGACTATGAGTCCCCTTGCTCTGGGCCCCTCTTCTGCTCCGTCCATTCCTCAACATGGACCGTACCCGGGAGTCTGGCGACGCCTGAAGCGCTGGACTCGGAAAGCCAGTAAGGTGATCGAGCGGGTGAACCAGTTTTTCGATTCCCCTAAAGGACAGGTCATATGCCAGGCTTTTGGAGTCGAGAAATTACCTGTGACCATTGGAACAGAGCCAAGGAAGCCACCTGCAAGCGCACACTCTCTTCGTGCGACCAAACTCTACTTTGTCGACATGATGCAAGCGTTGTATGCGGTAGATCTGCCCATGCTATGTCTCGACATTGCTGAATACAAGCAATATGTTCGTGACTGGGAAAAAATCCAGGGAAAGAGCCGACGTGTGTTTTGTCACAACGATTCCCAAAGTGGCAATTTGCTCCTGCTACGCCCGGATGCTTCAGGCCAGCTACCTGCCATGGCTTCTGGGATGCCCCGGACAGTGACCATGTCCCCCGGTCCTCTGGGTGCTGAGTCGCCGAGTCTACGACCACGCACTCGCTCTCGCTCTCGGTCTCACTCCCAGGCAGCTCATCACCGCCTGGTAGTAATTGACTTTGAGTATGCCTCACCCAACCCACGTGCTTATGATATTGCCAACTACTTCCGCGAATGGACAACGAATTATATTCACCCCACACACTCATGGAGTATGCGGGTTCATGGCCCCTACCCTACCAAGGAAGAGCGGTTCCAATGGCTCCGTGCATATGTGGAACACGGTCGCTGGCTCACGAGACGTGGTGGTGGTTCTTCCAAGCTCAGTACCCCTGAAAGTTTAAGTGCTATGTCTGACATGAGTCTTCCTCCCTCTATCACCTCGGGCGATGCGTCCCCGTGCGCTTCCCCCCGCCCCAATGCCCAGTCGCCCTCGTTTGATGCGACGCAAGCAGAGGTAGAGCGACTGGAGGAGGAAGTGTATGTGTGGTCGCCGGCGATCAATGCGATGTGGGGACTCTGGGGTATTGTAATGGCCCACGATGATGTCGTGACACTATTGGAACTAATGGAGCAGCACGTGCATACCTCGCCATCTGGCTGGAAGTTTGACCAGCAAGCTGCCATTGAGTCGGGACTGGAACGCGGGGATCCCAACGAGTTTGATAACCTGCGCTTCTCGCTGGACCGTATTGAGGTTTTCCGCGAAGAACTAGATGCACGCCAAGTGGGATTGAAGAGACGGCATGCCAGGCCAACAGGATGAGATATAGAGCTGCCTAGACTACATATGCAACAGTGCGAGCTGTCACTTAAGCCAGAGGTTCCTCCTAGGGCTCTTCCTAAGGCTCTTCCTTGGGCTCCTTGAGCTCCTCCTTGAGCTCCTCCTTAAGCTCCTCCTTGAGCTCCTCCTTGAGCTCTTCCTTAGGCTCTTCCTTGGGCTCTTCCTTGGGCTCTTCCTTAGGCTCTTCCTTAGGCTCTTCCTTAGGCTCTTCCTTAGGCTCTTCCTTAGGCTCTTCCTTAGGCTCTTCCTTAGACTCTTCCTTGACCGCTTCCTTAGGTTTCTGAGACTTGTCCTCGACCTCCTTCGTCGATTCAGCAGTAGGCACACTGTCATCTACGTCGTCCTTGGAAGCCGACGCACCGCCAGCACCGTGGACAGCTGCGTCGCGTGTGATGAGCTTCATAATCAGATCAAACACTTCCTTGGGCACAGCTTTCTGGTAAATCATAACAAGCTCGACGGGTGCAGGGTACACCTTGAGGGCCTTGAAAAATGCAATGGCTGCCGGCACATAGTACGAGGGGCCTTGCGCAAAGAGCGCCTCACCAGTAGCCACTTGTTCCATGAAGCTAAAGTCAGTGGGGTTGTACATACAATGCCTCCTTCTCTTGGACGCCAGTGGGAAGGACACCCGGCTCGACAACGTCCTTAACGGCCTTTTCAATCATCATGTTCTCCTGCTGAGCCGCTGCTTTCATTTCTTTCTTGGCAGCCTTCACAGATTGCTTCGATTGCTTGCGCAGCTTTTTGCGGAAGGCCGGATCATTTCGGCGCTTGTAATCGAAATAGAATGCATAACCAATAGCAACAGTTGCCAGCGCTGTCGCTGACACCGAGAGCGCTGTGCTAAATTTCATCGTCGGAAGATGCTTTGACCATGCGACCCTGCGTCCTCCTCGTCTCCCGGGGTCACGTGTTGGGTGCTAGGGCCACTCCGGGCTAGCGGTGTGACACGACGTGTTTCTATGGATAATAAGAACCCGTTCCGCCGGGCTGTTAAGCCCTCTGCGGTGGGAGTCTCTGTGGCAGCTCGTCAGCATGTCACTGTGTCGGACAGAGCGCCATTGACGCCACTGCAGGCGCATTATCTGAAAAAAACGCTAGTAAAGCTTCAACTGCAGCGCGAACTCAACCAGCTCCTTCGCCCAGACGGAATGGAATGGCTAGGCCCGCCATTCCGTTCGTCACAATCTATACCCCCTGAGCAGCTGCCTCTTCTACGTCATGTAATGCACGAGTTTTTCTTGACATTCCCATTCTTTGATCAGGCGCCAAAGGACTTTTTTAGCAACAAGGTGCAGGTGTTTGTCGAGCGCATGTTGGAACGCAACATTATATCTGTCAGTGAAGGTGATGAATCACCTTCTGGTATATCAGGTATGTTGCGTCGGTCCGAGAAATACTTGAGTATGCTTATTGGATCGGCCTTGCGCGTTAGAGGTGTGCAAGAAGAGATTGTGCGCATCAACGACCAGGACCGCCAGCGCCTCTCTGCACTCGATGCACAGCGCAAAAGTGCCTTGGGACAAACGAATGCCAAAGCCTCCATTAATATTGTCGGTGTGCGTACGGTCGTTGAGCGAGGTATTGTTCGCTCCTCCTCTCACAATGAATTCCTTGTACGTACCGAGTTCGAAGAGCAAGCGCAAGTGGTTTCTCGGCGTTATCGGGATTTTGCCAAAATGCACAAGGAGCTGGCAGCCAAGTTTCCTTCCGAAGACTTGCCAGAATTGCCACCCAAGGACCACAGCAGTGTCAAGGTCAGTGGTGTGCTACAGGACGAGGACAGCGATGAATACATGGATATGACTGCTACAACACCCAGTGAACTTATGAGAGAAAAAAACCGTCTTACACTACGTGCCTATCTGCGCAGTCTCTTCTCCATTCCAGCTATTGCCGACAGTGATACCCTCCGCGCCTTTCTAACAGATGCACCAACAACTCTTAGCTCGGCCGATCTTACGGATATTGACACACGACGCAAAGCAGACGCAGTTCGAGAGGAAGAACACAAAGAATTCTCAGCCAAAATGACGGAGCGGGTTCGCGTCCTGCGAGAACATATGGGCTCTTTTAAGGCAATGCTTATGGAGCCAGATGGCCTAAGCAAGGTGTTCCAGACGATTCGCCAATGTCCCCGTTCAAGTCAGCTACCACCCGAGTACCGTGTGCTGCTGGACTGGGCGACAGTCTCCATGGCATCAGGTTTGTTTACCATGTTTGTCGGACGTGACTCGTCATCCAGCGCCTTTGCTCAACTCAAGTACATGCACTCGGTCATGCCATACTTCATGGTCCGCAGCATTCTCAAAATTTCAAATCCTATCGCGATGATGCGATCTTTTTTGGACTTGTTTTTGGTGCAACCATTCGGTCAAAAGAGTTTGGTACAGCGTATGTTTACCGGTCGGCTCCAAGAAGAAATTAGTGAGATGAAGCAGTTGTCGCACAATGTACAGACAAAAGTCCCTGACCCTCTGTTTTGCCAAAAGGTGGATGCTTATGTGTCCATGACTCACGGCATGCAGCAGCTCTTTAATGAACAGGCCGCTGCTGAGCAGGTGGATGAGCTGACCGTGGTGCTTCGTTCGCCTCTATATTGCGAACTAAATGAACGGCAGCTTCAACGTATATCACGCGCTTCGGTTGCCTACCGCGATTTCCAGCGTCGTCGGAAGCGGGCAGTCGCTCGTGGTGCCCCGGAGCCAGAACCAGATAATGACGATGCATGGCTTCTTGAAGATTTGCATGTGTACATGAATTTGCAAAGGGCCATCCGCCAAAAAGAGCAATTGGTGAGCTTAATAGACGACAGCGCGACCACCGACTTGCTTAAAGACATGATCACCATTTTCTACGCGCCGCTAGCGCAAGTCTATCGCGCCGCAAACATTGGCGATACACTCGGGGATGTCCAGACCTTTGTTAACGATCTGATCAAGACGGTAGAAGAACACCAAACATGTATGTTTTTCTAACTAACGCCAGTGAGCGCTTCGCAGCCGCAGCTAATGGTAGGTGCTTTTATCAGCCTGGTTCAGCGCCACGAACAAATGTTTTACAATTTTGTGTATCAGGTACACACCAAGGGCTCGAATCTGTTTGTACGTTTGGTGCAGTGGGTGGAACACTTTATCAACTATGTTCGGGACCCCAAGGAGCCCGAGTCTTGTGGACTTGGTTATATTGATCTTGAGCGGTGCTTACCACCTCGAGGCGAGGAGCGAAAACAAGTCCTCCGCGAGGTGGATGGAGCCATCCAGCAGGCCTATCACCTCAAGCTACAGCGGGAGCTAAAAATGCGTCGGAAAATGGCACATGCAGCGGTCACAGGGGCAGCGAACCATCACGCTGAAGACGAGGCCTTCATTTCAGCCATGTCAGAGAACTTTGGGTTCGGTTCATCCCTTCAGGATGAAGTAGCTGAATTGGGCGATGACAGTGCTTCCGATCCGGAGTATGACGATGATGACAGTGACAATGAAACAGAGCCGGAAGAGGCGGATGCACGAGCATCTTTCCACCAAATGCGACTGGCGCAGACGAATCAAGGGCCGACACCCTTCTCGACCAAGTCAATCGAACGTATATTGCCCCTCTTTGTCGAGCAGCTGGTGCCAAAACTGTCGAACAGGTAGGTAATATCTCTAGTCGACTCTTAGAATTGCTATAGGAGGAACATGGTGCACCTACGGTATGATTATTCCTTCTTCTCTTCCTGGGCTCCGGCATTGTTGTCCGACTGCGCGCGGTTTTCGTACACCTTCTTAAAGAGACCCAGCGAGGCCTGTTGCGTCTCGTCGATCTTGGCCTTGATCTCATCGGCCTGAAGCGACTCATCACCCGCAACACCGCGTGCCGCCAGCGCCTCAAGCTCCTCCACTAGCTTCTGCACCTTCTCGGCCTCGTCCTTTTCAATTTGGTCCTTAAACTCCGACATAGCCTTGCTCGTCTCACCAGCCACGCTCTGGGCGCGGTTGGCCTCCTCAATCACAACACGGCGGGCCTTATCAGCCTCAGCGTGCTGCTCGGCATCGTTCACCATGCGCTCAATCTCCTGGTCAGAGAGACCTGAGCCAGCAGCAATAGTCATGCTCTGGTCCTTGTTGGTAGCCTTGTCCTTGGCGCTAACATTGACAATACCATCAGCGTCAATGTCAAAGGTGACCTCAATCTGGGGAACGCCCTTAGGAGCAGGGGGAATACCAGTCAGCTGGAAGTTGCCCAGAAGCTTGTTGTCCTTCACAAGCTCACGCTCACCCTGGTAGACCTGGATATCAACGGCGGTCTGACCATCAGCAGCCGTCGAGAACACTTGGCTCTTCTTGGTGGGAATGGTTGTGTTACGGTTGATCAAACGCGTGAACACACCACCCAGAGTCTGAATACCCAGCGACAGAGGTGTCACATCCAACAGCAGAATGTCAGTAACGTGACCGGCAAGGACACCACCCTGAATGGAGGCACCAATTGCCACCGCCTCGTCGGGGTTGACACCCTTTGAAGGCTCACGCTTGAAGATGTTCTTGACAGTCTCCAGCACCTTCGGCATACGGCTCATACCACCGACCATGATCACATCGTTGATGTCACTGGCCTTGACACCAGCATCGCCGAGAGCTTTGTTGCAGGGCTCCACAGTGCGCTGGATCAGCTTAGCAATCATTCCCTCAAGCTGAGCACGCGTGATCTTCGAGTTAATGTGCTTGGGGCCCGTCGCATCGGCAGTAATGTAGGGCAGGCTGATATCGGTGGACGACGTGCTCGAAAGCTCAATCTTGGCCTTCTCTGCAGCCTCGCGAATACGCTGGATAGCCATGCGGTCCTTGCTAAGGTCAATGCCGTTCTCCTTTTGGAACTCCTTGACCAGGTGCTCCACGATGACAATGTCGAAGTCCTCACCACCCAGGTGAGTGTCACCGTTAGTCGACTTGACCTCGAAGACACCCTTCGACATCTCAAGGATTGAGATATCGAACGTACCACCACCCAAGTCGAACACGGCGATAGTACCACTGTCCTGACGGTCGAGGCCATAGGCCAGTGCAGCAGCAGTCGGCTCGTTGATCACACGGAGCACCTCAAGACCGGCAATAGTACCAGCGTCCTTGGTAGCCTGACGCTGAGAGTCGTTGAAGTAGGCAGGGACGGTAATAACCGCGTGCTTCACAGGTTTACCGAGGTAACCTGAAGCGGTCTCCTTAAGCTTACCAACAATGAAGGCACCAATCTGCGAAGGCGAGTACTTCTTCTCGCGAGCCTCGAGCCACGCATCACCATTCGTGTGGGCAACGATCTTGAAGGGAACGTTGTCCAGGTCCTTCTGCACTTCGGGGTCGGTGAACTTACGACCGATCAGACGCTTGGTGGCAAACAGAGTCGCCTCGGGATTCACAACGGCCTGGCGCTTCGCAGGAAGACCCACAAGACGCTCACCATCCTTGGTGAACGCAACCACGGAAGGAGTCGTACGGCCACCTTCCGAGTTCTCGATCACACGGGCCTGCTGGCCTTCCATGATCGACACACACGAGTTGGTCGTACCAAGGTCAATACCAATAACAGGGCCATTGACCTTGCCGGAGTTGAAGCGCACACCCGCAGCAACGGGAGCACGAAGCGATTGTGATAGCAGGCGACCCGACGAGGGCGCCATGCGGATACTACGCGAAAGAGCCCCAATCATGGTATCAGGCAAAGCCAAGAGTAAGTGGCAAACGAAGAAACCCCGCTTCTTGTACACAATGTGCACGCCCCTTCCGAAGCCCCTCCGACTTCTTTCGCCTTCTGCGGCTTTCTGCCTCCACGTGGTTGCCACGTGTTCTCGACGTGAAGGCTCGCTTCCACAATTTCATGTTGTATCCACGCGAAGGTACGTATAGCATTTGCCGAGGGCTGTCAGCCTGGGACGAGGACCAAGACGGCGTCCATGGTCTCACTATGGAAGAGCTTTATCCCCATGGAGCTGGCATCAATAGTGCCAGAGCCATATGATATGCGTCGATTACAGATACTTCTGAGGCTGCAGCTCTCCACGTGGCATTACGGGCGTCACCGGCTCACACCAGACCTTCTCACGCATGGATTCGATGATACATGCCTATAGACTTGGGGCCATAGCTTGTCATTTGATACAATATTCCAAGCCTTTCTAATTATCTTGGGAAAGGTATGCCTCCCAAATGGCCATTAATTGCCGGCCTATATTGGGTTCCAATTCGGTGCCGTCGCGAGAGACCTTAATCAACCGATTGTCTCGCCAAGGATTACGCAAGTTATGAATTTCCGAGAAAGGAAGGGGCTTGGTGATTTTCCATTCCAAATTAAACGGCTGGCCGACTTGAAGTGTTCGTGACTCGTGTATGAATGTCTCCGATTGAGGAATAGGCGCTTCGTCGTTTTCACGCATGGGCGCTATGAAGTCTTTGTTCGTGGAGAGGGATGCAGTCTGGTCGCCCATGTCCTCCAAAGACTGGTTGTGGTGTTTAGCCGAAGCAACTAGGTCACGACGAATTTGCTGTTCAGCTATGCCGGACGGAGTCGCTGAGACAGACGAGCATATAGAGAGAGTAGGACTCGCACAGTTTGTCTCGAGAGCCTCGGCCTTTTCTGTTTGTTCGTCTGACGATGATATTGCTGCGGCTCCATAGGTATCATTCATCGATTGAGAGGCCAGTGTAGTTTGGGGCGGATCCAATGAAGTTTGAGTTTTGCCAGGACTACTCGCCATGTTGGCAAAACCAAAAAACTGACCACTAAAATTTTCGCTGAAGAAAAGAGTGACCACTTCGCTATTGCGGAATGCTTGGTCCAGAACAGGTTCATTGTGGGGCTGCGTGCACCAGACATGAGTTTCAAGAGCCGTCTCAAGAGCTTCGCGGGTTCGAGACTTCAAAATAAAGAATCGATGAGCAAAGAGAGGCTGACGCAAGAGGGATGAGTTGGTCGATGTGAACGAGTGTGTAGAGTTTGCATCGCTGTCATCACCCGCATCTATGCCATCTTGAGACGCCTGGATGTTGGCTTCCTGGATCAATTTGCACTGCTGGCGGTACCAGCTGGTATGTACACCTTTACCTCGCTGAGCCGCCACACCAGCATATTCGGCGTCTTCCAATTTCCGCGGACGACACACCAACCGAGGGCAATTGGGCTTGGCCCGGATCGTCTTTCCTTGAAAGTACGTACAGGCTCGATCCAGGTGCTCCTGAGATTTATAGTTCACGAAAGCACAGCTGGAACGCGAGATAATGAAGATAGAGAGGATTCCGTGGGACGACTCTGGTGATTCAGATGTATGCGTCTCAGAAGATGACAAGGAAAGTTTGCCAAAGAATGACCAGAGCTCGTCCAGCGTGGCGTCTGAGGGTACGTTGCCGCACCACATCACATAATCGGAGCGAGTACCATGAAGTTGATTTGCCGACGCTGCGCCGGACAGAGCTTGAGATGAAGATTTGGTGGTAAGGCTGGGAGATAATGCCTCTTTAGTCTCTGGAATTGCTTCCTGTGAAGAGATAATGTGATTTACATCGGTAGCAGTATCGCGCGAATCAGGATCTCCACTCGTGGTTGCCAACGATGACGTGGAGGAGCAATGCGAAGGATGAGCTGTCGATTTCCTTCTTCGGTGAGGGGCACTTGCGCGTCGAGAAGGCACATGAATGGCGCGGTCCGGGTATGACGTCCATTCGTACGGAGGCACAGGATAGCCCGAAGGGAGAGGTACAGGCGGATGCATCAGAGGCGCCATTGGATGCATACCACCGGGTGTATAAGGAAAGTAGCGAGGATCGTGGTATACGTAATGACCTAACCCCTCTCTATTGGTCGGCATTGTCGGGTGAAACGCTTGGGAACTTGGATTCAACAAAGAGGGGCCGGATGAGGGATACGGACCAGAGCGGTAGGAAGGCGTGGGAGACTGCCCTCCGTAAGGGTGCTCAGTATTAGGCCCTGAAGAGGAAGTAGTCCCTGGGAAAGCATGTGCCATAGGAATTCCAACCATTGGAACACCAGAGGGGCCGGTGTAACAAACCTGGCGCTGGTACACGGGCATTGAATAGTATACGCCCACAGGAACGGGCGTCACCATAGCGGTGGGGGAAGGATACATACCAGTACGAGCGGGTTCCTCGATGGATTCAGCCGACCAGGGACCCTCCTCGCGTGTATAAGAGGTAAAGTCATTCGCGGAGAATGGGGGGGGATACCCCAATGATGGATCCGAAGGATAATATCCATAGAAGTAGTAGCTTGGGTATGCTTCAGCAGGAGATGGACCTTGTACATACGAAGAATCCAAGGACGGCTCAAATGCATTAGCGTGAGATTCGCCTGGAGAAACAACATTACTAGAAGGAGAAGGGTGGTTGGAGCAGTGCCCTAAAGGACTGTCTTTCGTGTCCGATGTAGTAAAGTTCGGAGAAAGGCCATCTTGAAAATCTTGCTTTGAGACGACTGGGTTTTCGTTGGAATGGACAGAAGGCGAAGGATCCTCAGAATGATCTGCAATGTAAGATGTCATCGACGCTCGTACCTAGATCAAACTCGCTAGCAGCAGTCGTGTATGTTGCTGTGCTTGCGAAGTTAGCCAATGTGTCTTTTGGACCCTTCGACACCTTTTGCATACACTAGGCAGGGATTGGTTGAAAGACCGGAACGAATAGCTCACAGTAACACCGTAGAAACTTGAGCTCGTTCTGCGTAAAGGGCGAAGACAGAACCTGCTGTCCGACCTAGCCTGACAGGTGCACGATCTAGAAAAAGAACAAGCAAATTAATGCCTCTCTCCTAGAATCACACGGTCTTATGCAAGAAAGATGCACTTCTTCCAAGCAGACCTGGAGAAAACTATCACGCTGAAGCGATCTATTGCGGCAAACAAGCACCCTCCTCACCCCCTTCTTTCTCACCCTCTAGTGGCCAAATCGAATATTGTCTTTCCCTGATTAGTACGACCAAAATAAATTTCGCCAATCAAGATAGGGATCGGAGGGAAAGGGTCTCTCACACATCGGACGAACTTTATTAGATGGACAATTAGGCCAATCATAATTCGTTTTCGTGTGATATCATCATTCCCCAACTCCATGGCTTTCCGCCACGTAAGCCTACATACCAACTCAAGACTTGACTGCGACAAGTGGCCGAACACAGACAGGACCGAGGTCGAAGGGCGAATAGTCTCGGAAAGAAGTAGAATGGAACAGGCACATTGGGAGCAAGAGGCCTATGGCGCAAGGTCTGCAGGGACAGTACAAGAATCCAACGGGGGATACGTCGTCCGACAGCTTGCGGGGGGATATTTGGACCCTGAAACTATGCAAAAATAAATAAATAAATGCAGTGATCTCCATGCAGGAGAAAAAAAGGTCCACGCGGGGCTCGAACCCGCAACCCTCAGCTCACCTTTACACAAGCGCATAGAAGGCTGATACGCTACCATTGCGCCAGTAGACCTAAATATCGCCGAATTTCGGTGCACTGGCCTTCATAGAGACGTTGAATGAGTGGAGGTGTAGTCTCGCCGCGTTTCCCTGTCCACCTAGTCACCAGGGATGGTGTCGGCTGAGGAGCATGAGCAAGTCATCACGGAGGAGTGGGAGGTGCTTGAAAGCATCTATATGAATGAGCTTGAGCGTACGTCCCAACATCTCACAATAGGCATATCCCGTGATCGCCTGCGGATTCAGGTGGTGCCGGAAGACTATGACAACAGCAAGAAGGATCCCGTGCTGACGCTTGACGTGCGGTACACGGATACATACCCCGACGAGGTGCCGCTCTTGTGCATCCGTGTTGTGGAGGATGAACGTCAAGTGCTCGGTGCCCCGCCGCCCACGGACGAGACGGCGGAGCATGAGACTGAAATGCCGCTTGTTTCGGACACGCGTGAAGGTGTACAGACCTTGCTTCATGGGTTGCAGCAGGTCGCTGAAGAATCCCTTGGAATGCCGATGGTCTTTAGTCTCGCATCGCACTTGCGCGAGTCTCTGACAGACTACATGACATCGCAGGCGCAAGCAGCTGAAAAGGCCGCTAATGAAAAGCGCGAGGAGGAGCTGCGTGCAGAGGAGGAAAAGTTCCGGGGCACCGCTGTCACTGCCGAGCGCTTCCGTGCATGGCAAGTCGAGTTTATGAAGAAGCGTGCAGAGCTTAAGGCCAAGGAAGAAGAAGCCTACATCGCTACGCTCACGGCCAAGGAGCGCGAAGAATACCGTCGCATGAAGGCCAAGCCAACAGGGCGCGAACTGTTTACCAAGCCAGGCGCGGGCATCGAAGAGGACAAGGATACTGACGATGCCGTGCAGGACGTCGACTGGAGCCTGTACTCGCGTGAAGAGCGCGAGAAGCAGGCGCGTGAGGACGCCGAGCCTGAGACGGCCGATGGCTATGTGGACGATCTCGACGATTAGCTAGATACGCACATAGGCTTCATCGAGCGAAGAGAGTGCGGCCTGAATCCTAGGGTCGCTCGCATCAACCTCGCCGGTGCCATGGGACGAGCCATCGCCAAAAATCACGACCTCGGCCACCTGATCCAAAAAACTGCCCGGCGGGAGCTGCGCTTGAGCAATGAGGCATGCGACCATTTGCTCGCACGCTAAGCCATCAAGCTGGACATGCGCCGCGAGGCGCGCGAGTGGCACCGTAGAGAAGGAGCGAGCCAGCGCGCAGAGCGTGTGTTCACTCACTGCGAGTGCAGCGGCCGAGAGGCCGTAGCGGGCTGGAGCGAGATGGCAGGCATGCCAAGCGGATGCAAGGACTTGGGTATCGGTGGGTCGCAGAGTCTGGCCGCGCGCGGCACGCTGCAGTGCGATCGCAAAAGGCCAGGTTGTAGCGCGGCTGTCCTCGGCGAGGCGGCACAGCAGTTGCGTGCGCGTCGGACTAGGCGATGCAGCGAGTGCGTGTAGTGCTGCGAGCTTCGCCATAGCGCCCTGTTCATCCGCAGAGAGCTGCGCGCTCGCACTGAGCTCCATGCACCGCTGTGCTGCGTCGCAGAACCGCTGCTGCGTCGCGAGTAGATGCGCCTGGCACATGTTAAAGTCGCGCAAAAGGGCTGTATCGTCTCGCGCCACATGTATGGCCGCCTTGGCACTCTTGAGTGCTTGCTCTGCGGCGTCGTCGTCGCCGGCGGCAATCCACAGCTGCACGATCTTGACACTAAGGGCCGGCCATCTTGCATCGCGTGCAGCACGCACGGCCTCAGGCGTACATGCCTGGAGTATGCGCGCCGCCTCGCGGAAGCGCTGCAACTGCTCGAGTAAATGTGCATGCCATTGTCTCCATGCCACAAGCTCATCGTCCCAGAGCGAGGTGTACGTCTCGAGCAGCGGCACGAGACGGGGCAGCACCTCGTCACACAGGGCCCTCGTATCGTGCAAAGGGTGATGGTGCTCCTCGTGTGCATGCATAAGCCTGGCGAGGAGCTCAGACACGAGGCGCCGGCCGACAAGGAGACCCGCCCCCGCCGTATTCACACGATGCAATATGGCAGCGCGTACGTACACCTCGAGCGTGGCGGCTAGGCACGACACATCTTGCCCTTTTATCAAAGTATCCAAATGCGCTGCATACGCTGCGAGGCGCTCGGCACTGCTCGGCACCGCCGCCACGGCCGCGAGGCGCGCATCGTCCGCCATGGCAGACGCAGGGGCCACGCGGCGCCCTGGGCCAGGACATCGGCCGAGCTCCGCACTCTGTAGCATCGATGCGGCCAGAGACAGGCGCGCCGCTCGACCTGGGCGCGTACCTGGGCGCTTGCGCCGGCTGGCCGCGTGTGCAACGCCTCATGTACCTAATGGAACATGATGCGGCGTGGCGCGTACCTGCGGCGACCGAGGCCGCGCACCTCCTGCAAGAGACATGGGACACGGAGCGGTTCCGTGAGGTATGTACGGTGCGCGGCACGCCGTGCACGCCAGACGAGGACGCGTGGATCGCAGACACCGAGGCGAGCATGCAGGAAACACGCGCCGTCCTCCTGGCCGACTTGAGTGCGTGCCAGGTGAATGGCCCTCGCGAAGCCATACGCCGAGCGCACATGGCATTGGGAGACCACTATCGGCACTGCGGGCGCTTCCGCGACGCGCTCGCCCACTATGAGAGCGCGCGTGAGTACGCCGCTGAGCACGAGTCTATTTTGCGGGCCGAGCTCGGTGCGATGGAGACGGCGTGGGATGCTGCGGAGCCATCGCGCGTGCTGGGCCATGCCGATCACGCAGACACCGCGCTCGACGCGCACGAGCGAGTGGGCCATGCGCCTCGGTCGGTGCGCACGCGCATCCATGCGTTCCGCACTCTTGCGCACTGGGCGCTCATGGAGCCAACGAGTGCGCCTACGTGGCCCGAGCCACTGAGCGAGCCGCTCGAGGCATACAGCGATGTGCTTCCGCCCTTGTCCTGCGCGTGGTATGCGGTGCTATGGGCACTCGGTGCGCCGCCCGCACAGCAGCAGTCGCGCACAGTGCAGCTGCAGCGCAGTGCGGCGTTTCGTGCGTGGACGGCGCACGCACCGGCACCGGCGCACGCGCTTTCCGCATATATCCGAGGTGCATGGACGGAGTGCGTGGCCCACCTGCACGACGCGGTGGCCGTGTGGGCGCACGAGCCCCCGCTAGGCGCGGCGCGTGCAGCCGCATGTCATGAGACTGTCTTGCAGCAGCTGATCGCACGGTATCTCGGCGCATATCGCCGCCTCACGCTCCAAGCGCTGGCGCACGTGTTCGGCGAGTCGGCCCTGTCTTTGGTCATCCAGCTCATCGAGGCAGAGAGCGTGCACGCACGCGTGGATATCGCTGCACAGACCGTCGACGTACTAAACGAGACGCTGTCCGTGTCGGAAGTCATGCGCCACGTCACCCAGGACGTGGCGCTGCGGCGGCGCATGGCGCTCCTCCAGCGCCTGCCCTAGTTACGTTGGCCAGCCGCGCGGGGCAGGGGGTGCCCCGGGCGCTGGCGCCTCAGGCGCGGGCCATGGCACGGCACCCGTGGGCGCCGGTGCCTCGGTCCACGGGCCCGTCCAGCCCCACACGCTCGCCAGCGCCTGGTTCGAGGCGGGCCATGGACCGGCCCCGAGCGCGTCGGCCGGCGGCCAGGGGCCTGCAGCCAGCGGTGCCTCGCGACCCGCATCGACCGCCTTCATGGCCAAATCAATTGGGTCGTCGACTTCGTCACCGGCAACGCGCACCGTAAAGAGGCCACGCGCGTCGTCATAGGCAAGACCGCATGCATCGAACTCCGCCATCACCTTAATATCGACCAGCACGTCCAGGATGCGCGCATAGTCCGAGCCGGCCTGGGCAGGATCGGCCCGCAATTGCGTGGGCACCGCGTACTGCGACTCGTCCGTCGGGTGCATCGTGCGGCGGATCGGGCCGAGATCGCGCAGATCATCGTCTTCCATGACGTGCACAAACACGGTTCCGGCCTCGTCAACATCGCGGGCGTTCGGCAGCAAGTCGAATGGGTAAGCCGCGCGAATCAGGTTCACAAGGTCCACAAGCGCGCTCCAGAAGCTCTGCCAGCGCGCGTCGACGCTGCGTTGCATGCACGCGAGACGCGCGACGCCATCCGTCGCGAGAGTCGATGCCGTCGCCGTCTGGTCCACAGCATGCTGCAGCTCCTCGGCCGCGCGCGCGGCGTGCGTGCGGCACGTGTGCAGGTACTCGAGGTGCCCCTTTACCCACTTGAGGCCAATACGCACCGCCGGTAGCGTGCGGCGCAGCACGCGGCCGACGGGCAGGAGCTGCGGCTCGGTGAACGACGGCTGCACCTGTAGCATCGCCACGAGCTCCTGTCGTGCAACGACAAAGAGGGCCGCAAGGAGACCGAGCACGTGCGACACGAGCATCGTCTCCCAAGCCTTGCGCACATGCTCTTCTAGCGCAGAGCCGTCCAGGTGTCGCGAGTACGGTGTGCCCGTAGCGAACGGCAGACGCGACGTCGGCGGCGCACGCCATAGACGCGCAGTCCACGACGCGCAGATCCCCGTCACGACGACGCGCAAATAGTCGACGGCACGCAGCTCGAGAGCATCGGTGAGCGTAAGAAGGTGCCGCAGAAGCGCCTCGTTGAGCACACACGCCACGTCCAGATCTGCTTGCAGCGCATACATGCTGTGTAGCTGCACGAATGAGGCGAGCCACTCATGCGCTGAGTCCCAGCGCACACTGACCTGCGGCATGGACGCGCGGTGCGCCGGGCTATCCTCAAAGGACGCTTGGCGCCACGCGGTGAGAATGTCGTCGCGCGTCGCAGACGCGAGCCACGCCTCGAGTGCCTTGTCGAGAAGGCGGTGAAGATTGAATCGCGCCTTGTCAAATGGTACGCGCACGCAAAGCGCGCGGTAGTACTGGTACATGGCACCGAATGTGTCGCCAACAAAAAGCGCCACCACAGCGAGCTGATTCGATGGGTTGCCATGGTCCGGCAAAAGGAGGTGAGCCTCATGGTAGAACCGCAGCGCCGCCCCAAAGTCGTGCGGCGCGGCCTCGCCACCTGCACCGCGGCGCCGCGGCGCGAGCGCGGGCGGCAGCACGGCATGCATCTCGCGGTAGCGGTGCAGGTCACCCATGTAGGTAAGCAGGCGCTGCAGCGTCTCGAAGAGCTGGTGGCGGTACGCCGGTACTTGCGCGAGCGCCAGGGCCTCGGGAGTCACCGTTCCTTCATTCTCTGTGCCACGAAGTAGCCCTAGTCCCTCGGCAATCGGACGCGCCTCGTGCAGGTCAAACAGGCGCACGAGACGCGCAGCGAGGCTTTCGTAGAATGCAAGCTCCTCGCTAATAAACCGGCGCAGATCGCGCAGCACATTTTCCAGGGCACTAAGCTTGGCACTGCGCCGCTCCGACTTGGGCGCCTCGCCCTTCGACGTGGGCGCCGCACTCGCCTCGCGCTCCAAGCGCGCGAGGTGCGCACGCAGCGCCGCAATGACGGAGTAGGTCGTATCTGCCCAGATCATCGAGTCAACGAGCTGAGCGCCACGCGTAAACGGGCACGCGAGCAGCAGCGCGACGTATGCGTTACGCAGCGCCATTCGCGCCGCCGCCACTTCAGCATCGTAGGGCTCCGGCACCGTGCGCACCGCGCCACCGTGAGTCATGCGTACGACCTCCTCGAGTTTCTGCTTGCATGCGCGTGCCTCTCTGCGCAAAGCCGCCGCATCGGCGTCCCGCACGCAGCAGACATCGGCGTTCATCGCACGTCGTGTCACCCACTCGTCCCTGCGCCGTGCCCGGTGGCGTAGGCCTCCACCTTCACGTGATAGATTTTTTTCGCGCCGCCGCCCACGGACGGTCGCTGCCTTGTCCGCTACGCATGTCGGACCCGTTTTTCCAGAAGAAGCGCCAGCGCACCCAAAAGGGGGCGGCGCGCCCTCGCAGGGAGACGGCGCGTGATTCGGACTCGGAAGATGGCGGTGGCATCGATGCCGTCGAGGATATGGACCTGCGCCACTCCTTTGACGAGCCGGCCGCCGACGAGTACCGCGAGACGCCCGCGGAAGCCAAGGTCCGCCTCGCGCGCCTGTATCTCGAGGGCCTGCGTGAGAAGGATGAAGATGTGATCGAGGGAATTGACGCGGCAGCCGTCGATCGCGACAATATCGCCGCTCGGCTCCGCAAGGACGTGGAAGAGGGCAGCGGGCGTCTGCATGTGCGCGTAGCCGCACGTTTGCAGGCTCCGCGCCCTGACGACATCCTCGCAGTGCAGGGGCACCGTGCCCCTGTGACATGCGCGCGTACCGGCGCCGCTTCGCCCTACCTTTTTACCGCCGACAAGGACGGGCGCATCGTCCAGTGGCACCTGCGCGACGGCTCCCAGGCCTGCGTCCTGCCGCGTGCCTCGGCCACTGCACCGATACCCAGCTCTCACACGAGCGGTGCCGCGCGCCGGCGTGCGCGCGCACGCCGCGCGGAGCAGGGAGGCACCTTTGCTGGGCATGCTGCGCTCTCGCCTGGCGAGGGGCATGCGAAGGGTGTTTATGCGCTGGCCGTCAGTGACGATGGCCAGCTGTGTGCGTCGGGCGGGCAGGAGCACTACATCGGCATATGGCGCACGGCGCCAGCGGCGCCGACCCAGTGGGTTCGAGCGCTGCGCGGCCACAAGGATGCGGTGCGTGCCCTCGCATTCCGCCACGGCACACACGAGCTGCTCAGTGCGTCGTACGACCGCACCGTCAAGCTGTTTGATGCATCGCAGCTCAGCTACATTGAGACCCTGTTTGGTCACCAGGAGGCGATCCAGGACCTGGCGTGCCTGCGCGCGGAGCGTGCGGTCACAGCAGGCGGGCGCGACCGGACATGCCGTCTCTGGAAGATACGCGAGGAGAGCCAACTGGTGTTCCGCGGCGGTTCCCGCAGCAAGGCCCAGGCGCTCCTCGAGGGCGGGGACCTCGTCGATACCCCTACGAAGAACGAGGTGCCAGAAGGCAGCATCGACTGTGTCGCGATGATTGACGACCACCACTTTGTGAGTGGGAGCGACAGCGGTACGCTATCGCTCTGGTCCGTCGCAAAGAAGAAGCCGCTCTTTGCCGTGCACGCCGCGCACGGCTGGCACGAGCAGGTGCATGCGACGGAAGGCCTGCAGCGTATGCCGCGCTACATCACAAGCGTCGCATGCCTCCCGTATGGCGACGTGTTCGTGTCCGGCTCCTGGGACGGCGTCGTACGTGTGTGGGGCCTGGACGATGGTCTCCGCTCCTTCCGCCTCCTCTTCGAGCTGCCGGCGCCCGGCGTCGTCAACAGCTTGCAGCTTCTCACACCCGAGATTGAGCATATGGACGACTACCCCGTGGCGCCTGCGCTGTGGCGCCGGCGCGGCAGCCTGGATGCGCCGCTGGCCGCCGCGGCCGCCACCCGCGCGGCGCCCACCGCCCCGAAGCGCACGCGCCGTGCAGGCCTTTCTACGGCAGACGGGCGTGTGCTGGGGCACAAGGAGAGCATTGCGCCCCTACTCATCGCCGCCCTGGCCCCCGAGCCGAAAGCCGACCGCTGGCTGCACACCGACAGCGCCGCGACAGGCGCGCTCGTTGTGCCGCTGTGGCTCCATAGCACGTGATGTAGCGGCCCGCCGTGCTCGTCGTGCAACGGCATGCAGCGCCCCGCAGGCGGGATAAGCGACGGCTTGGCCGCGAGTTTTAATCAGGATTTTAGCTGCGTGGCGCTTGCGACACCTCATGGTTACTCTATAACGAACTGTGAGCCGTGCCAGTTGGTGTATGCCAAGGGTACGTGACGACACTCACACTAGCGACGGCCCCTACCGCCCTGGTGGAAATGCTCTTTAGCACAAGCCTGATTGCCGTGGTACCCGCCGCGGACGCCTCAGGTGCGGAGCGGCGGCGTCTGCAAATCCTCAATACGAAGCGGCAGTCGACCATCTGCGAGCTTGTGTTCCCTGCGCCGATCCAAGCCGTCCGCTTGAACCGCCGGCGCCTCGTTGTTGTGCTGCCCGAGGCGCTGTACGTGTACGACATCAGCAACATGAAGCTGCTGCATACGATCGAGCAACCACACAGCCTCTGCGCGCTGGCGCCGTCGTCCGAGTCGTGCTTCCTTGCCTATGCTGCGCCGGGGCCCCGCGCCGATGCAGCGCCAGGGGCCAGCAGCCATGTCGTCTTATACGACCTGCTCACGCTGAGTATCGCGGGCATCGTGCAGGCACACCGCTCGAGTCTCGCGTGCCTCGCACTGAACGCAAGTGGGACGCTACTTGCGACGGCGAGCGAAAAAGGCACCGTCGTGCGCGTGTTTTCCGTGCCAGAGGGGCGCCTGCAGTACCAGTTCCGCCGCGGCTCGTACAGCGCCTACATTCACAGCCTCACATTCAACGCGGCCTCCACGCTGCTGTGCGTGACGTCCGACTCGGACACGGTGCACATCTTCCGCTTGTCGCCCGCTGCGCGCCTCGATGAGCCGGACGCCGCGCTCGCCGCCAAGAAACGCACAGGGCTGCTGACCGCGTGGCAAAAACAGGGCGCAGCCGTCGCCGGCACATTGAGCGGCTACCTGCCAGCGACATGGGCGGACGCATGGGAGCCGACGCGCGACTTTGCGTGGCTCAAGCTCCCGAGCGCAGGAATGCGCACGGTGGCGGCGGTATGCAATACGCTGCCGCTCGTCTTTGTGCTCACGCACGACGGCCGCCTGCTGACCTTTGCACTGGATTTGGACCGCGGCGGCGAATGCACCCTGGTAAAGCGTACGTATGCACGTCTGACAGCAGAGCACTCTTTGCTGCATGTACCGAGCTATAGCACGAATGCCTAGATACCCTACAGCTTGCCGAGCAGCTTCTCGAGCTCGCCACTCTGCTGCGCACGCAGGAGGTCGTCACAGCCGCCGAGATGCTGGCCGTGCACAAAGATGTTTGGCACGGTGCGCTGGCCGGTCTTCTGCTGCAGATACGCCTGGATGTCGGCGCCCTCGCTCATCTCGTCCAGCTCGACCGTGCCGACCTGCGACGGACTCAGGTTCAGGCCAGAGATGACCTGCTTCGCGCGCTGGCAGTACGGACAGTACGACTTGCTGAAGACGGCAACGATGTGCTCGCTGATCAGTTTCTGGGTCAGCGCACGCAACGCACCTCGGCAATCTGCTTGGCAGCCATGGTGGCGGAGGGAAGGCCCGAGCTGCCTCGCACGTGATAGAAAGGCCCCGCCCTGCGACGCACGGCCCGATCCATCTTCGTCGGCGCTATGGATACAGGATACAAAAGTTGTTGCGCTGCGCTCCCGCACGCAGCTCGCGCTTTTTAAACACGGTGCCGTCCCAGAAGAGGGAGGCCACGTCCCTGCGGGCAGCCTCTGTGGCCTGGGGATCCCGCTGCTGCAGTAGCCAGCGCGTCAGCCGCTGGCTGTCTTCCTGCCGTACAACGTCGTAGCCGACGGACCGCACGAGCGAGCGAAAGTGCTGGTGCGACATGTACCGGCTGTTGGCCACGCACGCGAGCGGTAGCACCACATAGACATAGCCGCCAGGGCGCAAGTATTGGTGCGCATGCACGAGCATCGCCCCGCGACGGTGCAAGTCGCCCACGAAGTTGAGGACGAGCGACAAGCCGACCACGTCAAACTTGTGCGCGTCATCGGCCGGCACAGGAAAATCGAAAAAGTCACACGCAATCACATGGTCCGCCCGCGGATGCAAGTCCATGCTCGTCGTTTCCACAAAGCCAGGCCACGCCGCGTACGCGGTCCCAGCAATCGCGCCGACATCGAGCAGCCGGACCTTTCGGCTCAGCGGCCACAGCTCTTTAAGCACCTTGACACACCACTTGCCCGACTCGCCTCCACGAACCACGGCGCCCCCCGTCGAGCTCTGGTCCTGGTACGCGGCCAGGCCGCCCAGCGCACGCTGCTCGGCCACAAGCTGCGCTCGCTCGTCTGGTGGCGCGCGTGCGATCTTCTTCTCCAGTGCATGGTACTGCGCAATGACCTTCGCATGCTCGCTCACTGCTGCGCCTGCCTTACTGCTTTTGCGGTGCTTCGCGCCCCCACGCTTACCGCGGGGGCGCACCAGCCGCGCACGACGGCGGGGGGCGGCAGGACGGTCGGCCATGGCAGGTGGAGAAAAAGGCCTATTTCGAGCCTATGGTCTCGTAGGTCCCGTCGCGCGTCTGCTTCGTCACGGTGCCGTCGGCCATACCAAAGTAGCCCACTTGGCACAAGCCATTGAAGAGGCCGACTTCTACAACACCGGTGATCAGCTTCAGCTGGCGCAGCAGGTGGTCGGGGTTACGCATCACCGCCTGGGGGAACACGGCGTCGATGCACAGGTTGCCGTTGTCAGTGACGACGGGCCCGGCCTTGGCGATGCCCATACGGATGTGGGCATCCGTGCTACCGAGCTGGCGGATGCGTGTGAGCGCCTTCTGCGCGGCAAATGGCGCGACTTCGATCGGCACACCCTTCGTCCAGCCATCGCCCAGGACCTTGGACATCTTGCGGTAGTCCGCCACGACGACCATTTCCTTGCTGCTCTCGGCAATGACCTTCTCCTGCAGATGGCATGCACCACCTCCCTTGATCAGGTTCAGCGCGAGGTCGACACTGGCATTAGTTGCGCAACGTACTCATCCGCGCCATCGATCACAATGTCTAGCTCCGGGCACGTATCCACATCGGCCAGGTGGAGTCCTGCTGTGAGCGCCGCGCACGTACCGCCCTCGATGATCAGCGTCTTAGCCTGCAGACTCGTCGGCACGAACAGACGGGACTTGTTCAACTCCGAGCCCTGCGCCACGATGCGCTCCACGGCGTACACGACCGTCGAGCCGGACCCAATGCCGATGTGGCGCATGTTCGGCTTCACATGTGTGTCCACAGCGGCGAAAGCGGCAGCGCGCTTCGCCGAATCAAGAGGAGAGAGGCTCGAAGAGGCCATTGTCTGTACAAACCGGGAAAATAAGGTGCCACGCACGATGATGGAGGCGTGCGAAGCGGGGCGCCGCGCCGGCCACCGGCTTATTCAGCACCGGCCGCTTTTTTCTCTTGCGACGAAGCGCACGGATATGGACGGCGCCTGGCACCCGACCGCGGAGGAAGCGCAGGAGCCTGCGGATCTGCGGATTGTCGCAGACGATGTCGATGCTGATGTGACGGAGGGCGGCGTCGAAACCCCCATGGACGACGACGAGCCGGAGGATGAGGACGTGTTCGAGGACAACTCGCTGGCGGCCTTCTACTCGCACCGCCAGTCCGTTTTTTGCGTGCAGCTGCACCCTCAGTTCCCGAACCCTCCTCTCGCTGTGAGCGGTGGCGAGGATGATGCAGCGTGGATCTGGAACACGATTGACGGCTCGGAGGTGGCGCATCTCACTGGCCACACCGACAGTGTGGTGGCGGTGGCGTTTAGCCACGACGGCGACATGGTCGCGACCGGTGGCCTGGATGGGCGCGTGCGCCTGTGGCGCCGGCAAGACGATGCGTACACGACCTGGACCTTCCTCACGAACCTCGAGGGCCCCTCGGAAATTGTGTGGCTCGAGTGGCACCCGCGCGGCCCCGTGCTGGTGGCGGGCGCCTCAGACACGACCGTCTGGATGTGGAAGCTGCCCTCCGGCGCCGAGATGAACGTATTCAACGGGCACACGGGCTCCGTGACGTGCGGTCGCTTTACGCCAGACGGCCGACGCCTCGTCACGGGCAGCGACGACGGCTCGCTGATCGTGTGGGATCCCGCGTCCGGCGCGCCCCTCGCCAAGCTGAAGGACACCAACACACGCTTTGCGCTGGATGGCGGCATTACGTCGCTGGCGGTGAGCCCCGACAATAAACTGGTCGCCGTCGGCGGTGCCGCGGGCGGCGTGCGCGTCGTGAGCATCGCAAACATTGAGCAGGGCGCCGCGGCGCAGGTCGTTGGTACGCTCGATGCACACGACGCGGGCGAAAGCGTCGAGAGCGTCGAGTTTATTGACCTGCTTCCGTCTGAGGCCGCTGGCGTCCTGGGCAGCCGGACGGCGCGCACGTCTACACACCTCGTGTCGGCTGCCACGGACGGCCGCGTGATTGTGTGGGACCTGGCGCTGGGTAAGATGCGTGGCGAGGCGCGCCACGAGGCGGCTGTAACGAAGCTGGTCGTGCACCCGTACACGCCGCTCTTCAGTACGAGCTCCATGGACCACCGTCTGCGCACGTGGGACGCACGCACGATGCAGCTCGTCGGTACGCAGTACGGCTTTACGGACGGCGTGCTAGACGTCGCCGTTGGCGTGGACGACGGCCTGACGCAAGGGGCTGATACAGGTGGTATCGGTGCCTTTGTCGACCCTGCGCGGTCTAAGGGCTACAAGCTGGTGGGCGCGGGCGATGAAGGCGTAGCGCTCGTTTTCCGACTCACTTAGCAGCAGCGACTCGGCGCGCCGCGTGGTCCGAGCGGCACAAGGTCGTGTGCGGCGTCCGCCCCGCTCGTATCTGCGAAGCTAAAGTGGCTCCCTGTGCTGTTCCGCCACAGGAAGCGCTCGCCGTATGCAATGCCCGAGTCTGGGCGCTCGGGATCGATGGTGCCGGCGCTCAGACCGAGAAGCACGGAGCGCGCCGCCAGTACAAACGGAGCATCGACATTCTCGCCCGTGATAGACGACGTCTCAGTGAAGAGAACGCCCTGCTGCGCGGCCCAGCGGCCCGCGTCGAGCGTCGCCACCTCGCGCTCATCAGCCTCGCGGTCGAGCTGGTTGCCGACGAGCACAGTGACAACCTGGGGTGATGCGAGAGCGCGTACGTCGTCGAGCCACTTGGCGAGCTCGGCGAAGGTGGCGTAGCGAGTGAGGTCATAGACTAGTACGACGACAGCTGCGCCGCGATAATAGCTGCGCGTCACAGAGCTGCGTAAGCATAGCCACCTACCGGAAACGCTCCTGACCCGCCGTGTCCCAGATCTGTAGTTTGACGCGCTGGTCGCCGACCGACACCAGCCGGCTTAGCAGCTCGAGGCCAATGGTCTGTGTCGCCTGCGTCCGCGCTGCGTCAGCACGGACGACGTACGCCGCCCCTGCGCAAAGTGATGCGCAAGGCAACTTTTGCCTGTCCCAGACTCTCCAATCACAATAACCTTGACTAGGAAATCATATGAGCACTCGCTCATGCCCACGGACGAATGCTCGCCGCTGGCGTGCATCGCGCCACGGTCGCCGCGCCGAGGCGGCGGCGCGCACGACCCTCGTGTCACGTGACGACGCGCACAGGCTGTAGATGTTGCTCGCTCGCGCGGTGTGTTGATCGGCCGTCCGCCTGGGCGTGCACCAAGACGGCGATCGCCATGTCGACCCAGTCTGTGGCGCCGCCTTCGCCCCAGCTCGATGCGATGATGAATCCGCCCGAGGCCGAGGCGCCGGCGTCCCGCTCGTCTCGCCGCTCGTTCCGCGCACGTGTTTCGGACACGATCCAGCGGGCGCGCGGCCGCTCTGTGAGCCCGGCGAGGCCGGAACGTCCGGGCGACGAGACGCCTGCAAGCCCCAGCAAGGGCTTGCGCGTTAGCCAGCTGCTGCGGCGCTCGTTTGATATGGCGCGCAGCACATCGCCAGGTCCGAGCGCGTCACGAAACCAGGACGTGGTGTACAGCTACAATGCACCCACTTTTGAGATGCCTGACCTCCCTGACTGGCAGCTCTACGATGGCACGAGCGTGTCGAAGGATCTTGACAAGATGATGGCTGTGAACGAGTCTATGGCGCAGCCCAATCCCGCGGCGATGCAGGCCCCAGCCGCCGCGCCGCTTCCGCCGCTGCAGCCGGCGCACGTCGCGGCGCACATGCACTTCCAGCCTGGCCAGGTCATTTCGTCGACAGTCATGGCGCCCATGTCGCCGGCTATGCCTGAGGCATCGGCCCCTGCCCCCCTCCTTTCGCCGCCCGCGCCCGTGCCACATGATGACGAGGTACCGTGGTCGATCCCGCCCGGCGAAGCGCCCCTGTTTGGTCAGACACGGCAGCGTTCCCGCACCGCGCGCGAAAGTATGGGCACTTTGCCAGCTGCCTCATTTAATCGCGACCGCCCGTCGTCTCCAGCACCACCAGTCCGCGCCGTGCCCTCGGAAGAAGGGCGCACAGAGGCAGACATTGTGGATGCCTATGCTGGCGAGGCGCCTCTCCCATCGGTGCCTGCCGATGAGACGGCCGATGATACGGTGATCGAGCATGCGAGTGCGCCGCCGGAGCCGGCTGTCGCGAGCGAGGCCGGCACGTCGTGGCGCATGTACGACTCGGATGACGAAGAGATGGACGAGGGCGGCGCAGGGCGCCTATACCACCAGCACCACACCGAGAGCGATGCACCAGGACCGTCGCGCACTGCGTCCGCTCAGAGCCACACATCCGAGCACTCGGAAGCCAAGCAGCAGCGCATACTCTCGGCGATGCAGAAAGCGCCGGAAGGCGCGGGCCTCACTGACCTGATGAACCGCGTAGTGAACCCTGAGCGCCAGAGCTGGTTTCAGGGCCTCTGGTCGCGGCAGTCGTCGCACAGCTCACATGCGAGCGGCAAGGCATCGCAGCGCTCCGCGTCGACCGGCGACGGTGTCATTTTCCGCGGCGCCGATACGAGCCCGTCGCTCTACAGCAACGACGAGCGCTTTAGTGATCGTGACTCTCTCCTGGAACGGCCGGACGCTGACACCGTGCCAGGCCCATCGGAGCCTGCACCTGCGCCCACGCCCCGGCCTCTGTCGCGCGCGGCCGAGGAACCTGCTGACTCCGACGCTAAGGCGCCCGTCCGCTCTACACCGACAATGCCCAGTGCCGCACCGACAGGCTGGGAGAACCATCCAGATGCGCAGTGGCACAGTACATATAACGAGACGTGGCAAGACCCGAACGGCACACACTATGAAGGGTACGATGCACAGGCGGCCTGGTATGGCGCCGAGGGCTCATGGCAAGACCCAAATGCCCAGTGGCACGATCCGAATGCCCAGTGGCAGGACCCAAATGCTCAGTGGCAGGACCCAAATGCCCAGTGGCACGATCCGAATGCCCAGTGGCAGGACCCAAATGCCCAGTGGCAGGACCCAAATGCCCAGTGGCAGGACCCAAATGCCCAGTGGCACGATTCAAATGCGAGGCAGGACCCCAACGCACCGATCACCTACGACGAACACGGGCACGCACCTGGCCACCACTTGGCTGTGCAGTCGTCGCATATTCCCGACATTTCGTACCATGGCCCTCACGAGTGGGAGGCACCCGAGCAGGGGTGGCACCATCCCAACTGGCGCTCGGTCGCGTGTGAGCCGAATGCGTATGCGCGCCCCCATCAAGTGCGACGCAAAGCCCCGCCAGGCTCGCAGGGTACCCTGCCCGCCCCCTCGCCCAAGCTCGCGCCATCTCCAAAGCCGGCGTCAACTCCAAAGCCAGCGCCAGCTCCGAAGCCAGCGCCAGCCACACAGCCCGTTGCGGCACCTCTCATGCCGCCCATTGATGAGGACGAAGAAAGCATTATCAACGAGGATGGCAAACGCCTCAAGCCGGATGGCTTTGGTGGGTTCAAGGTCGTGGACGAGGCAGATCCAGCTCCATCTTCTCCTGCGACAGAGCCGACCTCTACATCGACGCCCAAACCCCCGCAGGACCCGCTGCCGCCCCCTGACGCTCCCAAATCGCGTCCGCAAAGTGCGGTCATAACGCCGCGACCGTCTATCATCCGTCCCGAGGCACCGCGCGCGAGGCAATCTATGCCCGCCGCGACGCCGCCTAAGAAGCGCGATGGCCACTTCCAAATTGCGCCTGAGGTGTACACGACACCTCAGAGCTTGCAGGGCACGAGGGGCCGCATGACGTGGACACCCGAAATGGCCGAGGCAGCCGCCAAGTACATCCAGACCATGACGGCCTCCGCCTCGCAGTCGATCCTACACGAATCCGAGCCAGGAACGTCGATGAGCGCCGCGACTGGCGCGCCCGAGCCGCTGGTCCCGCACAAGAGCGCGCCGGTCGCGCCCCCTGCGTCGCTGCCGACATCACAGTCGGTTGTCGAGCAGCTGCAGGACCAGGGCATGCAAGTTGTGCTGGATGCGGGCGACGGCGTCGAGCTCGCCAACTTGCCACTCCAACAGGCCCTCCAGGAGATGATGATGCGCTTCTACTTTTTCGAGCGCCACTCTGTGCCGCTCCTACGTGAGCTCGATAAGCGTCTTATTGCGCTCGAACAGTGGGCCGACCTCCCTGCGGCTCCGGGGGCCGAGGCTCCAGCATGGAACCGCGAGGCTGTCTCTCGCATGACCAGCGAGGTCCGGCGCGAAGTGCGCATGCTCATGCACGGAACGAAAGCGCTCCATGAGAGTCGCCTGCAAGTGCAAGAACTGGCAAATCAGTCAACGCCGTCCAAGAAGCGCAAGCGCCCGGTCAGTGCGGTCCTGCCCGAAAAGCGCCTCGCCTCGATCTCGTCGCGCGCGTCCAGTCGTGTGTGCAGTGGGGAAAGCGAATCGTCGCAGGTCACGACTGTCGTGAGACAGCTGCCCGAGCCGCCCGTCGCAGCGTCCAGTGCGCCACCACGCTCACCTAAGAGCGGACCACGGCCATGCCCGCCGACACCCGTGCGGACGCCACGCGTGTCGCAAGGACCGGCGAACGAGTACGAGCCTCGACTCCCAGAGACCGAATCCCAAGCGCTTTTGCCCGAGCCTCGCATGGAACACACAGCAAGCGAGGCAGCGGCGCCAGAGCCTGCCGAGCCCTCGCCTGCAGAAAGGACAGGCGCTTTGCAGTCGAAGCCGACGACCCTCGTGCCCGAAAAGACGACTCTTGCGCCTGAGCCGACGATGCTGGCGCCTGAACCGCCTGAGCCGACGCCTGAGACAAAGACCCTGGCGCCTGAACCGCCTGAGCCGACGCCTGAGACAAAGACTCTTGCGCCCGAGCCGGCTCCTGTGCGCGCCCCGTCGCCGCCTGCCGTGGTCCCCGTGCAACGCGCGCGCAGCTTGCTGCTGGCATCGCTGCGGCGTGCGGATGAACGCACACGCACGCCATCTCCGGCCCTTGAGCATGCCAAGGCAAGCGAAGAGCCAGCAACCCCTCAGACTGGCGAGCGTATGGCCGCTGAGTCCAGCGACGAACCTAGCCGTGCGCCGCTCTCGAATGTGGGTAATACATCTACACCGAGCGGCGGCCTACGTGCGCGAGCTCAAAAGTACCTGGACAAGGTTGAACAGACTTCCTCGCCGAACCTAGAAACACCTGAGAATGTCGCACCCAAACGTTCCAACTCGTTCCAGCCTTCGGCGCTTAGTGAGTCGCTGCGTCGTCGCATGGCCAAATTTGAGCAGGCAGGTCCCTAGCCCTCCACATGTAATTTCTAGTACTTTATAGATGACGACAGAGGGCTCTAACGCCTCTCTGAGGCGCCCCTCTTCTGCGGCCGCTTCCGAGGAAGATAAGCCCAATGCAGATGGATTCATCCTGGATCCTTATGGCGGTGTGCCAAAAGCTGTCTCGGCGCTTCAACAGGCACGCGATTCGAGCCATTCCGGCGCCGCCAAAGGTCTGTTGCTCTCGCTCGGTTGGCTCGACAGACTGCTCTCGTTCTTCATTCTTGCAGCTATGATTCTGGGTGTTATTATCGGGCAGTTTGCACCACATGCGAAAGAGCGCCTAGACAAGGGCAATATGGTCGGGGTGTCTGCTCCCATGGTCGTGGGACTCCTAGTGATGATGTGGCCGATCCTAACGAATGTCCAGTATGAGCGGATCCACCTCCTCTTCCGCACGCGCCGAATATGGTACCAGCTTGGCCTTGCCCTGCTCATCAACTGGCTGCTCGGCCCATTCCTCATGCTGGGGCTCGCATGGGCGACGCTGCCCGATCTACCCGAGTATCGTATCGGCATCATCATGGTCGGCCTCGCTCGATGTATTGCGATGGTTATGATCTGGAACCGCATCGCTCGGGGCGATAGCAATACATGTGCCATCCTCGTCATTATTAATTCGCTCTTACAAATGGTCCTATACGCACCGTACGCCTTATGGTTTGTCAACGTCATATCTGGCGACACATCCTTCTCGCTACAATATGCACGTACGGCCACCTCTGTCGCCATCTACCTCGGTATTCCTCTCGCGGCTGGTATTGTGACACGCTTTGTTATGCTTGGACTGCTCGGTCGCGACGCTTTCCACACGCGCTTTTTGCCGTTCTTCGGCCCACTGAGTCTTGTGGCCCTGCTGTACACCATCATTGTGATTTTTGCATCCCAGTCTCAACAAATTCTCGATAATCTCGGGCCTGTATTTCGAACGATTGTGCCATTGGTCGTGTATTTCGCGATAATGTGGGTGGCGACCTTTGCGCTCGTTTGGTTTCTTTCACGGCGGTATGGCCGGCGCGAGTGGGGCTATCAGATGGCTGTTGTCCAGTCGTTTACCGCCAGCTCGAACAACTTTGAGCTGGCCATCGCTGTGTGCGTCGCCTTGTACGGCGCTGACTCGCCCCAGGCCCTCGCTGCGACGGTTGGCCCCCTCGTCGAGGTACCAGTGCTTTTGCTCCTCAGTTGGCTCGCGCTGCTTGTCGGGCAGCACATGCGCTGGGACGTCAAGTCCACATTCGATCAGAATGAGATCCCCAATACGACTACTGTGGTGCCTCCCAAGACTGCGGACTCCAAAACCGACTAGGCCAACGTACCTATGGGTATATAGCTAAACAATCACGCAGTCTTCACGGACTTTGATACCATACATCTCTGCGTCAATATTGCTCTCGATCGTCTTAAAATCGCAGCGCGCCCTAAGGAACTCGTACATTTCCTCAGGTCGCATCATGCCATGGCTGAGCATGGGGTCTTGTACCATCTTGGCCAACTCTTTGGGCTCTGACACAATGTACAGACTGCCGACCCGCTTGAGGGCGGCGAATCGGGCCGTAAGCGACGGCTGCCGCAAGCTTTCAATGAATTGAAAGTAGTGGTTCAAGTCACAAATCACCTGGAATCCCCCGGTCATCGAGATAATCTGCCGCTTAAGGTGCTTGCACAATACGGTATACAGGCGGAATCCAATCTCCTCGTAGAATACATCCAGCACGGCCTTGTCAGCACAGGCTGCGAGCATGTCACAGTACACACGCAGAGTCGCACAGCATTCAGCACACGCCTGCGTCGGCGTCGAAATGTCAACCGCCGCTTCCGACTCCGGGTAATAGTCGCGCGGATGCTGGTGCGTCAGTACAATATGCTCCATTTGGTGAACAAGCAGTTCCACACCGGCGCTTAGACCGCTCGCCACCTGCTCGTCCAAATCGTTTTCAAAGCGGCGTTTCTCCCGTACTGCCGCATTGGTAAAGTCCATCTTGCCAAGCAGACGAGGGCCGAGGCGGTCGAAGAACACTTGCCCCATCTGCTGGATCGTATCGCCAATATGCACCAGCTCAAAAAAAAGCAGAAGCGGGCCGACATGATCTGCAGCATTCCCGCCAGGCTGCTCGCTGTCGTGCTTTGCCGGACTGTACATCCCGATTTGTTCTCGCGCTGTGTCAAATCCTGGCTTCATGTGCTCTTCGTTCAGCGAGACGAACAACGCGACAACGACATCGATAATCACCTTGCGCACAGGCTCCCGCAGGGATGCACCACAATCTTGCAGTATATCTAGGCGCTGCAAAGACAGACGCGCCACGTCAATCAGCTCGACCGCGGTCGCTAGATTGAGAAGCGAAGACGTCTGCCCCGGATTGGACGTCGTCGAGACGCCTGAGGCCTCTGCTTGTACACTGGCTGGCTTAGTCGGCTTAGGGGCCATGCTGCTCGGATCATCGTCATATTCGTCCTCATCGTCCCACACATCAGGCGCAGCGCCCACACCCATGTACCCTGCCGTTGCACTAGGTGGCGGTGCCGTCTCACTTGAAATGCGCGGCGAAATGTCCTGGCGCTTTGCACGGATCTGCTCTAAGCTCTTTGAGACTGGTGTGATACGTGTGCTGACGGCGGGCGTCACAAGAGCGTCCTTGAAAGTCGACATGAACGAGCGTTTCTCGGCCGCCGTGGGTGGCACTGCGACAGCATTTCTCTCGTTTTCCCACGCCTGTAGCATCATCTCGAGACTGTCGAGCCAGCGATTGCACGTTTCTTTCAGTAGCTGTTTCATCCATCCGCACTCGGCTTCCAGATAGTCAGCCAAGTGCTTCTGCCATACCTGACTCAGGATCGCCTCGACCGTAGATGAATCCAGCCCTGGCAGCGACATTAATCGCCGCATGTGTGATAAGCTCTGCACAAACCATTCAAGGTACAGCTCCTCGGACACTTGTCGAGCACATTGCAGCAGCGTGGCCAGGTAGTCGGCCAAGAGCGTGTGTGCTACACGCTCCAGCAGCGCTGCGGCAACTGGCTGCTCAGCAGGAAAAATGCGAATGATCAGCTCGTTCTCCTGTGTGAGCACAGAAAACAGATATTCGACGAAACCGCGGAATGGCTCCATATGGAGACCTGCCTCAAGTTGCTCCGGCATACAGTCTTGCGGATTGTAGGGTAAACGTGCATTCAATAAAGGCCTCGACAAAATATGTGTATCCGCAATTACTGAACCGCTCAACTGATGAAGCTGCGTCAGGTACGGCGGCTCTAATACATCGCCTGAGGTAGGGCCCAACACCCATGCTGCCATGCGCAGCTTCCAAGCGCCATGCGCCATAATGTGGATGGCCGCTTCAGCCTTTTCCACATCCACAGATGCTTGAGCAGCGCGGGCTTCCACCAGATGCGCTTCCTCCATTGTGTATGCCGCTCGCAGCTCTGTCTCCAAGTACACTGTCGCCTGCTGAACTTTGTTCAGGATTGCAGCCTCGTCCTGCATCTTGGGCGAAGGGACACAACAGGCGACACTGGAGCAGAAGCGCGCCAAGATGCACAACAATGTACACTGCTCTTGGGTATCCCTAGTCTTGACAAAGAGTTTCGACGACGACGTCGAGGATTCTGTGAGAAAGGAGAGGACGAAGGGGCGCAATAATTGGTACGCTCGCGTAACACGCGCAAAGAACGGACGATCTGAACCCGATACATCAGTTGGGGTATCCCAGTCCAAGTCTGCCAGCAAATCAACAATCTGGTTCGTAGTAGGCCGAGGCGCGGGCTTAGGTTTAGGCTTGGCTTTGACGGGTGGCGAATCCAACAGCGGATCAGGCAGGGACGAAAGCGGTTCCCATCCTAGATTTTTCCAACGCCTCTCCCAAAGATCCTCGCCGTACACAAGATCTTTCAACGCGCGTGAACATTGAGCAACCGACGGCAGATCAGTCAGTGGCACATAATCCAGCAGGTGCTCCAGCACACTGCGTGGAAAAGGGCCAAAGTCTGTTGAAATTAAGGTATCTGTATCTACACACTCTCCCCCATCTTCCTGGGAGGTAGATACGGGTATACGACGCTGCGGTGCCAACGGCGCCCACATGTCTTCGGCCAAGCCACCCAGGCATCCCCAGGCAACAGGTTGTGTATTATGTAATCGGGAGCTCGAGCGTCGCGCGGATCCGTGTCTCGGTCGCACAGAGCCGTTTGCTTGGGTGCGGGGCCCAGGCATGCTCACCGGAGTCAGTCAATAATTAGTGTGACTGGGTTCACTATGGCATGGGATATGCTATTGGACTCCCAAGCCTTGAAACCATCCGGCGGTGCATTCACTCCAGCGCCGACAACTGCTGCGTTCCGTGACCTGCTCATCTTTGAAGAGCGTCTGAAACAGAATGCAGCTAGGATGAAGGAGCGGAAAGTCAAATACCAAAGTATGTGGCACTATCTCACCAAGTCTTTCTCACTACATTATGCATTTTCGTCCTATGGATGGGATACTGCGTTGTGGCCAGTGATGACGAAGTGCGTTGCTCCTCCTGACATGTAGCATGTGCTTGTGCGGTATTTGCGAATTGGTCTCCTCTCCATTGGATGCATGATGCTCTTTCTGTTTTTCGCAAGCGGTCTGTTTGCTGATAAAATCACCGCGGCAAATAAGTACGTTCTCGCCAGCTTGCTCACCAGATTCGTGCCCCAGGCCAATCGGTCTCTACATAACTTCAATCTGCATTTAAATATGCGAACACTTTCTCGAACACCTGTATGGGCTTCCTGGCTTCCAATATGGCGCAACACTTCGTCTATGCCTACAGGGCCATCTAGAAACACGACATGGCACCAGTCAGGTCCGAACAATATTTTTCAGCAGAACGAGTGTCGGACATTTCATATTTCTAATTCGCAAAGCATACCGCCCGCACGCAACGAACGAGGAGAAATTCTTCTCTCATCGCGGGTGGACACAGATTTCCGTGAAGGCTATGAACGGTATCGGAATGCGTTCGAGCGAAAACGGCGGGAAAAGATGGAGGCACAGAAACAAAATCAACCAAGCTACTTATCATCTCTATGGCCTTTCTATCATGGTCCCGCATCCACCAGCACAGAAGGTAAGGCGCCACGCACAAAGACCTCATAGATACCCCACAGCATGAAGCGCGCTTGTTCCACGTGACACACGCTCCACCGTACTTCACTCCACCAAACATGGGCCCTGCGCGTGGTGGTAGGTCGCGCACTGTTGCCAGTCGTGCGCGATGGAAGGTTGAGGATGCCCTGGATATCATAAAGCGGAGCCGAGACGAAGGATATAAAAGGATCGTGAAGGGCGGCATAGCGCGATTAAGTTTTGGCCCGGATGGTCCTGGAGATGATGACGACACATTCTGGGTATGGGACACGGAAGAACTCCTTCCCAATGGGGGGCATATGGTAGCCGTTCGCAAAGCCACATTCGACGAGAGATGGCCGTATACTGGCAGACGCGGCTGGCGCCCTACTAGTAACAAACTCTCAGAGGCTGGATTCCACTTTACGCCGACGGACGAGGACGAAGACGGATGTACCTGTGTTTATTGTGGCGTGGAGCTGGGAGGCTGGGAGCGCACAGATGATCCTGTGTATGTAAAGGAAGCTAACAAAAGGCATGAACACCAGCGTCGACGACCTGAATGTCCCTTTTTTCACTGTATTGTGGCTGAGGCACTGCAGGAGGACGATACATCGAAGAAGCGCGTTACTTCTTCTAAGGATTTTGACGACGAATCATTTGAGATTCTTCCCTCCAAGAAACGGAGTACAATGTTTCCAAGAGATATCCTCCAAGATTCTCAACATTCTCCCACTGGGGTGGCTGATGAGGACGAGTCTCATCATGAAGACCCTATCACTCATGTGCAAATAAGCAGGTTGGCGGATAAGGATCACCACCAGGACCCTCTAAAAGCAGCTAAGTCTATACCTACATCAGAGCCCAAGACAGCAGAGGAGGAACCAGTTCGAAACTCTCAACCTCGTTCTGAACCATTTCCGGATGATGCAATGAATTTGCCTGTCGCCGGAGAGCCAGAGAAAGTGTCAGAGCCAGATTCCTCCCTGATCATACGTACAAGTATATCCGGAGGGGAATCAGACAGTGCCCCTGTTCTGGATGCGTGTTCTGGCGAATCTCCATTAAACACCCACGCCACAGAGACATCAGCGAAGCCGGATATCGACGAGGACGAGGCTCAAGTCGAGAGTCTCGTCCCCTCCGCCACTGAGCCACCTACATCAAGTTTTTCTTCCATCCCAGATATCCAAGATTACCTACCCTATCCGTTTCCGCATCGTCACAGTAGCATTGACCCACCTGCTGTGCCAGATCCCCACAAAATGACTGTCTTGGAATGGATTACTCAACAACAGAACTACTTGCTGGATACCATGAAAGAACGGATTGAGCGTCGCCTAGCATCCATGAGACAGCGTAATTTGGAGGAGCGAAAGCGGCTCGAAAAAACATTGCGGAGCTAACTAGATGCTATACAATAATGATTCAACCCTTTGCATCTTCACGAGCAAAGTAAACGTGCTGCGCAAATGTAATTAGCGATGAAGTAGACCAATAGACCAGTAGCACTGATGGTACTTGGCAGGCAATAGGAATCGAAGCAATCGCACTAATGCGAAGAATGTTCGACATGAGGCGCGCCCGCAGTGGTTCTTCTTGCTGTTGAGACTCAGGCAATTCATTTAGCCCCAAGTCCATCTCGTGCAATCTTTGTCGCTGGCGCATCCAGTTGACGATTTCCACGTTAACCATATTGAGAGATCCGCAAACAAGTGGCATAATGAAGGTCGGATCACGATCGGCGAGCGTAGGTCCACCCAATTTTGTAAGTCGGTCAGCGAGTCCCGGATCCAGACCTTTATCCAACAATAGCTGGCGAGTGTTTTCGGCTTGTACAGAAAAAACCTCATCGGGTGACCACCATGGGATGATTTCATTTATCAAGGGCGTTGCATCCAGTACCGCGCCCTGCCGAAGAAGCCAACTCACCATCAGGAACAAAGGAATATGAATGGCCATAGACACAAATGCTGTCTTTGTTGGCGAACAATTATAGAGCATGATCAAATGCTTCCATTTCTGAGAAAGACTCTTTCGAATTTTTCTCTGTACCTGCTGCTCATCCTCCGGAGAAGGAGAGCCCTCCATAGAAGCCCTGTGCCAAATGGAGGCAGGGATCTGCTGTTTCCACACACGAAACTCGGGCAAAACGATGTTGGAAAGCCGGTCTGTGCGACGCTTTTGCCAGAATGCCACAGGTAGAGTTACTAGAGATCGCAATATTACCGTCATTCCCATCACCGAGTACGTGTAAGGATGCGCCAGACCTACATCCAGTAGTCCGACCAGTTCGGGAATTTGGACAAGATGACGCGCAAAGGGATCTAGCATACCGAAGAATGTATTTCCTGTCAATGTATGATTAAATCGACGAATCGAGCCAGGGCGAGCGAGGAGATTGCATGAGTATCCCATCCGAATACCTGCCGCATGATGCAGCATGGTGGTGCGCGTCTGGGCCAAGGTCCATTGAATGCACGTGCAAATGTGGAGAGATGAAGCTCCCACGCGATCTGTGCGCTTTGATGCGCCTCCATCCTGAGGATGCATCGATTACAACAGGGGACGAAGGTGCAGAATGCACGATCTATCCTGCCGAAATTATCCCCATTGGGACATCGATAAAGAGGGATAAGTACGAATTACACCGGTTTACCTCCCATTATTCGTGCAGTTGTCCGGGATGGAAGTTTCAAGATGTTAATGTCAGGAATAGGACATGCGAGCATCTATGCGAAGCGCTCGGCGAGGAATATGAGCGGATGAGGATCGGAAATACTTCCAATATGTATGAAAGTTTAGCTATGCACAAATCATATCCCATGGATCAAGGTCAATCCTTTTTGAAGCCACTCCGATCACCTGAAACGACCCCCTCAAAGAGAGTGAAGTGGTCTACTGTCTCAGACGTATCACATATACCCCTTTCATCTGAGGAAATACGTGTAACCACAGACGATGGAAGCTCTATGACAATGGGTTGGCGCGAGAAGAAGCTCTTTGTTCTTTTGGCCAACTCGTGGCCTGACAGCCAAAGCAGGGATCAGAAAATAACATCAGATCCCACAGGATGGTGGATTAGCGAGAAACTCGACGGGGTTCGGGCTATTTGGGACGGAAAAAGTTTGTGGTCACGAAACGGAAGACTATGGGCGGCACCATCATGGTTCACAAATTGTTCGTATCTGAGAACTAATGAAGTACTTCCTGTCAGTATACCATTAGACGGAGAGCTTTGGATCGATCGTGGCCTGTTTGAACTTACATCGAGTATATGCCGCTCCAAAGTATGTGTAACTGACTAACAAAGGTATCAGAGGATTGGCACAAAATAAAGTACATGGTAGGTTTCTCTATCTCACCATTTAGATTTTTGATACCCCCGGATATCCTAGCAAAGTGGTCGAAGATCGATGGAAGCGACTTGAAAATCGATTTCCCATGGCACCAATGCATCAGGGCTCTCATCTGAAGGTGTGTTTCCTTTTCTGATTCAGGCTGGTCCCTACTTTGTTGAGCAATTGCTGTGCCGGGACCAAGAACATATGGTCGAAATACTCAATAAGGTCTTGCTGAATGGGGGAGAGGGGTGTGTATTTGCCAATTCACACCAGTATCATGTTGAGAAAACCATGTTCGCACTATGAAAGGCAACGCAGTTCCACGCTGTTGAAGTTGAAGCCAATCATGGACGGTGAAGCCCGTGTAATAGGTTATGAACAGGGGAAGAATGGCGCTGAAGGCCTAGTTGGGTCCCTCCTTTGTGAGACACTAACCGAACCTGTGCGGCAATTCAAGATAGGCTCTGGACTAACTGATTCGTTAAGGAGAGATCCGCCCTCTATCGGCGCAATCGTAAACTTCGAATACGGAGGCCTTGGATCACAAGGCTTGCCCCGCTTTCCCCGTTATCGGGGCATTCGAACTGACTTGTAAACTCATATCTTACGAGTCCTTATGTGCTCTATGGGGATTGGAGAGGACGATCCACAACCTTAGGAGCGCCCACAGCCATGTCCTTCTTGATCTGGGCAATCGCCTTGGCAGGGTTCAGACCCTTAGGGCATGTCCGCGTGCAGTTGAAGATAGTGTGGCAACGGTAGAGAGAGAAAGTGTTCTCCAGCTTCTCACGGCGCTCATCACCATGGGCATCACGCGAATCAGCCATCCAACGGTAAGCCTGCATCAGGACAGCAGGGCCGAGGTAAGCATCCTGGTTCCACCAGTACGATGGGCAAGATGTCGAGCAGCAAGCACATAGAATGCACTCGTACAGGCCATCAAGGTGGCGGCGTTCTTCGGGGCTCTGCAAATATTCGCGCCCGCCCGGCGGAGGACCATCAGCCTTCAGGTATGGCTCAATGCTGCGGTACTGCTTGTAGAACTGAGTCAAGTCGGGAATGAGGTCTTTCACGACGTGCATGTGGGGCAGCGGGTAAATGTTGCTAGAACTGGCATCACGGTCGATACGGCAAAGACAGGCAAGCGTGTTTACACCGTCAATGTTCATGGCACAGCTCCCGCAAATACCCTCGCGGCACGAGCGGCGGAAGGCCAAAGTTGAGTCAACCTCGTTCTTGATCTTCAGAAGAGCGTCCAAAACCATAGGGCCTGTCTTGTTAAGATCAATATTGTAGGTCTGCATCTTAGGCTTCTCAGTAGGGTTCTCAGGGTCCTAGTATTGTTAGACATCACTCGAAATATAGTCACGTACCCAACGGTAAATCTTGAACGACTTCATCTTGGGAGGGCGCTCAGTGGCAGGCGTAGCCATCGCTTTCACAGCCGAGGTCGAGAAGGCAGCTGTCACGGAGCGAGGGGCAGCAGCGCGCGAAGCCACGCGGAACGTGCTCGGCAGCATTATCATGGTCCTGTAATGCAAAGGATGCGGACACCTAGGAGCGCCCTGGCCTTGTCGGGTCAACGCGGAAAGTCAACTTATTGGTAACCGTTTACCTATGATTGGTCCGTTCAACGTTTAAACGCCGGTACCAAGCCCCACGGTATTGATGACCTAAGCCACCCGGCAGGTCGCACTATGGTATTCGAGAGGTGCTGAGCCTACCAGTTGCATTTACTTGGTGGGCTCAGGCGTTTGGAGGTTAGAGGGCAGCGATTCCCAAAACTTGGCGGTATTCCAGTTGGGGAGACGCACTGCGCGTGTACCCCGAGGAAAATGATCGGGTGCATTTGAACCAGGGAACTTGGATAGCTCACGTTCTCGTCGCTCAATCTCTGACGAATGGAATATTGTAGCAACATCATCGGGGATAGTAGATCGTTTACTTGGTGTCAGGTACCATATTTCGTCAATTTCCTCCCGCAGTAAATAAGAATGTAGCCGTGAGAAGTTGAGGGCAACTTGTCCTGCACCGTGGGAGTCATCAGAAAGAGCAATACGCCCTTTCAAACCTTTTATCATGCGTATAAACACTTGACCGGGGTATGTCTCGTCACTCCAACCCTTGCGGAAGGCTGAAGAGTTTGCCTCAAAGAGAGCACCATAACTAGCAGCGAAACGGACATTGCGTTCCATCTTTTGTAGAATCGTTCGACCTTCCGAGGTAGAGGGTTCAGGTATCCATGGCGCATCCGGTTCGAATAACCGGAAAAGATCCATATGACCAATAACTTCTGGCCTCAATCGCTCCATTACCTCGTACTGAGCATCAAGATATGTGCTTAACAGTCCAGGGTAGCTGCCCAGACGAACGGCCGTTTCAAACGTGGGCTTGTCAAAATCAATGGGTATCTCAAATACATGATGAACAGAGCCAACAATATAATCCACAGTTCCCAGTCCCACGTATGGGGCTGGTACACTCGCTTGTCTTGCCGTCCCAAGAACACTAATCAATTGATCAAGGGACTGGGGAGACACAATATTTTCCGTTTCACACCCTACCAAAATATGCATAGGCCTTTCTTTCAGTGCATAAGTGGATTGCATTTTACGAGCCTTTGCAAGGTATGACTGGAATTGCTTCGCAAGCTCTGCAGGTGTAAATCCTGCCTCTTTTTCCTCAGGATAGAGATCCTGAGCCCTAAATCGAGGGACATGCTCAGATAAGTGAAAATGCGTAAAATTCAGCTCATAGGCACGTTCAAGTACTTCGTCCAGAGTCGACGAAGCATGCTTGCAGAACTCGCCAGAGTGCGAATGGTGCGAATGCATGGCGGTCCGAGCGACACTGCTGCGTTAATTGACTCACGTGGAAGGGTCAACTCCACTTGGCACTACTGTCAATACGTTGGCCATGGAAGGTAGTGAGGCTGCTCTGTCTCAGTCCCGACCCCAGCGGATTATTGGGTCCAAGCACGGATACTATAAGGTATCATATTTATCCGCTAATCCAAATGTTGGCGTCCTTTCCAAACCTCCTGAATGGGTTCCAAAGCATCAAGTCTCTAATGAGCTGGTGTTAACATGGCGAAATCAACGCTCACAGCGCATGGCATTTATTCAGAAGTTCAAGCTGAAGAAGGGAGATAGAAATAACCAGGATATCCAAGCCATTTCTACCCCTACTTCAGCTCAGATCAATACTTCTATTCACGAAGAATCATCCAGCACCCCGTTGTCTAAAACGACGAATGCTCAATCCACAGTTCCACATTCTGAGGTTGAGTCTAGCCAAATTGGTTCAATGTTAAACTCTAAAATGGAGAGTGTACAGCCTCATGGAGTCAAGCCTGTTTCATCCGAAGAGATACCTGAAAGTGCTACCTCACAACAGGAAGAAATCGAACCCATTCAAACGTTAAGGGTAAGCGAACAACCTGAAGCTTCCTATGCGTCAAAAAATCTCGAAATATCTCGCCGTGCTAATATTTCAGAATTGCCGAGCGTACCCACAGAGCATGCTTCCTTTAGCGCTGCTTCAGGAACAGGTCATGATCAAGGCAGCTCGGAATCTTTACCTATGTCAAGCGAACCGGTTAATCCTTCAGAAGAGGCTTCGACCATACAGACACAGAGAGGCGGAGTTTTTCAAGCTGTTCGGCATGCTGCGCATGCAGCTTTGGGGGTTTTTACTTCGTCACAGAGTGAAGTCACAAGCTCCCAACCAGGTGCTGAAGCGAATGAGACAGTACCATCTGATACGAACCAAAGAATAGTGGCACAGAGTGAGCCATATGTTTCCAATGAGTCAAGTGTTCACCCTTCGCTCTCTCAAGGTAATGTGTTACTTTCACAGCCACTCTCTCAAGAAATCACTGTTCAGAAAACTCCTGAAGATGCTTCTCAAAATAATATCACACCTAATACTGCTGATAACTCTGAGACAAGCTCAAGTAAAACTACTACTCGCGTAGATGATGAGGCGCGATATGTATCGCGTTCTGGTCGCCGTATTCGTCCCCCTATTTCCACTACCAATGACCCGTCTAATGACACTATGGAAGCTTTGAATGCAAAAATAATGCAGCAAGCAGAAGAAATAAAATTTCTTAAATCAATGTATGAAGATGCGTCCAACTCTGCCACCCGGCTGACGGAAGAGCTTGGAAATGCTAAAGAACAGATTCGTCTATTGAAGGATCAGTTGACAGAGGGACTAAATGCTCAACGGAATCTCCATATGTCGGAAGTGAAACAATGGAAGCAGGAGGCTGAGCGAGCAAAACAACAGTTATTATTTTTGGAATTGCGCGAGCAACAAGTAAACGATGATATTCGACGCAAAGCAGCCGAGTGGGATAAGCATGTGGAGCAGGATCGGAGAGACACCGAATTTAGGGAGAAGCGGTGGAAAGAATGGGATCAACGCAAACAGCGAGAAGGTTTGGTATTCGAGTCTGTGTCCACGAACCCAACAGCTCAAGATTCGCTTTCCGAAGAGCTGGCAGAACTTGCTGCCGAGGCCAACGAGGCCTCTAACACCGAACAGCCTGTCGCAGCTAATGATCAACCACGAAGTTCTCGTCGAAGAGCGGCGGCGACAGCGGTGGGAACGGCAGAAAAAAATCGAGATGCCCCTATGAGAGGGGACTCTTCAGGTGCGGTAGTATCAACGGCAGACAGCGGTGTTCTATTGAATCCTATGCCGTCCCGAGATACTAATATGCCTGAACATGCACAGGATGCAACGTCTCAGGATATTTTGGGGAAACAAATCAACCAGCACCACGTACGCTCTGCAGAGAAGCGTACCTATGAAACACAAACCGATTCTATACAGACAGCTAACCCTCAAGTCGTCTCGCCCTCTGTATTTAAGGGTACGAGTACCCTTTATTCCGCCGCGGCTACACCTCTACCGTCCTTCCCATCGACAGCTATGACACAAGATCGTTCGGATCCTACCTTATCTACCGTGCCTCGCTGGAAGCGCCGGCGTCAATAATTAGGATCTAGGGCTCGGTACACTAGCTAAAGATTGAGCGTGCACAGGCCGCTTCGACATTCCGGATAGGTTACATCGATGTGGAGGGCGTTGACGTGGGCGCAGTTCAACCCACGTGTGAACGCCGAATCCAGCACATGCGGACGCCCCGGATTTCTGTAGACGGTAGTTCGAATTTGGCCATGAGCTCGGAGACACCCGACTCGGCAGGGTCTGCTCCTAATGGGCGACACAGCCCTGTTAAAATGAATCCCCCGACTTTGGAGAAGATTGCGTCACGTTTCAATATGCCCACGTCCCAGAGGAACGAACATGCCGCCATCTGTAAGTACAGCGAGGCTAACATGAGCCCAAAGTCTAAAACGCCTCGAACTTGCCGGAAGGCTGGAGTCAGCTGCTGAGTCGGCCGGCAAGTCTGATACGAATTCGCATATCAAGATAAGTCCCATGCCGAGTCTGAGCGATATTCGTGCTCGCCTCAACCAGCGGGGTGTAGACGTGACGTCGTCAAAATGGAGCCTAAAGTCGACTGACAAGACCCCAGAGACGGCAGCACCTAAAGAATCAATGGGCAAAGATGAAGCTTCTGTTAAGACGGTAGCAGAGGATGTGATTCAGAAGCCCAACAAAGATCCAAATCCGGCTACCGAGCCTACGAATACGTTGGAACCAAACAAGCCAGCTCAGGAAACGGAAGCCCGGCCAACCGAAAAGACAACGCTTGCAGACTCGAATCCCATGAGTGAGGCAGATCTTAAAGATTCATTAGAACATACCCCAGTCGTTTCAGGCCGTGAGGCTGGCCTGGCAGCCAAACAAGGGAAAAAGCACCCACTGCAGGACACATGGACACTATATTATGATATGCAGCGACACCATGGAAATTCCAGCAAGGATCAATATGAAGCGACGCTTAGGTGCGTCGGTCATTTTACTACGCTAGAATCCTTCTTCGATACCTTTGCTACTTTGCACCGGCCTAGTCGCTTGGAAAAAAATGCCAACTATCACCTCTTCAAGCAGGGTATCAAGCCAATGTGGGAAGATCCGGCGAATGCTAACGGCGGGCGCTGGGTCATTACACTGCGTGATCGTGGCCAATCTGCTGGCAGTCATGCCGCGCACGAAGCCCTAGTGGATCGTACTTGGATGTGGCTTGTTCTGGCTCTTATTGGCGATACACTGGATGATAACGACTTGGTAACAGGTGCTGTGTGCTCCCTGCGTGGGAAAGGGGATCGCATTACTATCTGGACTCGGCGCAAGGAACCCGTCGATGAGCTGAATCAGTTGGCTACCCACCTATTGAAATTACTTGAGCTAAAAGACCAGCCCGGCATACAAGTTGAATTTGGTGTCAATTCTGGCTCCAAAGAGTCAGGCTATCTCAAGCAGCATTTCGCAGGGAAGCAGCCTGAAAGTGTTGATGGCGTAGCTCCTCCTCATGAACCCGCTCTGGAATCCTGGCTGGAAAGCGACTACACTTTGCACCCTAACGATCACATGCGATACATGGCACACCGGAAATCCAAAAATGATGAAAAGGAAGTAGTCTAAACGACTGGGCCATGCTGGTCATACCCATAGTCGATAGAAGTTAGTGCAGTTCCAGCGAGTCGCCATCGTGAATTTCGTCTAGTGTCAATCGAATATTTCACGTACAGTCTGCGAGTGTGATATGATCCTTGAAAGTGCTGTATGCCTTTTTCAGAATGATCTAAGGTTAAAAGAAGTGACGCACTTTCTGTGGGGCAGTGCCTGTTTGAGCTGCAATAAGCTTTTTCAGATCCCCCACTGTGTCTTCAGGGCTACACTTGACACGAACTAGCGGTAAGACAGCAGCAACACACCTTTGCGACCCAAACGGTCGTTCGCAATCACTTCAATCATACGCATGTCGTGGGTGACGACAACGACGTGGAGGGAGAACCCTTATTAGCACAATGGAGGTGTGTATTAAACAACACTATGGGTGGGTATCGAGCCGAGCGCTTGCCATTCGGTGGCAGCTAGGGTTGAGAGAGCAGCCGGCTGCGAAAGGATGTGTCGTAGGTGAGGCTGGCATAGCTGGTATAGTTTGTAAATGTCTTGCTGAACTGTGGAGGGTCCCTGTTTGTGTATGGCAGACAGTACGCGCTGCAAAGAGAATGTAGGAATGTTTTCTAACTCTGCTTGTGTACATGCGTTCGTATCGTCAGACACTAGCATGACACAAGCTCCACACTTTTGATGGATTTCTGCGCAAAGTGCCACAATCGTTTGGTCATTGGTCTGGGTGAGATGTAAAAACCTACTAAGTGATGGTGTTGGGCAGCACGAGCAGACAGGGCCTGAACATGCAGCACCCAGAGTCTAGGATCAAATGGCCTTTGTTCAAACGTCCTGCTGTATTTTTGCTGCTGAATCATATCCAAGATCCATCTGCTGGCGTGCCGCGCAAGCGCCCCGATGGTCGTGGGACCATGGGGCCGCGGTGATTGTTTTAATTGATCAAGTTCTTCTAGAACCACATGAGGTACAAGTAAGTAGACACGCGGTGTTGACGCGGAAGGTTGCAGCTGAGCACGAAACAGTTCGTGGCTAAAGACCTGTAGGTATTCCAACGAGCTAAGGAGTACATTTCTTTCATGAGTTGACATATACGCACGTATCTAGCATCCATGCAAAAGAGGACGGTTGCATCCACGCTAGAAATCCTGTGGGAGACGACGCCTTGGGTCCCACCTGAGTGTCTGACGAGGTCGCAGCCAGGTCCTCCTGATCCATCAACTCCTCGACGGTACAGGACTCCGGGGCACCAGCGAGGTCGGCCGGAAGCGATTCGCTTCGAGATATGATCATACGGACAGGTCCGGATGATACATGTCCGCGATACTGTTCATTGAAATAATCCGCATACGTGCTCATTGGGTCCGCCAAGAGGTGCGGAATGGTCGCAGAGCAGGGGATGTGGAGAGAAATAGAGTACATAAAGGACTACGACTTGGAGGCATGTGTGGCCAAGTAATGCATAATCAATTCGTAGCTGGAGTAAGTGGGCAAAGACGTACGTTAAGATCGTCAAACCTGAGCTGGGTACAGTCCGGACAAGGTTGACACCCATGCCTCGATAGAACCCGGGAATACCCTCGCTCTTTGCGATAGAGTAAATCGTTTGAAGCAAGCTTGGATAGTGCGTTTGTGTGACGCCCTTCAGGGTCGTCGACGTAGGAATCATCTGTAGTCGAGTGCGAAGCACTTCGTGAGGGTATGTAACAATGGAAGCCAGCATTTTTGAGCCGCCACTGCAGAGCAGAATGGAGCCTGAGGTAAGAGGTTCGCCACGCTGAGCTTCTGCTGTAAGGCTTTTAAAGTGCTCGTATAAAGGAAACTGTACAACGACGTGGAACACACCAAGAAGGCTTGGTAAAAGTCCTTTGTAGAATGCCATGAAGCCTTCGCGTTTGTAAATCTTGGAAAAAGCGTCGATCATATTCCGATACTGGTGCTCCTCCGGGACCGACGAGGTTTGTAGCATGCTGCGTGTTTTAACGACCCACATAGGACTGGTAGTTGTAGTGCTTGTGGCGCCTGCAATCATAGCGCTCGCAATATGTACAGCATAGGGATGTTGTTGGGCAAGCGGAAACTCGCTCGAGAAAAACTTTTTGCCTGCGTCATAGACACAAAAGTAAATAGCCCAGGTGGGCAAGTACCCGATTACAGTAGGGCCGAGACCGCGATAAAAGCCGCGCAAGCCATCTTCGTGCCATATACGGCTTATGACTCGCGAAGCACCCATAAATCCCTTATGATCGGCATTGTCATGCCCGAAAACGAAGGACTTGACCTGAAGGCGAGTTTTAATCACGTCGAGAGGGCACGTCACAATGCTGGATACAAAGCCAGCGCACGCACCGGCAATAGCAGAATGCCGAACTTCATTGCTATTCTTCTCAGAGGCCTGCTTCGACATGCCGTCAATGCACGACCACGTCGGCAAGGAGACGAATCAGCCGGTTGCGTCGACGAGCTGGGCCGGGACGCCGATACGGGCGACATTTCGCAGGGCGACATTTTGCATAAATCCTCGTCGCACGGACTCGTCACAGACCCCTTTCGTCACGCAAGACACGCGATGGCACGCGCGGGGCTAGCCATGTCGCTGTCCCAGGCCGCGCGCATAGGTGTTATGACCGCCCAAATAATGTGTCTAGCTCATATGGTCAATCAACATATGTTTGAGGTACGACTGTGCCGTGGAGCCTCGATGCTGCCGACGCTGTCCTTGACAGGCGACCTCATTGTGTATGCACGCCTACCCTTTCTCCGCTGGCTCAGTCAGCTGCCCTTTGCTAGCCAGGACCTGCGCGACAGATATCCCAAGGTTCAGCCGGGCCTGCCCTCTGGCAAGCAGGATCCCAGTGCAGGGCTGGGATTGCAGATCGGCGATGTCGTAGTGTCGACGTCGCCGACGCACCCGGCCAAGACGGTGTGCAAGCGTGTCCTAGGATTGCCTGGAGACACCATTCTTGTGGATCCGCGCGATTATATGTCGGAGGATGCAGGGCTGCTGGCTGCCCATGCCCATGCAGATCCGATGCTGCAAGCGCTTGTCGCATTACATTCGGCACGCACTGTGACAGTACCACCTGGCCATGTGTGGCTCACAGGCGACAATCTGGGAAATAGCACGGACAGCCGTCAGTACGGCGCCGTGCCTATGGCACTAATTAAAGGACGTGTGCTGGCACGCGTGTACCCACATCCCGGATGGATACGCTCAGGGTTATCCAACGTACAAGCAGCTATGGAGCCGTAAATAGATTGGTAAGGCGCTGCTGGAACAGAGGCGCATTTTCCAGCTTCACGTTGACATCCCCCAGGAAGTGCTCGGGCATGCGCTCGAGCACGTTGGCGTCGCTCGCGTCGCGATGAGGGCCCGAATATCCCAGCGACACAAGATCCGAGTCGTTGATACCAGGCGCATTCATGTGGAAGCGCAGGGCACCCTCGTGGCCTGGGTGTGAGGCACCCGCGTGCTTGTGCCGCCAATGTGCCGCTGACGTGTGAGGATTTTGGAATAAGCCGCACAGGAACGTGCCGTTCCCGGCGTCCTCAATATGCAGACCCGTAAGCGCCTCCGATAGAGCCAACTGCGACTGAAGACGCTTCAGGCGGTCTTCTGCCTCCGCCAGGGAGGTACGCAGCACCTCGATCTCTGCCGGGTCGGCATTCCGCGTTTCGGCAGAGGATGTCTCTCGGGCCTGGGCGGCAGGGGCCTCGGGCACCGGGTCTGATTCGCTGGGGTCGAGCACCATTTCGTGGGGCGCTAGCATCGGGATACGAGGCGACGAGCCTGACGCTAAGTTAGTGTTCCGGTTAATGTTCACGAGCAGATGAGGGTTGGGAGCTTCTTGGTTCTGTGGTCAGGCAGGACAAACGTACGCGAATCTCATCCCAGATCTTCTTTTTGTCGAAATTTTGAGTGCTTTTCGTAAAGTCGAACTCACTGTCAAAGGGTGCTGAAGGCGCATCCGACACAGACGTGGCCATGGCGGCAGCTGGGGCCGGAGATGCAACGCGCGATTCGTTCTTGCGGCGCTGGTTGCGCTTCTTGCGGCCCTCACTAGCACCCTCCTCGGCGGTGGCCTTGGGAGCAGTCTGAGACACTTCGTCCTTCACCTTCGATGCCTTGGAGGACATGTTGGATGCACCTGACGTCGTCGAGCGAGCAGCAGGGGGGGCTACCTTGGTAACATCAACAAGCTCGTCGCGACGCACCTGGCAGGACTCGCCCGAGTCCTGCCGGCGCATCTTGAGAGTCGCTGTGGCAGGGTCGACTTCTAAAATAGTCCCGATGAATGTGGCACCCGTACGCAAACGCACTTGCACTGTCGTTCCAATGAACGAGGCCATGGTAAATGCTGCGTAGGACGCACGGCGACCACGTCGCCGGCTGGCGAAGATTATGTCAGCTACAGGATGCACAGAGCGAGCGGGCTGTTTACGAGTGTGAGGCGGCATCATGTGGCATGGACTCCTCGTCGATGGCAAAGATGGCATCATTGGGCGACGGATTTTGCTCTTCAGGTTTGAATGGGAAGCGCTCGAGCGGCAGCGCATCGTCGACAGGCTCGCCGAGACGCGCGCGTTCTTCGCGCTCCATCGCCGCGACACGGTCTTCCATCGCCTCGCGCAACGACTCTGGGCGGCATAGATAGAATGCCATGGTGGCAAGGCAGCCGCCGGCCACGAGATCAATGAGGTAGTGGTGCATCAAGTACATGGTCGACCAGTACAGCCAAAAAGCGTACAGCCAATAAAAGATGCGCGTGTCCAAGCGCCAGCGCCCCAGAGGCAGCTTGATGGGGAAGAAGTAGCTGAGGAACAATGCCTCGCAGGTTGCGCATGCTGCATGCAGCGAAGGAAATGCGCCGAACACCACGGGGGCGCTGCTAAAGCCCATGGTATACACAAAGCCCCCAAACAGTGCATCGATGCGTGCCAGGCCGGCTGGGGAGCCGCGCATGCCATAGTTGGCTGGCGTGAGTCCTTCGCGCAGCTCGTACCAGGGCGGCGCGCAGGGGAAGGCAATCTGTATGAGCACGCCGGTCAGGTTCATGAGCCCAAAGGCGCTGCCAAACATTTTAACGCTGCTCTCTGGAGCAAACACAAACAAAAGGATTGCCACGATGAAGGGTGCCGCGAAGTGCACGACACCATACGGGATCCATGCGAGCACGTCGAGGAGGGGGTGGCCGAATCGCGTGAGGATATCGCTAATGCTGGCGCCGTACCAGATCGTCTCCAGTGTCGGAAGTACTGAAACCCAGATGTGGGGCCGTGCAGACACGTCGATAAAGCGGCACGAATAGAACAGCAGCAGCCACAGAAGGATCGGTGAGGCCGGCAGAATCAGCTGCGACGTCAGCGGGATGAGCAAAGCGGCAATGTAGATGGCAGGGATAAGGAGCTTTGAAGGAAAAGATGGACTCCCCATTACAGCGACGGAAAAGAGTGCAATCACGAACATCGTGCCATACTTCAATTTGTCGAGGCGCGACCAGCGGTACGCGCGAAATTTTTCAATGTTCTGGCGAGGCGACACACTGAAATTCAGGCGGCCAACAGCTGCCTTGACAGCCGACAAAACCTGCACCAGCACAGGCTCTCTTAAGCGCATGGCTGGCGCTGTGGGTGGCGTGGTCGACATGGTCGACAGCCACAGCGGTAGCAACGAAGAACCGCGGCGACAGGCAGGCGGTGGAGGGCGCGGCGCTGCGCTCGACACGCGGCGTCCCCAGTCCTTCACGTGATGATTCTGTCCGGACCGCCATGACAAGCGCCACCCCCGTTGCTGCGTCGCGGCCGCGCACGCTGGCGCCGCTCAAGCAGATGGGCCAGGCGGTCGGAGAGTGCCATACGCAGGCACAGGCGTATGGCCAGTGCATGCTGCGGAACTACCAGGAAATGGAGCGCGATCGATGCGCTGCTGAGTTCCGTGCGTTCAAAACATGTGTGCAGACTCAGGTGCGTCCAGGGGTATACGGTCTAACAGGCGCAGATGAAGCGCCGCTGGTAACTATGTGGGAGCGGTGTCCGTCGACGCCAGGACATGGAGAAGCTGCCAGACCCGTTCGTAAAACTGGCCCAGGGCTTCCTTGTCCGCGCACAGGCGCTGGAACGATTGGCGGGCCTGTGCCGCGTTGGGCGGCGGCGGCGCGAACTTGTGGCCTTTGTGGTGCGTCTGCCACTTGGCATTGGATGTGCGGTTGTTGAGCCACAGGTAGCCATCGCGTCCGCCGACCACTTGGACAAAGGCCACGCCACTGCGGTGGACAAATTGTGTATAGTCAAAGTCCATAGGACGGGACGAGTAGTGCACGTCCAGGTGCTCTGGGTACAGGGACTGGGCCTCCTGATCAAGCACGAAGCCAAAGTCACGCACAAGAGCCATCTCGAATAGCTGATCGCTCCGCGTCGCAGAGGGCGAGAGGACATAGCGCAGCAGCCACGCCTCGAGGTCACTCCTCGTCTCGCGCGCATGCGTCAACTGCACGCGCCGCGCCGTCTCCAATAGCGCGGCAAACGTGCTCGGTTTGGGTGGCGCGAGAGCGAGCGGGATAGGTAAGGCCGCGATAAACGGCGTGTAGTGGCCAATGTCCTTGATCTGGTGGATGGGCGCCTCCACGAGCCGCAGCCCATAGCGCTCGACGGAGCGTGTCCACGACTGCACGAGATCTTCAATGAGCCGTGCCGTGACTCCGAGCCACTGGATCTGGAAATTGAAGCCGTTTTCCGCATTGTGCGCTAAGTCATGATGCAGCACAGCCACCTCGGCGCGGCTGCTTCGCCGCTCGGGGTCCACGTCAATGAGCATGGACCGCGAGAGCGGTACACGAACGCGTGCCGCGCGTCCTTCGGGCACCCTCGCGCGTGCATCCAGCTCCGAGTCGGGCGCATGAGCGATGGCTGCGGCGGCTGCGGCGCCCGGCGCCGTCGCCAGTGCGACCGCCGCAGAGGGCTCGTTCGACATGACCAGGCGATAAAAGTAGTGGCCATCTAAGAACCCATGGAGCGCAAACGTGTGCTCCATGAAGCCCGCCCGCAAGAGCTTGTTTCCCAACTGCACAGCGTCGTCGCGCGTGTGGATGTCGCTGTAGGTGCGGCATAGCCATGTGACGAGATCCGCGCCGGTGAAGGTTCGGCGGTGGACGACGCGGTGCCATACGCGGTCGTGGACCTTGAGCTCCCGCATGGAAGCGCGCATGTCGTCTGCGATAGCCGCCAGGGTGAGTGCACCAGACTCGCGCTGTCGCGGTCGCGGGTCTTGCGCGTGCCGGCGGTCGAGCTCATCGTGCCGCTCGGCCAAGGCTTCGACAAAGGAAGCGTCGCTCAAACTACTCGACGGATCCAGTGTCGTCGGCAGAAAGCGCAGCGGGACACTGCGCGCCTGCCGCGGTCGCCCGCGTGGATAGAACTCGGCACGCATGAACAGCTCTGCAAGGCGATCCATGCCCATCAAACGAACCTCTTCGTCGCTGAGATACTCGCCCGAGCTGGCCATCATGGGCGGCGGCGATCCCTCGCTCGGCACGAGCACGAAACGCGAGCGCGAGTACCGCAGCGACTCCGTGAATGTGTCCTCGTACCCCGCGATGATCGAGTCCAGGTACGTCCAGTTATACGCGTGTGGGTCGGGGTGCTGGAACTGCGCAGACAGCGAGCGGTAGCCAGGGTGCCACCGCGGCCACATACAGCAACGGTACGAAATGGGCGACGTCGAGTAGGGCACCTTCTTCACGTAACGCGTCACGCGGATCATGCCCGCCTGGCGGCTGTACGAGATGCAGTGCACCTGGTCCATGGTCGTCAGGTACACTGGGTCGCCATCCGCAAAGTTGCCGGGACGCAGCATGTCGGCAGGGTGGCGCAGCACGAGATGCCGCGCATCGCGAGCGCCCGGCACCGTGCCTGGCCGGGCGACAGGGCGCTCGACGAGCTGGAATCCCTGTGCGAGACGCTGTGCACACATCTCGCGCAGCATCGCCAACGCCGGACTCGTGGACGTGCCGTGCTTGAGCATGATCGACGCCGTATCAGAGTGTACCGATACCGTGTACGGATACTCGTGCCATGCATGCGCGAGCTCGTGCTCGCTAGGGAGGTATCGCGTGGTAAGAGGCAGGCACGCTGGCAACGTCATCGACCACCACTTGACGGCATGCTGGTTGATACGTTCAATAAATGCATTCTGCCAGCGGAACAACAGCGCATTGCGCTCAGACATGGCAACGCGAGGGTTTAGCGCATTCCGTGACACTTCAGGCAACGAGCTGGACTCGATAGCGACGCCTGCCTCAGGCCTCTCGGTGTCGTCCAGCGCCGCGACGCGCGTCGCGTAGGAATGGGACGCCTCCACCAGCTGCGGTGTAGCACGTGGTCCTCCGGTGCCAAGCGCCTGGAGCAGCAGTCGTGAGGCATCGCCTGTGGTGGCGCGCGATCGGGGCACCCGCGACTCAGGGCGCCATGGCCACCAGGCACGCCAGCGCGGCGTTGCGCGGCCGGCGGAGCGAGGGGGCGTGGCGCTCGTCGCCGCACGCACTGCGACGAGCGACGTCATCGACTCGGACACAGTGGGTAGCGTCTTGCCGAGGTCCTCCAGCACGAGACTGCGCACTGAGTGCACGGAGCCGTGGATGGAGGGTACGCGGGGTGTCGGAGGTGTGGGCGCCTGGGCACGCGATACGCCTGGCGGCACGATACTGCCCATGTACGGCACAGTCGGAGTGGCGGGTGCCGACACGTTCGTGGCGGGCGCAAACTGCTCCTGGTCGAATCGCTCGCGCACAGCGGCGGAGGGGCCGCTGCGATGCGCGGTGGGCAGCGCAAGGTACGGCAGCGATAGCTCCTGCTGGAGCGAGCCCAGCAGCTCGGTCATGCGCAGTCCATCCATGCGGCAGCGAGGCACAAAGCGCGTTTCCCAGTACGGGCGATCCTGCTCGATGTTGTAAAAGCTGCCATTGACCCAGAAGGGCAAGAACTCGCACACCTGACTCGGCCCGTGCGTGGCATCCACAAAGAGCGGGTGTGTGTCCGCACGTGTCTTGGGCTCCTGACGCGTGGGCGGCACCTGGGACAGAAAGCGAAAGAGCGGGACGGTGTGCAGCGGCATCTGTGTGAGGCACACGAGGTCGAGCGAGAGACCCATGTCGAACATGCGCTGTGTCGCGATGCGCAAGAGGTGTTTGTTGACGAAAAAATGCCCCGTACCTGCCGTGAGCATGAGGAACGAAAAGCCCGTCATGGTGAGGTCGCGGTCAATGTAGTGCTTCTCGGCAGAATTGAGCATCAGGTTGACGGCCTCCAGCACGTTGCCCTCGTGCGCCTGCGCAAAGCGGCCGAGAAGCACCCGACCACCGACCGCCTCGTCGCCGCCCACCGTCTCGTGGTCCTGCCGCGGCAGCCCGACTTGCGACGATGTCCAGCGCGGCTGCAGCAGAATGTCGTGCTGGAAGCGGAAAAACTCTTCCTTGAGTCGGCGCATGACCGACGGCCAGTGGGGCGACGAGTCCAGCTCGAGGAGGACCTTGTAGTAGTCCACATACAGCTGCCCGCTGGAGGTGCGCTGCACCGGTAGGCCCGTGAGATGTTCACGCTCCGACTCGTCGTACAGGACGCGCGTGAAGAGCACAATCGACACGACGTGGCTCGTACCAATGGTCTCCCACTTGCGGATCAGGTCGGGAAGGAAACCGTACAGCACCTTTTCGTAGTGAATCTCGCCACTCTCGTCGAACTCCCACATTTCGCGCGACATTTGCACAAACACGCTGCAGCGCGCCGTCTCGGTGCGGAAGATGGACAGTGTGCTCGGCGCAAAGTAGCCGGACGTGACGCTGTGCTCGTGGATGAACAGGCGCCCGATCTTAGCACGGATGCCGACGGCGAGTGTGATTGTCTGGCCGACGTACACGCACGAATCGACCATGGACTCGCATAGGCGCCACATGTCGGCGCGGCCAATGTACTGGTCCTTAAAGTACAGCTCCGCGTGCGTGAGCGTGTGCCGCGCACGGGGCACGCGGGCGAGCACGACCTGCGTGCGGCTCATGAGGCCGCAGAGGCCCGCCATGTGCCGGTTGATCGAGAGCTGCAGCTGCTGCTGCCGCGCAATCACCTCCTGATCCGCGAGCGCCTGCACAGGCGCAAACACGAGAACGCGCGAGAGAATCGGCCACACGTCCGTGCCGTCACTTGCCGCCGCCTGAAGCGTGTCCCACGCACCAGGCGCGATGACCATCAGCAGTTCAGCGTCCGAGATCTGGGGGAGCGTATGTGCGGGGCTCATGACGAAGTCGTGCCGGGAAAAATTGGGCGGCTGGTGCGTCCACATCATTAGGAGACGCGAGCTGTAGCCGTCGTGTGAGGCAGGAGCGCTTGCCCCGCGGCCGCGCGCCACGCCGCGCGGCGGCGTCGCGCCATGCCGAGGCATCGTGGCGAGCGATCGTGCGGCAGCGCGCGGCGCACGGTCGGAGCCACGTGGCGTTCGGCCGGGCCCGCTGGCGACGGCCTTCGCTACCGACGCACGACACGACACGACAACACCACCATGAGTACGTTAGCTGGCGCTGACACGCAGACGTGGACGAGGTTGAGGACCGCGATGGTGTGCGGCTATCGTGGAATGTATGGCCTTCGTCGAAGCTGGAGGCGACGCGCACCGTCGTCCCCGTCGCAGCGCTGTACACGCCGCTTAAGGAGCGCGCTGACCTGCCGCCTGTCCTGTACGAGCCGGTGATGTGCAAGCCGCCGTGCCGCGCGGTGTTGAACCCGTACTGCCAGGTGGACGTGCGTGGCAAGCTGTGGATCTGCCCGTTCTGCTTGTCGCGCAACCCGTTCCCGCCGCACTACAAGGACATTAGCACGACCAATCTGCCCGCGGAGTTGCTGCCCAAGTACACGACGATCGAGTACACGCTGAGCCGCACGTCGCAGATCCCGCCCATCTTCATGTTCGTGGTCGACACATGCATGGAGCCGGATGATCTCAAGGCGCTCAGCGAGTCGCTCGTGGTCAGCCTCAGTCTGCTGCCGCCTAACGCGCTCGTCGGCCTGGTGACGTTTGGAACGGTCGTTCAGGTGCACGAACTGGGCTACGAGAACTGCCCCAAGAGCTTTGTATTCCGCGGCTCGAAGGACTACTCGCCCAAGAGTATCCAGGACATGCTGGGCCTCACGCCCGGCGCGCGGCCGACGCCAGGCAGCGGCCCATCGCAGCCGCGCGCGGCACCGAGCGGCCAGATCGGCGCGACGCGCTTCTTGCTTCCGGTGTCGCAGTGCGAGTACCAGCTGACGAGCATCCTCGAGCAGCTGCAGCGCGACCCGTGGCCCGTGGCGAACGACAAGCGCCCGCAGCGCTGCACGGGCGCTGCGCTCAGCGTCGCAGTCGGCCTGCTTGAGAGTGCGTTCCAGAACACGGGCGCGCGCGTGATGCTCTTCTGCGGTGGGCCCTGCACGGAGGGCCCCGGACAGGTCGTCTCGACCGAGCTGCGCGAGCGAATTCGCTCGCACCACGACATCGAGAAGGACAACGTCAAGTTCTTTAAGCGCGCGGTGCGCTTCTACGAGAACCTGGGCCGCCGCGCTGCCACGAATGGGCATGCGATTGACGTGTTTTCGGGCTGCCTGGACCAGGTCGGCCTGCTCGAGATGCATGCGCTGTGCAATGTCACGAACGGGCACCAGCTGCTCGTCGACAGCTTCCAGATGGGTATCTTCAAGCAGAGCTTCCAGAAGATCTTTGACAAGGACGAGCATGGGCACCTGCAGATGGGCTTCAACGCCACGCTCGAGGTGCAGTGCACGAAGGAGCTCAAGGTGAGCGGCCTCATCGGCCACGCCATCTCAGCGAACAAAAAGTCGGCGAGCGTGGGCGAGACGGAGATTGGCATCGGCCAAACGGCCGCGTGGAAGATGTGCTCGGTGACGCCGCGCACGAGTGCGGGCGTGTACTTCGAGGTGGCGACGCCGGCTGGCCAGCCACTGCAGCCTGGCGCGCGGGGGCTGGTCCAGTTTGTGACGCACTACCAGCACGCATCGGGGCAGTTCCGCCTGCGTGTGACGACGATTGCGCGCAACTTTGCGGACGGCGAGTCGGGTCACATTGGCCTCTCGTTCGACCAGGAAGCCGCAGCTGTGCTCATGGCGCGTATTGCCGTGTTCAAGGCGGAGATCGACGACAGTCCCGACGTGCTGCGCTGGCTCGACCGCATGCTGATCCGCCTGTGCCAGAAGTTTGCCGAGTACCGCAAGGACGACCCGACGAGCTTCCGCCTGAGCGAGAATTTCAACATCTACCCCCAGTTCATGTTCCACCTGCGCCGCAGCCAGTTCCTGCAGGTGTTTAACAACTCGCCGGACGAGACGGCGTACTACCGGCACGTACTCAACTGCGAGGACGTGAACAACTCGCTCATCATGATCCAGCCGACGCTCATGTCGTACGGATTCGAGGGGCCGCCAACGCCCGTGCTGCTCGACTCGATGTCGATTCGCCCCGACGTTGTGCTGCTGCTCGATACGTTCTTCCACCTGCTCATCTTCCATGGCGAGACCATCGCGCAGTGGCGCAAGGCGGGGTACCAGGACCAGGAGGGCTACGAAAACTTCCGCGAGATCCTCGAGATGCCACAGACCGATGCGCAGGAGCTCCTGCTCGAGCGCTTCCCGATCCCCCGCTATATTGTGTGCGACCAGAACGGCTCGCAGGCACGCTTCCTTCTCTCCAAGCTGAACCCGTCCACCACACACATGACCGGCGGCGCCTACGGCGCCGGCGCGCAGGGCGCCGCCATCTTTACCGACGACGTCAGCCTCCAGGTGTTCATGGAGCACCTCAAGCGCCTCGCCGTCGGCGCCAACAGTGGATAGTTACTCGTCCAGTAGGGCCTCCAGCTCCGCTTCCTCCTCGGCCGTGAGCGCCGCGCCCGGCGCCGCAGGCGCCTCGGGCGCCTCGCGACGCGCCATCAGGCGTGACCACGGCCAGCGGCGCACCGTACCGTCCAGGGAGGCCGACACGACGTACGGCTCGGTGGCGCGGTGCCACACGCTCAGGAAGGTCACTTCGTGCCAGTGGCCGTCCAGCACATGCACACATGCGCCGTGTGCGAGTGACCACAGCTGCAGCGTGCCGTCCACACACCCCAGCAAAACGAGATCGTCCACCGCAAGCGGCAGCACAGAGCGAGCGGGCACCGAGAAGCACACGTCCGCGCGCAGCGGCGGCTGGGCGCCGGCCGCCGCCCCCGCGTGCGATGCACGGCCGGGCAGCACCGTCTCGCGCGCGTGCGCGGAGAGCGGGAAACGGCGCACCGTCTGGTCCGACGACACGCACCACACATCGAGCGTGTACTGCTCGGCATCGTACTCGCGCCACGCCGGCACGAGCTGGTGCACATTGGTTTCCGGCCCGTCGAGCTCGCGCTCCACGGTACAGCGCTGCGTGTCGGCGTCCCAGCGCACCTGCAGCACGCGCCCCATCGAGTCGGCGGACCATAGGACAAGCGCACTGTCCAGGTTGCGCACGTCAGGCGCCCACTGCGCGGGCGGCGCCGGCGCGGCAGGCACCGACGCGAGGCTCACGACCGGGCGCGTGTGCACTTGGTACGAGCCGACGAGCGGCGGCCGCGGGGCATCTGCGCCGAGCGCCGGGGCACTCTCCAGAGAGCGCCTGGCCCACGCAAGCATGGGCGCGAGGTCCCACAGGCGCACCGTCTTGTCGCTGCCGCCAGAGCACAGGATCGCATGGGGTGCATCGTAGTGCAGAGCCTTGAGGAGGTCGGCGGCCGCGTTGTCCACGCACAGAAACGGTGCACGCGCGTGCTCCGCGTCCCAAAAGCGGAGGCAGCGATCCCAAGAAGCCGTGCACAGGATCGTGCGCCCAGGCTGCACGGGGATCACGGCAATGCCGGTGACTGGGCCGCCGTGCCTGGTGTACGTGGCGAGCGCGTCGCCCGACTCGAGATGTGTGCGTCGCGCGAGGCGCCCTGCCTCCGCCGTGTACAGCGTCTCGTGGGCCAGTGCCGCATGGAGCACCTTGTGCAGGCCGCCGTCGGCGCCTGCCGCGCGCTCCGCCAGCGTGGCGAGGTCGCGCGTCGGCGCCGGCGCCTGTTCTTCCTGGCTGTGGGGGAGCGGACTCGCACCGACGCCGAGCCAGATGGGGTATCCATGCGCGGCGCCATGCGCCGTGCGCTGGGCCTTGGCGGCGCGCGCCTCGCCGAGCGCCAGCGAGGCGTCCGACTGGAACAGGTGCGTCGCCGGGGCCGAGGTCATCGGGGGTGGAGAAGCTCCACTTCTACGGAGCGCGCATGGCCTGCTGGAAGAACGCGGCCCACGAGAGGGCGCCGTGCGGCAGCGGGGTGGCGGCGTCGGCGGCGTGTAGGTAGGCGCTCATATCCTTCAGGCGCTCGAGCTGGACGAGGCCGGAGCGGCGCGATACGCTGGCGGGCACAGCGAGTGTGCGCAGCGCATGGGCGAGGCCCTCGAGCGCCGGCGCAGCTGGCGGCGGCACCGCGCCGAAGGCGCGCACCTCGCACGTCTGCCACGGCAGGCGCTTGATGCGGCGCACGTACTCGGGCACGCGGCTCGCGCACGGCGCGCGGTCAGCAACGAGCAGCACGCCGGGGTAGCCAATTTTCACGAGTCCGTGCAGCTCTAGCTCCTGCGACCACGCATGCAAAGTGCGGATCTTTTTCGCAGAGAGGATGTGATGAAAGGCCAGTAGCGCGCGGTGCGCCTCGCCAGGCATCGGGCGGAGGGGGCGGCCGAGCGGCCGCGCGCGAGGAAATAAGTCTCCATCGGCCGCCTGCGGCTCCACGCACAACGACGGTGGCCATGCTCGTGGTTCGATCAGCTGTGCGCAGCCTGCGTGTACCGGCGCCTGTGAGTGTGGCGCGCGGGATGACGACGTCGGCGCTGCGTCCTAGTATGCCGCTGCAGCTGCAGGTGACGCAGCCATCGCACATTGCCACACCGATGGTCCTGGGCTGTGGCCTCATTGGCGCGTGCGTATATGCCACTTACACAGCGGCGTACTGGCGATGATGATGCGGCCGACGAGCGCGTCGAATGGCAAGTGGGTGAAGGGCGGCTTCCAGGCCAAGATGGACCGCAAGGAGGCCATTCAGATTCTGGGCCTGCGGTGCGTGTGGCCGACTAACGGCAGCGAAGCGAGCGTGAACCGGAACCGCATCAAGGATGCGCACCGCCGCATGATGATTGCGAACCACCCTGACCGTGGCGGCTCGCCGTACCTCGCAAGCAGTATGTACGGGGCGCTGACGCAGAAATCAACGAGGCGAAGGACCTGCTGGAGCGCACAACGTCGCGCTAGCGCACAAAGCTATAGGGACGGCCTGTCTGTTGGCATACATGTAGGTATTCACCAGCCACCAAGGCACTATCCTGCGGCTATAGTGCATCCACGATGCCACGGCATCCGTGGAGCGTGGGCAAAACAGTTTTGGGAGACGGGCGTCGTGGCTTACGCCTCGCTGATCTCACGCAGACGACGGATCGTGCTGGGGTTAGACCGTGGCACATACCTGCGGACCGTGGCCGCGGCCGTGGTGTTCATCGACCAGGCGCCACCGGCGACCACCTTCTTGCACGCGCTGCAGTTCCAGATACCCACAGCCTGGCGCTTCACAGTGTCCTTGCCACAGAAGGAGCACGTGTAGCGGCTGTGCTGCGACACCTCAATCTTCTTGATCTGGCGACGCAGCGACGAGCCATAACGAGTGCCGTACTTGCCGGTAATGCCAACCTTGACTGTGCGCTTAGACTAGCAGGTTAGTATGCGTTCGAGCGCGCCGTGCCCGCGGCGTCCGCGCTCCCCACCGCGCCTCACACCTAGAGCAAGGGCGGCACGGCGTAGAGAACGCGGCATCGTCCACGGGCGCGGCGCCGTCAGCACGTACCATCTTGCTGTACCAGAAGAAGGTCGGACAGCCGCAGAGGCTGCGACGCACGATGGACTGTTAGTCACGTGTGGAAATATAGTTGACCACGTGATGGGATAGGGTGTGGAGGCGGACCAGCGCTCCGCCCCTCATGTGGCTCCGTGCGGCGGCCGCGGGGCAGCGCCACGGCGCGTGCGCGCGCGTGGCGGCGCGGGCGATCAGCACGTCGTCCGCTCGCTTCTCAGGAAAGGATGCACCTGACTTGAGTGATCCGTTCCCCTTGCCCTTTTCCCGGGAAATGGACCCGGCGCGCCGCGCCGACGGCGTGGACCTCGCGAGCGCGGGCCAGCGTGTCGAGGGCATAGACGTGCCGATCCGCGTAGCAAACCGAGAGGGCGAGGGGCGACCACGCATGCTAGCGCGTCTGCAGTACCAGTGCCGCAAGCGCGGCACGCTCGAGACGGACCTGATTCTCAGCACGTTTGCGCAGAAAGAGCTCGCATGCCTCTCAAACGAGGAGCTGCATGAGCTGGATCAGCTTTTGGACGAGCCAGACTGGGACATCTTCTACTGGTGTACAGAGCGCAAGCCGGTGCCGGCGCGCTGGGAGGCCTCGTTCGCGACGGAGGGGCGCTTGGGCCACCGGCTGCGGCAGCACACGCGCAACGAGGAGCGCATGGTGCGGCGCTTCCCGCCCCTGACGGCCGAGATCCAGTCGCCCGCCTAATTCGATACCGTAGTACCCGTTTCTTCGCCATCCACGAGCTCCAGCGCCTGCTGCAGGTCACGCTGCTGCGCCTCGTTGAGGCCCTCGGTGAGGCGCTGGAAGAGCGCCGCATGCTGCGTGCGCAGCTGCTGGACGACCGTGCGGAAGGGCTCGTACACGGGCACACTCTCAAGGGGCGACTCGTACCCGATCTCGTCGTCGTCCAGGTCGTCGAGCTCATCGAGATCCTCGCCGTCGTCGACTGCACTTACTCGCGTCCGGAGGCGCGCAGCCTCTTGGGCGAGGAGCTCCAGGTAGTCGTTGTCGTCCTCCTCGACGTCCGCGTCGTCATCAAACTCGGCCAGGTCGCCATCGTCATCCAAGTCGTTGAAGCCCTGGTCCAGCGCCGAGGACAGCTCCTTGCGCCGCGAGACGAGCTTGGGCAGCAGCGCGAGCTGCGTGACGAGCGCGCCAAGCAGGTGGGGGTAGCCGGCCTGCAGCGCCTCGGGCACCGCCGCAGGGTCCAGCGACAGGAGCGAGAGCAGCGCGACCACCGTCACCTTACACTCGTGCACGCGGCGGCACTGGCTGAGCATCGGCAGCGCGGCGGAGAAGAAGGCGCTCGTCGCGCCGTGCGACTCGAGCACCTGGAGCGCCAGTGCCGCGTTGTAGTATACGGCCTCGAGGATGACGAGGATCGCCCACTTGCGCAGCTGGAACGAGGGCGCCTCCGCGCTCTTTTGTGTGTGGGGCAGCAGCGTGCCGATGATGCCGGGCACGGCCTCGTCGACGTAGCCGCGGAGCAGGAGAAGAATCACCTCCGCGAGCTGGCACGCGGCCACACGGTCGCTCACGACGAGCTGGTCGTGCGTCATGGCCGTGTGGAAGATATCGAGCAGCATGTGGCGGTACTCGGCCTTCTCCTGCAGGACGGCCGTGCCGTACGACGCGCAGTTGTCCAGCGTGCCGATCATCTCCGACAGGTAGTCGACGCCGCTCGACTTGAACGACTTGTACATGAGCGTGAAGATGTGCCACATGCCCGGCGAAATGCGCTTCTGGTAGTACGTCAGCACATCGGTGAGCTGGAAGCAGTCGTCGTACAGGTCGACCGTCTCCGACTCGATCGTGTACGCCACGACGGGCAGCAGCACCTGCTCGAGCTCCGCGAGGATCTCAGGACGCGACTCGGCCGTGGAGACCATCTGGTACATGGTGCTCAGGCAGCCGACGGCCGCAAAGTACTTGTCCTCCTCGCCCTGGTCGATCCGGAAGGCGTGCACGCCATCCGCGTCCGCGTCGCCGCCGGCCAAGTTGTCCTGCACAAGGCGCATGTAGCTCTGCGCCATCTGCTGCGTGAGCTGCACGCTGAACGGCAGCAGCTCCTCGGCAAAATGGTTCACGATCTTCTCCTGCGTCGTCATCAGCACATCGAGGTCCGTCTCGTCAGAGAGCTTGAGCAGCTCCTGCATCAGGCGGCCCGCATTCGGCGCCATCGCATTGTGCACCTCGTCGTGCGCGACCAGCTCACCCATCGCCTCCGCGGCCTGCACACGCACCGGCAGCTCCGTGTCGAGCATGCAGTCCATCACCCCACGCAGCGCCGTCTCGAGCGTCTCGCCCGACGTCCACTTCATGCCCGCATGGTCAAACGTCTGCACCGCCGCACACGCGCGCAGCCGCAAAAAGGCATGCGGGCTCCGGAGCGCAGGCAGCACGTGCTGCGCAAAGAACGCGTCCAGCTGGTCCTGCACCCGCTCGCTGTGCACCATGCTCGTGCAGATCGTGATACACATGCGCAGCGCACCGTCCATCTGACGCGGCGTGCACTGCTCCGCTGCGTACGCGTTCACGATTTGCAGGATGAACTGCAGCGTCGGATCCAGCATCGACGCGGTGCGGCGCGCCACGGCCGTGTGCAGCAGCGAGCTGGCCACGCTCGCCGTCGTGCCCAGCTCCTCCAGCGGGTCCGCGCTCATGCGCACAAAGTCCACCGGGTCGACCTCCCACAGCTCCTCGTCCTCGTCGGAGAAGCAGAGGCGGGGGTACACGAGCGTCTCGATAATCTGCTGCATGTGGGGGCGCAGCAGCACCCACATCGACTTGGGCTTGAGGCTCTCGGTGAAGAAGGCGAGCAGGTGCCGCACCACCGGGCGGCTGACCCACAGCTGCTGCGACACCATGGCGTCCGCTGTGTGCAGGTACGCTTTGAGGATCTCGGGCGCGAAGCTGTGCAGGAACGTCTCCGCAAACGGCTTGCACGAGACCATACTCGCAGAGAGCTGCGACGGGATGCCGTACCGCGAGAAGAGCCGGTTGAGAGCGTAGAACGCCCACTTCTTCGCCTTCCACCACGGCGCCTTTTCCTTGGCCTCCTCGTCCGCGCCCTCAGCGTCCACGGGCTTTTGCACGACGCGCAGCATGAGCGTGCCCCACGGCACAATGCTCTCGTTCGACTGCTGGTGCCGCGTGAGCGTGATCGCGAGACTCGTCTTGTACACTTTCATCGCATAGTACACCATCTCGCCGACCGCCGGCAGGTTCGACTGCGCCGAGTCCATCAGCGCATTCACCGTCTGCAGCAGCACCGGGAAGGTGCGCGCCACAATCCCCTCCAGCTTCGTGTCCGTGTCAGAGAAACGGAACGCACGCACGGCCTCGAGGAGCGCCCGCACGCCCGCGTACATCTCCGCCTCCTGCCCCGACGTGAGCCTCTGCACGATCTCGTCAAGCAGTGTCGGCCAGTGCTCGGGAAAGTCGCTGCGCACAACGCTGAACAGCGCACTCGCCACATGCACACGCAGCGTCGGGGGGACCGAGGCGATCGACGGCAGCAGCGCCGCACGCACCACCGGCTTGTCGTCCTCGGGCACATGGGGGGACTCGTGCGCACCGCGCGGCAGCGACGTGTCCCACGCACGCGAAATGCGGTTCTTCACATAGCTGCGTCAGTTGACCACACGTACATGGCCGCTGCCTGGCGCACCGTGGCATCGGCGTCCGGCGACGCGACGATTTGCAGCGACGCCGAGAGCATGCCCGGCTGCCCCTCCAGCTGGCGCAGTTCCTGCTCCGAAGCGCGCCGCACATGGATGTCCGGACTGAGTGTCGAAGGAAACAGGCGCAGCAGCGTCTCCATCGTGCTGGGAGAAAAGCCGTGGCCGTCGAGCCACCCCAAGTAGCCACGTGACACGCTGTCATGCTACGCTCATGCCACCGTCGACGCGGGGGGGGCGTGGGCAGCTGAGCCTCGTCGCGCGCCGCACGCCACACGATGCGCCGCAGGTGCACTCGACTGCTAAGAGGTCGGCGCCGCGCACCTCCCGGGCGCCTGTGCCGACCTCGCGCCCGCTGCGGCGCGCGACGAGCGCAGGCGCTCGTGCCAGCGCCGACGACGTCGACGGCCTGGCTGTGAACAAGCGCAAGATCGCGGATGTGCGCGCGTGGCTTACAGAGGCTCTGGATGGTGCTCCATCTCTGCGCAAGTACCGCGTACGTGTGCCCTGCTCACCCAGCGCATCCTCGCCTTGACGGGCCCCAGCGGCGCCGGCAAAAGCGCCACGCTGCACGCGCTCGCGCGCGCGACACAGCTGCACTTTGACGTGGTCGAGTGGGAAAATTGCGATGCACTCCTTGAGACAGGTGTGCGGCAGTCGTCCGTCGAGCGCTTTGCGGCGTTTCTCCAAGCGTCGGCGCGCTTTGCGCGCTTGGCCCTCGTGCCGCGCGGCCACGCCGGCGAAGCGCCGCCGCCGCGCCGCGTGATCCTCGTCGAAGACTGGCCGAACGTGTCGCACGAAGAGACGCGGCAGCAGGTGCATCGCGCCCTCGAGCAGTTTCTCGCCACGACGGGCGCGCCGCTCGTGCTCGTTGTGTCGGACGCACAGCCCCGCACCGAGGCAGACCCATGGGAGGCGCTCGACTGGCGCGCGCGCCGCGCATCGCAGATGGACGTCCGCGCCGTGGTGCCTGACTCGGTGCAGCGGCACCCGGCCTTTTCAGAGATCCGATTCCCCCCGCTGACGACGCGTATGATCCAGAGCGCGCTGGCGGCGCAGGCGCCGCACATGCCGCAGGCCGTGCTGGCCGACGTGGCCGCATCGTCGGCTGGCGATATACGGAGCGCGAGCACGAGTGTGGCCCTTCTACAGGATGCGCCAACGACCGAGGCGCTCACGATGCGGGCCTCGGCGCTCGTTGTCTTCCACGCAGTCGGTCGTGTGCTGTACAACAAGCGCGAGGGCGACCCGGGTCTCGAGGCGCCGCCTGCGCCGCGCCCCACGCTTACGCACCCGTTCCGCGCGACGCAGCGCCCGTCGCTCGTGGACGTCGAGCAGCTGTGGGCCCAGCTGCCGGTCGATGCCTCGGTGTACCAGCTGTACCTCTTCCACAACCTGCCGGCCTTTGTGAACGAGGTGGACGACATGGCGCCTGCCCTCGAGTCGTTGAGCGAGGCGGACGCACTCGCTGCGTGTGCCGATGTCCGCGGGCAGGCGGCGGGCACGCAGTATCTGTACCAGCTCACGGTCCGTGGTCTTCTCGCGTCGCTGCCGTCGCCGGTCGCGCGCCGTGGGCAGCAGCTGACCAAGCCCGCGCACTGGGACCTCGCTGCACGTGCGCGCGCGTGCGACGACGTGCTGCAGGCGCTGCGCAGGCCGCCCGTGGACGAGCGCTCGCCGTTCCATGCGCCGCGCGCGACGTACCGGCCGGCCGAGTGGGCGATGGACCTGCTGCCCTACGCGGCGCGCATCGATGCGCCTACGTGGGGCGCGCTGGCTGCGCCGCTCATCCAGCTGCGCGAGGCACCTACGCTGGACGAGGCACTGCGCGAGGACGCGCCGGAGGCGCTGGAGCTGGAGCCGGTGCCGCCCCAGAGAGGGGCCCCGAACGCGGCGCGCGCGCTGAGCCTCCACAGCGACGACCTCGCAGGCTCGTCCGACGAATTGGAGGACCTCGGCTAAGTGCTCCACATGACCCGGCCCAGGGAGGCCGCCCATTGGCCCATTGCGCCCGGGTGCTGCGGCCCCCGACGGGCACGCCTCGCCGATCGTTTCACTCCACGAGGCATGTTCCGCACGTACGTTCGCAGCTTTGCGCAAAAAGCCACTCCTGGACCGGGGCTGTCACCGCGTCGTCGCACAGCTGTCATTGCGACGGTCGCAGCGCTGAGCGCGGGTACTGTGTACGCGCTGACGCGCCGGAGCGACGCCGACGAGTATGCCCTGCCTCATGACGTGAGCCCGGCGCAGTTCTGGTCGCCGCCTACGCGTGCGCAGATGATCGACGCCCTGAAGAAGTCGTCGGGTGTGGGTCTGCGCGCCGACGGGAGCCTGGAGCAGCGCAAGTCGCTGCTGCAGCCGACGCACCAGGCGGTGGGCCACAGTCCCATCCCGGAAGTGGAGCACGCGTATGCGGAGCAGTTGCGCGACGAGGACGAGGGCTTTGACCTGCTGGTGATCGGCGGTGGTGCGACCGGTGCGGGTGTCGCGGTGGATGCCGCGACGCGTGGCCTCAAGGTCGCGCTCGTGGAGCGCGACGACTACGGCGCGGGCACCTCGTCGAAGTCGACCAAGCTGGTGCACGGTGGTGTGCGCTACTTGCAGAAGGCGGTGATGCAGCTGGACTATGAGCAGTACAAGATGGTCAAGGAGGCGCTGCATGAACGCAAGACGTTCCTGCACATCGCGCCGTACCTGTCGAGCCCGCTGCCGATCATGATCCCGGCGTACTCGTGGTGGCTGATCCCGTACTACTACGCGGGTACGAAGCTGTACGACTTGATTGCCGGCTCGCAGAACATGGGCAGCTCATACATTGTGGGCCGCAACAAGGCGCTGGAGGTGTTCCCGATGCTCCGCGCGCACAACCTCGCTGGAGGCGTCGTGTACTACGACGGCCAGCAGAACGACACGCGCATGAATGTGGCGCTGGTGCTGACGGCCATCCAGCACGGCGCCGTGGCTGCGAACCACATGGAGGTGACCTCGCTGAAGAAGGACGCAGCGTCCAAGATCACGGGTGCGCAGGTGCGCGACTGCCTCACGGGCGAGGAGTTCCACATCAAGGCGAAGGGCGTCATCAATGCCACGGGTCCGTTCTGCGACTCGATCCGCAAGATGGACGACCCGTCGTGTGGCGACATTGTGGCGCCGTCGTCGGGTGTGCACATTACGTTCCCTGGCTACTTTAGCCCCCGCGGTATGGGCCTGCTCGACCCCGCGACGAGCGACGGCCGTGTGATCTTCTTCCTGCCGTGGCAGGGCTCGACGATCGCCGGCACCACGGATGTGGCCGCCAAGGTCGAGGCGCATCCCCTGCCGGGCGAGCAGGAGATCCAGTGGATCCTGGACGAGGTGCGCAACTACCTGAACACCGACGTGACGGTGAAGCGCTCGGACGTGATGAGCGCCTGGAGTGGTCTGCGCCCGCTCGTCAAGGACCCGACGGCGCGCGACACGCAGAGCCTGGTGCGCAACCACATGATCCATGTGAGCGACAGCGGCCTCCTCACCATCTCGGGCGGCAAGTGGACGACGTACCGCGAGATGGCCGAGCAGACGGTCGACAAGGCGATCGAGGCGTTCCAGCTGAAGCCCCTGCACGACTGCTGCACCACGCAGGTGCGCCTGATCGGCAGCCACTCGTGGTCGCGCACGATGTACGTGCGCCTGCTGCAGGAGTACGGCCTCGACACGGACGTCGCGATGCACCTGTCCGACTCGTACGGCGACCGCGCATGGAGTGTGTGCTCGATCATGCAGCGGACCGGCATGCGCTACCCGGTGCACGGCGTGCGTCTTGACTCGCAGCTGCCGTATGTCGAGGCGGAGGTCCGCTACGCGACGCGCTGCGAGTACGCCGTCAAGGTCGCCGACTTCATTGCGCGCCGCTCGCGCATGTCGTTCCTCAACACGGAGGCGACGATCGAGGCGCTGCCCCGCATCATCGATATCATGGGCGAGGAACTCGACTGGAGTGAAACACGCAAGCAGACCGAGTTCGCCGAGGGCATCCAGTTCCTCCAGTCGATGGGCGTGGACCCCACACGCGTCGCGAAGCTCGCCCAGACGAGCCTGGTCGAGGCGCGCCGCTGGAAGGAACACCATACGTCGCCCCGCCAGGTGCCCGTCGCGCACTCGATCACCACCGCGATCCACTCGGTGCCTCCTGTAGCGGTCGCCCACTAGGACGCGATGTCCGAAAAGGCCGCGACGCATGTAGCTTGGCCGCACACGCATCACACAGGACGACCTTGACGAGCGCCTCACGCGCAGTGAGCGTGCCCCGCACACGCTCCTCGTACCGGAACGGCACCTCGAGCGTGGCGAGGCGCGGCGGATCGTCCGCGCGGTGCCACACACACCGCTGGTTCGCGCACGTATACTGCCCAATGCCTTCGAGCACTTCCGCCTCTGTACGCCAGCGCAGCGCAATCCCGCGCGTGCGGTAGTGCTTTAGGTTCGCAATCGCAAACTGCGTGAGAGGACGCCACGCACCTCTTTGTACAGCGAGTCGTACAGCCGGCGCGCCGCCTCAGCACCTGGACTAGCCTCATCGTCCGCAGCATCGCGCAGAAACCGGTGGTGCGCCGCCAGGCTGCGCAGGTCGTCGTGCTCCCGCGGCCCACGCCCCATCCGCCAAGTGGCAGCGCGGCGACCAGCAGCCTCCACAACAATTACAACTACCCAGAGCTACCGGCCAGCTGGCTGCGCTTCCGCGCCGTGTTCATATACGGACGCAGCACCCACTCAACATCCGCCTGCTCCTGCTCGAGCGTGCCTTGACGGATTTCGTACGGGCGCATGTCGAAGCGTGGGCCAACCTCCGCGAGATGCACGTCGCGGTGCGTAGCGACGAACACATGGTGGCGGAAACTAATAAAGTCGTTCTTGTTCGCAAACGTCATGACACGCCGAGCATCGTCCTTGGGCACGGGGAAGAGGAACCGGAGCGCACTCTTTACGCGCTCGCCTAGCTTGCCGCCGAAGCCATCGAAGATCAGGTGGGGGTATTGCTCGCTCACCGTGCTGTTGCTGTGACTCGCGACCTCGTGGCGCAGTGTCACATTGTGCAGCGTGAACATGACGGTCGGACCATGAGGGAAGTGCGACACGACCATCGCGTCCGGCACGCCACGGTGCTCGTGGACAACGATCATGTCCGTAATGCCGTTTGCGCGCGCGGCCGCCGCAAGCTCGTTCATCGTATAGACACCACGGTTTAGCCGCGTCGAGTTGGGGAACACGAGACGCAGCTCCTTGGCAAACTGCGACAGTCGCGACGACGGGCTGCGCGACGTCGTGATCAGCACGCGCGGGTCGTACTGCCCCGCGCGCGAGTATTCGTCGTCAATCGACGTCCCCGGCTCGGCCTGCGCGGCATCCAGCGTCAGGTTCTTGGCCAGCTCCTGCGCCTCTGGTCCGCGCAGCTCGGGCGGCAGCGGCTTGCCACTTGCAAGCGCTTCGCGGATCTTTTGCTTGCGCTCGTAGATCTGTCGTTGTTTTGACTCGAGCGCCTTCTTATAGACATATTCGCGCCTCTCACGCGCCTGCCGTCGGAGCTGGCGTCAGTCAGCGGCCTCAGCACGTACCATGATGCAGGGAGGAGCGAACGCCGCGGCTCGAAAAATGTATGTCACGTGCATGAACGAAGACCGCCGCCGCGCCGCGCTGCGCCCACTGGCTCTCCCCATGTTGGCCTCGCTGGTGCGTTGGTCACGCACGACCTACCGCGGTGCGCGCGGCTCCGGCGCAGGTCGCAGCGGAAAAACAGATGCTCGCTCGTCGCAGGCATCGCGGCCGACGGATGTCGTCGCCGCGCACGCCGGACGCACCTTCAAGCGTGCTCAGCGTGGTTTGTACGATGGCCGCATCCTGCAGTACGGCAACAGCATCCCGAACTCCCGACACAAGACGGGTCGGCGCTGGGTGCCTAATATCCAGCGCAAGGCACTCTGGAGCGAGACGCTCCAGGAGTGGGTGCGCACGCGCGTCGCCACTTCGGCGATGCGTTCCATTGAAAAGCACGGCGGACTCGATCAGTACCTCGCGCGGACCAAAGACACACATCTCGGCGATTTCGGACGCAGTCTGCGCGAGCGCGTTGCCCGCGCCCTGCGCGAAAAGCGGCTGGCAAGCTCCTAGCGTACTCTATGGCTTCTCGCGCCGGCCACGCTTGGTCAGACTCCGCATCTGCTTCGCGCGGCGTACGTGCTCGCGCTCGCGCTTCGCGAGCTGGGCCACCCGCTCCTGCTGCTCAGGGGATGTGGCGCCACGCAGTCCCGCGCTGCCCAACCGCAGGATCTCTGCATGTAGCTGCGCATCAGTAGCTGTTGAACATACCTTGGACAGGGCGTCTTGCACGTTTTGCGCCTGTGACCGATGCCGCTCGCTCGCTACCTGGAGTGAATGCGTCGCTTGAATGTACATAGGCTGCTGTCAGCGACAACACATACCGACTGCTTCGCCAGCGCTTTGACAAGGCCCGCTGGAAGCGGCCGCGGCGTGCGCGGCCCCAGATCCAGCCGTGCATGCACCTTGGTATGAACTGCGGTTAGGACCCCAGCACGTACGCTTGTTCACATTCTGTCCGCCAGGCCCCGAGCTCCGGGCATACACGATGTGCACCTCGCCTGCGGTGAGCTAGGACCACGTACGCGCTTCTAGGGGGCGCGAGCGGAACGCGTCGAGCCAGTTCCGGCGCGCCTCGTCATTCGCCCAGTCGAATTCGTGTGTTTGAATCGCACGAACATGCGCCCACGCACACCGCGCTGGCGCCCGCGCCCACGCCCACGCCAAGCGGACGCCGCCCGGCATGGCCTGCACCTCGACGGTCGTGCCGCCGAGCGGAGGTGGAGAAGTGTTGTACATGCGCAAATATTTCTGACCTAACGCCGCACATGCGCACGGAACGGGCCGCCTGCGCCTCGGCTTCTGTTCCCCGTACTTGGTCGTGACCGTTCGAGACGATGACGGAGGCACGATTGTCCGATCGGGAGCTGTTCGAGCTCAATGCCAAAGCAGCGTGCGTTGATAGTGCTGACGGCTAGTGTGAAAGACCTGAGCATCGATCCGCGCCTTGATTACCGGACGGTGTCGGCAATCAATGGGTATGTGCACGCCACTAACGTCCAGCCCGCTCGTCGTGCTGGAGAATGTCAAGTTCCCGTCGTACAATGAGATCGTGTCGCTGACGCTCCCGGATGGCTCGCGCCGTGGTGGTCAGGTGCTGGAGGTGTCGGGCAACAAGGCTATTGTGCAGGTGTTCGAAGGCACGTCGGGCATCGACGTGAAGGAGACGCATATTGAGCTGACCAAGTCGTCGATGAAGCTGCCTGTCTCCGAAGACATGCTGGGACGTGTCTTCAACGGCTCCGGAAAGCCCGTCGACAACGGCCCCCGTGTGTTTGCCGAGGACTATCTCGATATCAACGGCTCGCCGATCAACCCCTTCTCGCGGGCGTACCCCGAGGAGATGATCCAGACGGGTATCTCGACGATCGACACGATGAACTCGATTGCGCGTGGCCAAAAGATCCCGATCTTCTCGGCCTCCGGTCTGCCGCACAACGAAATTGCGGCGCAGATCTGCCGACAGGCTGGTCTCGTCAAGAAGCCAGGCAAGGGTGTGCACGATGACCACGAAGATAACTTCAGCATTGTGTTCGCCGCCATGGGTGTGAATATGGAGACAGCGCGTTTCTTCAAGCAAGACTTTGAGGAGAACGGCTCGCTTGACCGTGTCACGCTGTTCCTGAACCTGGCCAACGACCCCACCATTGAGCGAATCATCACGCCTCGGCTGGCACTGACGACAGCCGAGTACTTTGCGTACCAGCTCGAGAAGCACGTCCTCGTCGTGCTGACCGATATGACGTCGTACGCCGACGCGCTGCGTGAGGTGTCGGCGGCCCGTGAGGAAGTGCCCGGTCGCCGCGGCTACCCCGGCTACATGTACACAGACTTGTCCACGATCTACGAGCGGGCCGGACGAGTCGCGGGCCGCAACGGTTCGATTACGCAGATCCCGATTCTCACCATGCCGAACGACGATATGACGCACCCGATTCCTGACTTGACAGGCTACATCACTGAGGGCCAGATCTATGTCGACCGGCACCTGCACAACCGCCAGGTGTACCCGCCGATCAACGTGCTTCCGTCGCTCTCGCGTCTGATGAAGAGTGCGATTGGCGCCAAGCACACGCGTGCAGACCACGGCGATGTGTCGAACCAGATGTATGCCGCGTACGCTACGGGCCGTGACGCCGCCTCGATGAAGGCCGTCGTGGGTGAAGAGGCGCTGAGCAACGAAGACAAGCTGACGCTCGAGTTTATGGAGCGCTTCGAAAAGGAGTTTGTCACGCAGGGCGCTTACGAGACGCGCACCATCTTTGACTCCCTCGACCTCGGCTGGTCGCTCCTGCGGATCATGCCGAAGGAGATGCTCAACCGTATTAGCCCGAAGATCATCAAGGAGTACTACTCGCGTAAGGCCAAGTCGTCAGAGGACGACGAGGAAAAGCCTAGCGCCAAGGACCAGGAGTAGACAGGTACATAGTCGTGCTACTATTTACAGCTTGGGGGCGGGCACGTACGGCTTGAGCGCCTGCATATCGGCCACGGTGTCAGGGTCCGAGGGACGCATCACGCACTGCTGCGTGCACGTAGCGATGTGGTGGCCAGCTTGGTCAAAGACGCGTGCCTCGCCATAGTGGCGCTGCCATCCTCCGTTCACCGGGATGATCTCGCGCAGCAGCCACTGATTCACGTCCAGCACGTCGGTGTGGAAGCGCAATGCAAACTCGAGCGTAGATGCGACTTGTGCATCGAACAAGCTCCGCTTCACAAAAGACAGCGGCGCAAACGCAATGGCGCCGTCCATCGCGAAGGCCAGGGTCGCCAGATGCGCCACGACGGGCGCGATCGCGTGCATGCCGAGTTTTTCGCATACAGCAGGCCCCCTGGATCCATCGGTAGGCGGGAGCGGCGTCCGAATGTGCATCCAGTCGAACGCGCGGCGGTCCTGGAGCGGCAGCTCATCCTGCGACGTTCGCACATCCATAAGGCCGATCATATTCTGGTCCATCATGCTGCTCGGCACTACACGCATCTCAAAAAGCTCAAACCATAGACCCATAAACCTCTTCTGTATTGCTACCACGGACTCGTCAAGCTCGCCCGCGGCAACGCGCTGCGCCAGATGCTGCTCCACAGGAAGAAGACGGTCGGGTGCGTCGATGTGCCAAGGCGTGCGGGGCTGGTACCGCACCACCGATGCCACAGAGGCAGGATCCGTGTGATTTTGTTGGTGCTGCTGCAGCTTCTCGGCCGTCGACTGGGGCGAAGCGATCATATCAAGCGTCAGGGAGAGGACAGAGCGCAGCGTCCCGTCCTTACCGCGCTGCTTCACGAGCACGAACCGCGTCGCAAACTGGCGCGTATTCCGAATCGACTTTACCTCACACACAAATGGGCTCTGCAGCGAGGCGGGGCCTAGAAAGTGGCCGACTAGCGAGTACGGCACAAGGTGCGCGTTCTGGGGCAGCGTCGCGCCGGCAGCGACGACGGCTGTGGCAATTGCGAAGCCGCCGTAGGCGATAGGGCGCACATTTCCCATACCTAGCGGCGACGATACGCCCTCCCATACCCAAGGGTCGTTCGTCGGCTTCACGCCCACCAGCTGCATCAAGCGACCGGCCTCCATGGTCGCTCGGTGTGGAGTCCATGGAGCGTGGGGCAGACTCACGTGGACCAACACGCGCGCACGTGTATGATTGGTGGGACCTCCGCGTCTAGCGAGGCACGTCCGGCCGAGCCAGCTTAGGGGCACCTACGGCGGGCTAACATCCACCGTTTGCTCCGTCTCTTTGAGCACGGCGAACATGTCTGTCGAAATCAGTCCCAGTGCTCAGCTCGGCTTTCCCCGCCCGCTTACGCAGGTGGTAAAGCGCTCGATCTTTGTGTCTAACTCGAATTCGCAGCCTGTTGCCTTCAAGGTCAAGACGACGGCCCCGAAGCAGTACTGCGTGCGCCCCAACTCGGGCCGCGTGGAGCCGGGCGAGCGCGTCGAGGTGCAGGTGCTGCTGCAGCCCCTCAAGGAGGAGCCTCCGCTGAACACCAAGTGCCGCGACAAGTTCCTCATCCAGAGCGCCATCATCCCGGCGGACAAGGAGACGCTGCCGATGACCGAGTTCTGGGCCATGCAGGAGGGCGAGAAGGAGGCGATCTCTGAGCACAAGCTCCGCTGCGTGTACCTGCCTGCGAACAGCGAGCCGCTGCCCGAAGAGAATGAGGACCTGTCGTCGGTCGGCGCAGGCGCTGTGGGCGCGGGTGCATTCGGTGCGGGCGCGGGCGCGGGCTACATGGCGTCGCCGTCAAGCGGCAGCGGCAGCGCGCAGCCGCCGATCTCGATCGCGTCGCTGAGCAACATGTCTCCGAGCGCTTCGAGCCAGCCAGCGCCTGTGTCTCTCCCGTACACGAGCACTAGCTCGCTGCCCGTCTCTTCGGGTGTCTCGTCATCGATTGCTGCTCCGAGCTCGTCGCTGGCGAACCGCGCCGTGTCGCCTCAAGACCTGGAGGCGGAGAACGCGCGCCTGCGTGCCCAGCTCGAGAACAACGGCGCGGGCATCCGCACGGCGACCCAGAAGGCCAGCTCGGGCGTGCCGGTGCACATTGTCGCAGCCATTGCCGTGGCCGTGTTCGCCATCACCTATCTGTTTTTTTAAGAAAGGGAGAGACTAAGTGGACGACGGAGCTGTTCGGCTCCTCACACTGGCACACGATTCAAGCAAGGGTCTCAGGCGAGCTGTCCAAGCTCGGTCTGTGGCGCACGTCGACCGACTCGTTCTGGGAGCGCCTGCACGAGTGGTGGACCCGCAAGTAGCATCCCCGAGCTGGGTCTGTGCCTAAAGCTTGGCCTCTCCCTATATGTCCCATAGAGTAAGGCGTCCTTTGAACATGCTAGGCTATCTGCGCTAGAACCTGCTCCAGCATCGGTACAGGCAGGGGAATCGATAACTCATCGCCCACGGCTATCGCGTGGCTATTCGTAACCGTCGTCTGGCCACGCGATACAATGACCAGACCATGATCAACCATCTCCCCGAGAAGCTGTCGCACACCCTCGTCCGAAGAGGCCACAAACTCCCGTAGCGCTTCGCGGACCAGCGAGGCATACGGCGTACGTGGGATCGTCTCCTCATTATCCACGGCCATCAGCTGCAGGGCCGCCAACTGCGCAAAGAGACTGCGTGCGCGCGCGGTAATAGTGCTCAGCACCTGAACCGCCGATGTCTCAGAGATGGGCTGCGCCATCGCCACAGCCGCGGACGCATTCGGCGCTGCACGACCGCGGCCACCAGCCAAGTCCACTGCAGCAGGCAGCTTCATGACAGCCAGACCCGCCAGCACAGGCATACCCGATGTTGTGCTGCGCGCTTGGACCAGCTCAGCGACCGGTGGCACAAATGTGGTCGCATTGTACCACAGCCAGGGCGCCCTCAAAGAGCGCCCCCCCGGCTCTGACGCCAGGTCTGTGGGCGGCGCATGCCCTGCCACGCCCCAGCCAAACGAGCCTGCCGGCCCATCCAGTAAAAGGCCCGCATTCACATGCGACACACTCGCGACCAGATGAATGCAGGAAGACCGAGCCAGCGCATGAACCAGCGCTTGGAGCCGCAGCGTGTGGAAGATTGCTTGATCAAAGGCAAGGAACCCAAGAAATACATGCCGCGGACGTGCCGCAGACTCGCTGGGCTCACTCAGATAGCGGGTTATGCGCTGCACACGCTGCATCACGCGAGACGGACGCACGAGCTGGTGCAGTGCGTCTTGCGCATCCGAGTCGCCGAGACCGATCGCCTGTTCAATCGAGTCGAGGATTCGATCCACCTGCACACCACGCACAGACGCACCCTGTACAATGACGGCCGCACCGCTGTGGCGCTGCGCACCGCGTTCAACAAGGGCGCGCATCACCGGCATGCGATCGCCCACGCCATATAGCATAATATGGAAGCCGCCAAGCAGCTGTGCCAGCATTCCATCCAGGCGATCTTCGCGCAGCTGGAATGCGAGCATCTGCTTCGAATGAGCCGTGCGAGCAGGATGCAGAGGCGGCCCGGACGACTCGGCGGCAAGATGCGCGATATGGGGTAGCACCGAGACATCCAGCGCGCCGAGGCGCTGGGATATGCGCTTGGAGCTTGATATCCGAAATATATCACGCCCTAACTTGCGCGACGCAAAATTGCGCCGGTGTGAGTTGGACAGGAACCAGGCATCCGACGATGTAGCACGCACGAATGAAGTATGCGTAAAGGCAGGAGCAGGACGCCTTGGAGACGCGCTATTCGCGCTGAGTGGCACTTCACTATCCGAGGGCGCTTCTGCTTCGTCATGTGGTGTGCTCGAGGGCTCCGCTTTCCCGGTCGCCTCTTCGTGCACGGGCGACGACATGTCCTACACGGAGCGGAGCGATCGACGAGTGGAGGCTCGAGAGTGCATTTGTGCCCTATTTTCGCTCTGCCTGAATGACGTCTGTTGGACGGCTATCGGCCATGGTGTGGCGTACACCCACCCGGGGGCTTCGGCAGCTCAGCACTCAGACAGATACCTCCCATCACCTCGCAAAGATGGTGCGCGAGCGTGACTATGCTGCCTACCTAACGCACATCGCCTACCCACGGCGCCTGCAGCCCCATTTTTTCGCCCTACGAGCGTTTTATATTGAGCTTGCGTCGCTCAAAGACACGCTGAGCAACGAGCTCGTGGGGCGCATACGCATGCAGTGGTGGAGAGATGCCATTGAGGGTGTCTATGATGTACGTTGCTGGCGCTCACATCACAGAAACGACCACCCAAGCATCCGATCACGCTAGGTCTTCGTGATGCCATCTTTGACCCGGTCGTGGCCCAGCACGGCTCTCTCGTGAAGGACCACTTTCTGCGCATCATAGATGCACGCGAGGCTGATCTAGCTGACCCTCTTTCTCCGCCTACGTTGGCCGATTTGGAGCAGTATGCTGAATCGACCTCTTCGCGCATGCTCTATCTGCTACTCAACCTACAGGGTCTCTCCGACCCACGGGTAGATGAACTCTTTTCGCACCTGGGGAAGGCGATGGGCCTCTGCATCCTTGTTGCATCGCTTCCGCACCACACCCACCCCGCCCCACGCCCTCGAACCGGAGGAGGCGGGGCTCCTGGCCTGCCGGGCTCTAAGTACGCTCCGCAAGCCCATGGGACCCCTCGCACACCGACACTACCACTGCCACTGGAGTACCTAATGGAGCAGCGTGTCGTCCAGGAAGACGTGTTCCGGCACGGTATTCATGCACGCGGCCTCAGCGACGCCGTTTTCCAGACAGCGACGCGTGCGAACGATTACCTTATCACTGTGCGCGCCCTCATTCAAGACACGTTTGGCGGGCGTGTGCCCCCCGCGGCTGTTGCTCCTCTCTTGCTAGGGGTATGTGGTAGATGTGAACTAACCACAGGTGCAAACACGCTTGGTCCTCCAACGGCTGGAGGCGTCCGACTTCAATCCGTATGATGCAACCGTGGCACAGCGCAGCTGGCTGCTACCTTGGCACATTTGGCGAGCTGCGCGCACGGGGCGCCTGTAGATGACTAATACTCTGACACCCTGCATCCACGTCGGTCATTGTTATCCACCCGTCGTAGGGCCGCGTAAGGCGCCAACTCCAGCCACTATGCCCCTAGGACGGAGGACCCGGAATTTCAAGGGTCTCTTACTGAATGATACGTCTCTTCCGGAGACACCCCCAATAGAAGAGCGAGTTGCGCCATTTGCGCGCTATGTGCGCAGTGATGATCGCAGCGCGGGTCGCTCTGGATCGATGCCACGCAAGGGCATGTCATCGCTCGTTTCCAGCAGTAGGTCTGGATCGCAGCCGCCCAGTCTACAATCACCCGATGTTTTTGCATCAGATGACATTGAAAAGCGTATGGGCGGGCTGGACCTCACCAACGCAATAGAACGGACTCAACTGGACTTGAGTAACAACAACCTGGAATTTCTCTCAGACCTCGGTGCTGGTAACGGAGGCACTGTTACAAAAGTGAAACATAAGCCCACGGGTATTCTTATGGCGAAGAAGGTTGTCTTCATCGACACGAAGCCAGAGACTCGGAAGCAGATTTTGCGTGAGCTACAAATCCTGCACGAGTGTCACTCAGAATATATTGTTGGATTCTACGGCGCCTATCTCAGTGACGTGAATATTTACATGTGCATGGAGTACATGGACGTTGGCTCCTTGGACTCTATCTACTCCAAACATGGTCCCATCGATGTGGCTGTGTGCGGCAAAATTGTGGTCACAGTCATTCATGGCCTGTCGTACCTCTATGAATCATTTCGGATTATCCACCGAGATGTCAAACCCAGTAACATTCTGGTGAATCGCCGCTGCCAGATCAAGCTCTGCGACTTTGGTGTATCGGGCGAACTCATCAACAGCATTGCCGATACCTTCGTGGGAACGAGCACCTATATGAGCGTACGTGACCCCCACTGACAACCACAGCCTGAACGAATCCAGGGAGCCCAGTATTCCATCAAGTCTGACGTGTGGTCCCTGGGTATTACGATGATCGAGCTTGCTCACGGATGCTTCCCCTTCGCGCTCGATTATCAGGATGATCCGGACGCCACGACCCGCGCTGCACCACCTGCTAAGGAAGTTCGGTCGTTGAGTATTCTTGAGCTCCTTCAACACATTGTGTTCGAGCCTCCTCCGCAACTCAATGCAGACGCACATTTCCCGCCCAGCATGGTGGACTTTGTGAACCAGTGCCTATGCAAGGACCCCCAGCTTCGGCCCACTCCTATGGATTTACGGCAACATCCATTTGTCCAGCAATCTATTCGGGACCCTGTGGACCTGCAGGCGTGGCTGCGCAGTCTGGGTTATCTAGAATCTCCGCCGTAGGGCCTCGCGACAACAGCCCCAAAGTTTTCGCTAACCGCGCACATACCTGTCATCAATCTGTCTACTTAGGTAAGCCTTCTTGTGGACTCATAGGATGCCGATAGTCCGATTTCTGTGCGAGCGACAAATTTCACAATGCATACATCCTATTTGGTAGCTCTAGGTGAATTTTGCATTTTGTGATTTGCTAGACGCACGATCGATCTCACTTCTTGTTACTGGCTTTTCAGCGCTAGGACCTTATTGCTCCACGGTTTGCAGGTCAAACCTGTACGGGACCTCTCCATGGCGACCAGGAAGGTCATGGACGACACGGCGGTTCTAGAAAGAAGACCAGAAAATCTAGAGAGACTACGAAGGCGTCATTCAAGTGGCCTTATTTTGCTGGATGAGATATGGCAGAGTAAGTCCAAACCGAGCCGCATCGTGATGGCCATCGAAGACTTTGATGGTAGCATCTCACCGTCGTGCCTTCCCATAAAATATGGACAGCAGCTTCGGGTATACAAGTATGATTCGACAGGATGGTGTGATGTGCAAAGCTCACATGCTAGGGGCTGGGTCCCAGCTTCGTATGTGGTTAGTTTGGATACTTGGAGGGCGCGCCTAAAGAACACGTCGGATACATCCATGCCCGAAAACGTGGAGGAAACGAAGGGCAGAGACGTTGATCCTGTCGCGACATCATCAGACCTCGACTCCCCACCTTCTACTGTGCAACCAGAGAGCCTGGGATCACCTACCAAAGACCCATCCACCTACACTTTCACAAATTCTATATCTGCGCAGCTTAACAGAATGGAAGTGCGTGTACTACCTGGCTTAATGCCCATGGGTGTGGAAGAAGCAAGGTCGCATTGTACGACAACCCACGACATGCTACTGAGCAAACTGGCTGCGTTTGTAGGCCAGCTACATATCTTTGAGAATGTGGTGCTGGCTTCTGCTTTCCAAAATCTTGTGGACGTTTCACATGAATGCCTGGTCCCAGGGCATAACCTATCGGCACTGGTGCACAGCATCAGCGCTCTGTCTCAAGCTATATGGGCACCACCTGATGCCTTCGGGCATCTCAAAGAGGCACAGAAAAGTCTTGATAAGCTTTTGGCACAGTTTGCCAGTATCCAAAATCTCAGCGTCAGCAATGATATACAAATACAAGGATCACCCAATGACTATCGCAGCACACTGATGCAACTGGCGTCGTCAATGATTAAAGCTGCTAACATGTGCCTTGAGGCTATGTTTTCTGTTCTCGATATTGCCCCTGCTACTACAGTGGTTCAAATTTGGCGTCCTATGACATTATTTTCGCCTGGAAACCGCGTCTTCTCTCGCTCGCTGCAGGCCAGTGCGCAGGGTAACGGGAGACGTGTCGCTTCTGCGACTTTGGCAGAGTTGCCGTCCAAGCCCATGTTACGTTTACCGAATCCTGAAGGGCTACACAACTATGTGCAGAACCAACGGGAACTCCAGCCATCACCGGTGAGGGTAGAGCCGACCGGTGCCTGGGTATCCCCGTCTGTTCGCACGGTCGTGGAGCCGTATGGCGACGGAATCCTTGCTCGCAGTGAGGGCGGACGCGTGCTAGGGGGCGATATAATCGGTCTTTTAAGCAGCCTGTGCAAAGACTCTATGTGCTGTTCTACTGACGCTTCCGTGTTTCTCCAAAATTTTCGATCATTTTGTACGCCTCAAGATCTTTTGGCTCTGGTTCTGGACCAGTTTCACAAGTCTGCATCAGTGGCTGGGCGCCAGTGTCTTTGTCGGTTGTTATATACATGGGTGTCGCAGTACTGGTATGCTCCTGTGGACTATGTGGTACTGCCAGATTTATTGGAATTTGCACAGTTGCCTGTCTGCAAGACGATGCAATGGTCGACGGAGTCGCTCTCCTCTGTATGTAACTGGCGACTCCACCAGCATGACGAGGAGTTTCCGAGCGATCCGCAGCCCCGTCTCTCTCTGCCCATATCTGAAGGCAAAAAAATGTCTCGTATGATATCTCAGCGCCTGCTTACTATCTTGCGACAAAGCAAGGTGCTCTGGGATATTGATGTGCTCGAGTTCGACCCCGGCGAACTGGCACGGCAAATCACGTACCGGGAGAGCACCTTGTTCAATCAAATCACCATCCACGAACTCATTAATCGACGTGATGACTACAAAGATACAAAATACCATTCGAAGTGCACCCATGTAAAGGAAATGAGCCTCTTGTCGACCCAACTCACTAATTGGTTGGGCGAATGTATCTTGCGAGAGCCCGATCTAAAGCGGCGCTCACAGAAGCTGCGCTTCTTTATTGTCTTGGCACTCGAGGCCCTAGAGCTCGGCAACTACAACCTAGTCATGTCCCTACTTAGCGGTCTCAACTTGTCCATCATTGGTCGCCTCAAGAACACATGGGCGGGCGTGTCCGCCCGAAAGAAGGCCAAGCTAGACAATCTCTGCAAGATCTTTGATACCTCGCGCAACTTCCGGACGTATCGCATGCATTTGCGCACAAGGCAGGGACCGACTGTGCCGTTTCTGGGCCTCATATTGACAGATATCACATTCTGCTGCAGCGGCAACACCGTTATGCGTACTTTCCCGTCGTGCCCAGAGCCACTTATCAACTTTGTGCGATGCCAAATGCTCTCGAATATCTACCACACCGTGAATCGTTTCCAGCGTGCATACCCCATTGAACCCATTCCTGAAATGCAAAACTTCCTACAGCTGATTCTGGCACAGGGCAGCACCTATACCCCCGACAACTATTCAACAGCAATGGAGCGCATGTACCAGCGCAGCCTGGCGCTAGAGCCCCGCGACGCCATACCGGATGTGCTGCCCCCCCAGAAAGGCAATGTCATGTCACGCACACTTTCTGCAATCCTGAACACGCATGGGTCCAGCTCGCTGGGCTTGCAGAACGAGAAGAACTCCGAGCCCATAAGCCGACCCACGAGCAGTGCAAGCTCATCATCCATGCATCGATAGAAGCGTCTTTCGGCTAGGACACCCAACGATGTCCCAGTTCAAATATAGACCACCCAATCATACTGCTAGCAGCTTTTCTTGCGCACCGCAATCCTAGTCCATCTGCGAAGGCACGGGCACCATCGGACTGAAGGATGTGCCTCGCCGTTGCGACCACGCTGGATGGGGACGACACGGATGACTCACGCAGCAGCGCGCGCGGCGTGGTCTGCATGCGAGTTTTGACAATGTCAAACGGGTGTGTGAACACGGTGGCCAGGATGCCCGCACCCAAGCCGCTGGCACTAACAACCCACCAAGCGCCCGACTCGCCGTTGGCCCAGTAGCCCAGCCAGTGCTTCTGCTGCTCGTAGAATGCAAGATAAAGACCTGCATAGGGTGCGTCACGCAGGGCAGTCGCAGAAAAGCCGCGGAAAAAGCCTCGAGCGCCGCCGTCGCGGTATAGACTGCGTAGGGAGGCCCAGAGTGTGGGGTATGCGTCCTTAGAATAGTGACTCGACTCGTAGCGGGCTTTCACAATGGAAATAGGGTTGAGCAGGAGGCCAATTGTAACGCGTGCCAATGCACCAGTGACGATGTTCCCGGTATTGGACAGCCGTGCGAGTGTGGATGAGCGTTGTGTGCGGGTGGATGTATCAGGCGTGGAAAGCCCGGGCACCTGCCACTTGGCCACGAGCCAGCGTAGTTCGTTGAGTGTATAGAAGTACGCGGCCACACCTGGTACATTACGAGCGATAGTGGGTACTGTGCCGCGCCACAGGCCGCGGTACCCGTTATCGTGCACAACTGACTGGAAGGCGCGCACGAGCCGCTGCGTGGCCGTGGCAGTTGTGGCAGTTGGCAGGCGTTCCTGTTGCATGCGGGTCTTTAGGAGATCCATGGGCTGCAGGAGCACACAGGATGTGAGTCCAGCAGCGCCGCCGACGCCCAGCGTCTTCCACGCCGGCGCTGTGCGGGGACGCGCCGTCTCACTCATCGAGACAGGCGAGAAGGCGTAGCGGGGGATTACGGCACGTGACGGAATTCGGCCAGTAGCCCGTTGCCACTAGCCGGCATGGCCCGTGAGAATCTCTCTAACGACCATGATGCCCATCGCCGCTATGATGTCGGCGCGTGCTCTTGCACGGAGTGTGCCGATGTACACCCCTGCAATTTCTTTTGCTGCTCGTCGTGCCTTTTCGATGACGCCCCTCCGTCTGGGTGAGATCAAGGTCCCCGAAATGGCCGAATCGATCACGGAGGGCACCCTGAAGGAGTGGCACAAAAAGGTGGGCGAGTATGTGGAAGAGAATGAGGAGGTTGCGGTGATTGAGACGGACAAGATCGACGTCTCTGTCAATTCGCCCGAGGCCGGTGTTATCAAGGAGGTGTACGCCGAAGCCGAGGACACGGTCGAGGTGGGCAAGAAGCTGTTCTTTATCGAGCCCGGTGAGAAGCCGTCGGGCGATGCGAAGGAAGAGCCCAAGGAGGAGGAGAAGGAGGAGCCGAAGGAAGAGAAGAAGGAGGAGCCGAAGGAAAAGGCGGAGCCGAAAGAGTCTGAGAAGAAGGAGGACAAGCCCGCGCCGAAGGAGAAGAAGGAGGAGAAGAAGCCAGCGCCGGCCAAGGACAAGTCTGCGCCCAAGGCCGAGGAGCCCGCGCCCAAGGCCGGCGCGCGCACCGAGTCGCGCGTGAAGATGAACCGCATGCGCAAGCGCATTGCGGAGCGTCTGAAGGAGTCACAGAACACCGCGGCGTCGCTGACAACCTTCAACGAGATTGACATGACGGCGCTGATGGAGTTCCGCAAGCGCAACAAGGATCGCCTGCTCAAGGAGACCGGCATCAAGCTTGGTTTCATGGGCCCCTTCGCTAAGGCCTGTGCCATGGCCATGAAGGAGATCCCCGCTGCGAACGCCAGCATTGAGGGCGAGGGGCTCGGCGACACCATCGTCTACCACGACTATGTCGACATTGGTGTCGCTGTGAGCACGGAGAAGGGTCTTGTGACGCCTGTGGTGCGCAACGCCGAGTCGCTGAGCATTCTCGAGATCGAGAAGGCCATTTCGGATCTCGGTATCAAGGCGCGCGACAACAAGCTGACGCTCGAGGACATGACCGGCAGCACGTTCACTATCTCGAACGGCGGTGTGTTTGGCTCGCTCTTCGGTACGCCCATCCTGAACCTGCCCGGCTCTGCGATCCTCGGCATGCACGCCGTGAAGCAGAAGCCGTACGTCGTTAACGGCCAGATCCAGATCCGCCCCATCATGGTCGTGGCTTTGACATACGACCACCGTCTCCTGGACGGCCGCGAGGCAGTGACGTTCCTGGTCAAGCTCAAGCAGTACCTGGAGGACCTGCCGACCATGCTGCTGTAGTTACGCTACGTAGGTACACCAGACCGCTTGCACGAGCGCCGCGGCATGATTCGTATGGATCGCCTCGCGGCAGTAGCGCTGCAGACCCTCGCTCATGGCGACCGGCGCCTGCTCCGCATCGAGAAGCTGCACGTCGACCAGAGCGCCGCCCGGCTCATCGAACTGCAGCTGCAGCGTGCGCTGCCCACCCTGCTCGGCCGGCACAGCCAGCGTAATGTGCAGCTCGCGCGCCGTTGGCGCTGCGAGGCGCGTGATGCCCAGCGCCGCCTGCAGCGTCTCCAGCATCGTGGCGTGCTTGGTACAGAGCCGCTCCAGCTCCCAGTCTCGCCCACTGTCCCGGCCCATTCCGAGCTTCGCCTCGTTGGCGTGCTTCTCCGCGGATGAACGCTCCGACTTGAGCCGCTCCAGCACGCGCAGCGCCTCGTTCAGATCGCGCTTGGCCTGCTCCATCTCATGCACTGTATGTGTCGTCTCATCGTCGAGCGTCTGCATCGTGACAATTTGCTCATCACACACGGCTTCCAGCTCGGCGGTCGTGAGCGCGCCCTGTGTGCCTTCGGCCGCCTTGATCTTGGCGAGCTCTAGCTCCATATCTGTGATCTCCGAGAGCAGCGTGTGGGCCTCGGTGGTGCCGCGCTCTACGGCCGCCCACGGCTCCGCCATCGCATCGGCGATGTGATCGATGTCCGAGCGCAAGTCACGCACACGCGTCTTGGCTTCGACGAGCTGCTGCTTAACACGCTTGCATTCGTGCTCTGCGGTGAGTCGACCTCACGTACCCCGCTGCGTCACGTCGGCCGTCGACAAGATCTGCGGCTCCTGCCCCGTCTCTGGGTCGTCCTGCAGGTCCGCAAGGAACCGCAGCTTTGTCTCCAGCTCCAAGTAGATGAACTTGAGCTTGCGGAAATAGTCTAATAGAAGCGCCTCTTCCTGCTCCATGGTCGCAGGCACCTCACGATACAAGTCCCAGTCCAGCTGCAGCTCCTGATCGTCGGCCACGTCCCCGTCGTCGTGCATGTGCAGCATGCGATCTTTCAGCGCTTGTACGCCCGAGACCTCACGCGCTTGAACATCAATGAGCGCGCGCGCACGCGCAATGCCTTCTTGCACGGCCGCATCGTCACGCACGGCGGCCGGGTCCTGCGCCATGCTGTCCCTAGGCAGGCGTCGCGCGTCGCGCGTCGCGCCTCTCACGTGATCCTCACCACCACGGCGCCCAGGACGCCGTCGATGGACGCGGCGCTGCGTGCGCTCGAGCGGTGCTGTATATGCAGCGCCTACTTCCCGCCACGTCAGAGCGCAAAGAAGCGACGCATGCACCTGGATGAGTGTGCGCGCTTGCGGGGCCTGTCTGCAGACGACACGAAGGATTGTCTCCTGCGCGCTGCCGCCCACGTCCTGCGCGAGGAGCGCGAGCGCCAGGCGGCCGCGGCGCAGGAGCGGACGCTCTTTGCGCGCTATGTGCACCATGACACGACGCCTACGCGTGTAGCGCGCCTCGAGGCCGTCGTAGGCATCCGCCCAGACGCGTGCAGCGTAGGCGAAGCGCGCGCGATGCATGTGGCAGCGCGCGCATCGTGCGACGACCTGCTGGACCGCTACTGCGCTCGTCCAGCCGCGCACGAGTGTGCAAGCTCTCTTGAGCCGGTGGACGCGGGCGCTCGCCGCATGCTCGCGCAGCTCGAACGGCATGCGGCACGTCTCGCCCCACCGCGGCGCGCGCATCTTAGCGCCCCTCCGATCCCCGCAGTGGCTGTGCCCACGTCCGACGACGACGAGGGCCTATATCCCTCCTGTGCCACACGCGTCGATCTGGTTGTTACAAGCGACGAGGAAGCTAGCTAGTCTGATACAAGTCACGCATGCGTTCCCAGCCACCGTGCTGCTGCACCCACCGTTTGAGCGCGCGTAGCTCGGCAATCTCGGCGGGATACACGTACAGATTCTCGACCTCGGCGGGCGGCCGCGGCGCAGCGAGCGTATCGGTCGGTGTTGGAACGAGTGGCTCCGCCTCGCTGCGTGCGTAGGACGTGCGCTCCGCCGGCGCAAATGGCTGGCCATTAGGCGCCCACGACGCGTCGAGGGCCGCAGCATGCTCCGCAAGGGCGGCGCCCGTCGGCGTCGGCACCGGCTGCAGCGGTGCTGGGGCCGGCGGCGGCGGTATCGCTCCCAGCGCGACTTGTGCGAGGATATCCAGTGGCGGTGTGCGGGGCGCACGCGGCAGCGCACGAGGCGCCGTGCGCCGTCGGTCCCGCGCCGCTGCCCAGAACGCGAGGCGGATCGTCTTCTCGGGGATCCGGAACCGCAAGCGCTTCGTGCCCGTGTCTACCGTGACGTCCTCCCAGGGCTGCGCACGACTGTGCCCGGCGCCCGTCTCGGCATCAAAGGTGCGGTCGTGGGCGTCCAGCACGACGTCCACGAGTGCGTCCTTGGTGCGCGGTAGCGGAGCGCCTGGCGGCACCGTCACGCTCTGCACAGCCTGCGGCGCACGGGGAATGCGCATGCGAGGTTGGCCCTGGCTGCTGTGCGCGGGACAGCGCCACCGGCGTGTGGCTGGCGGCATCGACGAGAGCGCCGGCTGCACACAGTCGAGGTGCCAGTGCAGCGTGCAAAAGTCGCAGCTGAGCATGGGCCGTCCGGGCGCGTCAGCCCAGGAAGCGCGTGTCTTGCCTGCCGCATGCGCCGCAGCGATCGCGCGGCGCTCGGCCATCTCGATCGACTCGCCGACGCGCACCGTGACGGCTTCGCGCGGCAAGGCACTCTGCCCGCAGCAGAAACACAGGATCGGCTCGCCCTGCTTGTCGCGCAGCAGGAACGGATCGCGGTCCTCCATGAATCCTTGCCGATTGAGCTTGAGCGGTCGCTGGACCGTGGTATCAAGGTAGGCGCCATCGGGAGCCGTGCCGACGCCCTTGAAGTAGTTCCGCAGGTCGGCAGGCAGCGCAAACATCCGCGGGTTCTCCGTAGCGAGCTGGCGCAGCAGCATGCCAAAGGGACCGCATCCGCGCGGCATCGCCGGCGGCTGGCGCTCGGCAAAGCAGACTTGGCAGAACCAGCTATCGTCCGCAAGGGCCCGCGCCGCGCGCGCGTCTTTCGGCGGCGCCTCCTGCCTGGGAAGAAGGGTCCCGTTCGGGAACGGCATCTCGTTGACGTCCAGCGGGGGACACACACACGCAAAGTGAAAGCTGCGGGGACACCCGTCACAGCACAGGAAGCGGCCGCGGCCACTGCACGCATCACAGAAGTCGTTGTTCAGCGCGTCGAGGTCCTCGTCGTCCAGCAGCGCCGGGACGCCCATCGCTTGGAGGTCCGTGGCGGCCGCTGCGCCCGGCGCCGCCGGCGCCGCCGGCACCCGCGGCGCTAGTGTGCGCGACGGCACACGCCGCGTCGATCCTCGCGCGCGCTTGCGCGCCGGGGGAGCCGCCTCGGCCGCCTCGATCGATTCAGGCGCAGGCACCGGCACCGGCGCCAGACCCGTCGACGGCAGGATTTCCGTCGCAGGCAGTGGCGACGCGCCATGCTTGCCACTGGCAAGGTCTGGCACGGCGGCCGCCGGGACCGGCGGCGGCGTATCTGCGTCCATACGGGCCGTGGTGGGAAGAAAGCCAAGTGGAGCGGGCAGCGCTACGACACTACAAAACGCGGCGCGATGCGTGCGAGGCCGGGACGCGCCGCCGCCTCACGCCGCGCGGACGGCGGGGGCGCGTGCAAGGCCCATGGGGCGAGTACCGTGCGCAGGTGGTACCAGTCGGCGGGCGCGTCCGCGGCGTCCGCGAGCGCCGCGAGGGTCGCGTGATCCGCCGCGGACGCGGGCCATGCCTTGACGAAGCACGGCAGGAGCGGCGGCGCAGGCAGCGGACTGGGCCCGAGCGCGTACGCGGCGCGCGCAAGCAGCACGAGGCTCGGCTCGAGAGCGCGGCGCTGCTGCACAATGCGTGCCGCATGGGCGGTCGCCCACGCCTCGGCGACGCGCACATGCACCGCCCGCACACACTCGTAAAAGGCGGGGCTCGCCATGCGCTGGAACGTCGGGCTTGTATACAGAGCCGCACAGACCTCCAGCACGGCCTGCTGCTGCGTCACGCTCACGGGCGCAAGGTCCGCGACGAACTCGGCAAGGGCGAGGCACGCGGCTTGCAGCGGCGCAGATGCCACGTCGCTCGTATGGACGGCGCCATAGAAGCGCTCCTCCATCAAGTGCACACACGCTGCCATGCACGGCGGCCGAGCCGACCGCCAGCGCTGCAGTGGCGCGGCGCGGTCCGCGTCGCTCTCCCAGAGCACGGCGCGCGCGCCGCTGTCGCCCAGCGCCCGCTCGTCGTCCCAGACGGCCATGAGCGCCTCCCCGAACGACGACGTGGCGCGTGCAAGCGTCGCCTGCACGAGCGCATCGAGGCGCGTGTCCAGCATACGCTCGATACGTTCGCGCAGGGCGCGCACGCCAGGCGCCTGGGCCTCGGCACGTTCCGCGGCGCGCGCGAGGGCGGAACGGCTCGCCAGCAAGGCATCGAGGTCGTGCATCGTGGCGAGCTGCGCAGGCAAGGCGTCCCACGCAGCACCGAGGCGCTCCATGTGCTGAGCGAGCGACGCGTCGACGTCCACGGAGGCACTCGCGCGCGCGGCGGGATAGGTGCGCACGGCCTCGGGCATCGCCTCGTAGAACGAGACCGCGGTAAGGGGCGCCGGCGAGAGGAGCGCGCGGGTCGGGCGGCCCACGTCAAAGAAGCTCGTGTCGGTGCGCATGAGCGTGTGCCACGCCGAAGCGAGGGGCCCCTCGTCGCTGCCGCGCCAGAGGCGCTCCGTATGCCGCCACGAGATGGCCGCATGCGTCACGAGTCGCTCGAGTCGCTGCGCCAGAGGGTCACTGGCCGTGCACAGCAGCGCCGCACCGTGCGCCTGCTGTGTGTGCCAATGGGCCATGGCTCGCGCGAGATCGGCGGGCGCATCCAGGACCATCCACGCGAGAAGAGCGTCCAGGACGCCGGACGTGCGCGCGGCCGTGGCTTGCAGCTGTGCGTCGATCCGCGCGCGCACGCCGACCTCGAGCGTTTGCAGATCCGACCATGGCTCGGAGACGAGGGCGACGGCCTCGGCGTCCTGCGACTCGGTTAGAAACGTCCATGCGCGGCGCCCGAACGTGAGCGCCCATGCCCCCTGGACGAGGGCGTCGGTGCGCAGGGCCGCGCGCAGGAGCGGTGGCGCATCGAGGAGGAGCTGCTGCGCCGCGGCGAGCCCGAGGCTCGGTGGCACCGCCGGTGGCGGCGGCTCGTACCGTGCGGCCGAGCGCTCCGCAGCCCTGTCTCCCGTACGACGCGCCGCATCCTGCAGGGTATCGAGCGTGGACTGCAGAGCACCGAGGTGCGACTGCATGTCCACGACGGAGCGCGACACGAGGAGGAGGTCGTCGAAGCTATCGCCCACGAGCGAGCGCACGGCACGCTGCTTTTCCTCTGCCGCATGCGCAAGCTTGACGGCATACTGCTCGATATCACGCACGCTGCACTGCTCAAAGAGCGCATCGGCGTCCGGCGCCGGGGCAGCCATGGGGGCAGGGCAAGGTCCGCGCGAGCGCGTGTGGATGTATTTCCCCGATCGTCTACATAATACCACAGCACGAATCTGGTCAGCCGTCCATCGCACGCACTTTGCTGGGGTCAGTCGTAGAGGACTACATACCTTCCGAGCCGACTTGTAGAACATCTTGCTCTGCTGGCTGAGGGAGCCGCTCTTCTCGACGAGCTTGTCGAGGTCCTCGCCACGCTGCAGGACCGAGTCGATGGTGTTGTGCTGCGTGAGTGTGGCGCACGTACCAGCACAATCTTGGTATCGTCCAGCTCCTGTTGCACGCGCAAGATCGTATCGGCCTGGCGGGGGTCCTGGTACCGCGCAAGGTAGTCCTGCGCAAAGGGGAACTCGCTCGTGCGCACGATCCCCTCGCCCTTCGACGGGATCGCGCCACTCGCGGCAATCTGCGCAGCCTGCGCCTGCCACGACGACTTGGGCACCTTCATGAGAAACTCCTCCAGCAGCTTGTTCAGCAGCGAGTACGCCACACGCACCGGGTACTCGCTGTCCGACACGAGCACGCCGCTCACGCCGTCGACCGCAGGGCGCATATGCACATGCGCCGTAAAGGTGTTCTCCTGGATCGACTGGCGCTGCGTCGGCTGCGTGCGCTCCGACACGGTCTTGGCCATGAACGCCATCATGTCCTGCACGGTGCCCCGCTGCATCCACGAGAACGAGTTCAGGTCCCAGGCGCTCAGCAGCGGCACGGCCTGCTGACCCGGCTGGTTCGCAAAGATCAACACGGCAACTGGCGTTAGCACGACCTACGCACACAGCTTCCTACACGTCAGTCGGGCGCACGTACATGTCGTGGGGGGTAGAATAGAGCCCGCCGCTCGGGGCCTCCACCATCGGCCGACAGCGCGTGACGCCCCGCACAGACACCATGGCGCCCCCGGTGGCAGGGCGGCCGCGCACTAGGCAGCGGCTGGAGAACTATATGAAGACTAGCGGGTGGATCATGATGGTAATAACATATGCAATGTTGCTTATTCCGTACTTGCAGGTCCTGCTTCCCATGCTCACGACCGCGCCCGTGGCACGCCTCCCGGACCTTTATGTGTCTGGCGATGCGCAGTGCGCGCCCGTGCCGCCCACCTTTGTCGCAGACCCGTATGGGTACGTGCGCGATCCTGCGACTGGAGAAACGGTCCAGGCGCCTATAGCGTGCGAGGACACGCGGCGTATCCCGAGTCTCGGTATCGCCATCTTATCGTGCGATCCAGGGCGGATCGAGTGGAACACGTTCCTGGGTCCGCTCACCAATGCGACGCCACGAGGCGCCCTATGGATCCTGCCGTACCAGGAGAAAAATGCCACCGCGCAGCGCCTGCCGATCGCGCAGTGGCCGGCCACGAACGATTTTCATCCGCTCGGTCTCGGCGTGTACGAGCAGGCGCCTGGCGCCGCGCGCCTGTTTGTGGTGAATCAACGCGCTGCATTCACGACGATCGAGGTGCTGGATCTTGTATGCCATCAGGGTGAATGCCATGCGACGTACGTGCGCTCGCTCGCGCATCCTCGCGCTACGCATACAGCCAACAGCGTATACGCTGTATCGCCGCACGCTGTGCTCGTGACCAACTCGCACCTCGTCGCGCGGCGTGCGCCGCCACGCGCACAGTATGTGGCGGCTCTTTCGACCAAGATGCCGCGTATACTGGCCGTCGCATTGCACCCTGTGGTGCGCCAACCGTGGATCGCGCCATGGCTGACCAAGGTCGACGCCTTCCTGGGCTTGGGGTGGGTCGCGCATGTGGCATTTGATGAAGCCGTGCGCACGCCTCGCCAGGATGCTGTGCGTTACGCCGAGGGAATACGTACGCGTTTTGTGGTGAGATTCATGAGCTTTGCGAATGGGGTGGCCGTGACTCCCGACGAAAGTGCGCTGGTCGTGGCGTCGTCCGTGCGCCTCGGCACCTATATCTTCCCACTGCGGGTGCACGATGCGCAAGGGCACGCGGACTGGACATCGCGTCGTCTGCTCGGGCGGTGGCGTTGGGCTCCGACGCCGTTTCTCCCGGACAACATCGCGATCGTGCCGCGGACGCCTGGGACGACTTGGGCGAAGGACGATCCGCTGCACGGCGCCTCGGTGCTCGTAGCAGGCCACCCGTCTGTCGCAGCGCTCGAGCGCATGGCGCGCCATGGCACACAGCGCGCGCCGAGCTGGGTCGTCGTGCAGTCGTATAGCCACAGCGGAGACACGCGCGATCACGCTGATGTCTACTACGCGGCGGAGCGTGTTATGCAAAGTCAGAGACTACAATTGAGGCCTAGGTGGCAGGTGCGCACGGTGCTCCAGACAAAGGGGCAGGCCGTGGCAGCGAGCGCCGGCGCAGAATGGGACGATTCGAGTGGCGTGCTGCTCGTATCGGCGCTGTATGGATCACCACTCGTGTGCCACTATGACAAGGCTAGTCGGGCGCGAGCATGGCCTTGATCTGCTGGCCCTCGCGGCGGTACTGCACATCGGCCACCAGGGCCTCGTAGCCGGGATGGCGGTGGCTGGGGTGCCCTGGCTCGGGCGGGGCCGGCGTGACGGGCTCGCGCTCCTCTTCTTCTCGCGCTGCAGCGAGGGCCTCGGCCTCCTCCGCTTCGGCTTCCACGTGCAGCTCCTCGACGAGGCCGCGGATCCACTCGTGCTGGCGCAGCTCCACGGCCGTGGGGCGGAGAAAGGGATCGATCGTGAGGCACTGCCGCAAAAAGTCGATACCGAGTGCACTGAGCTGGCTCTCGTCGGGGAGGGCGGGGTGCTGCTGTGCCATGCCGATGTGGAACATGATGGCCCACTCGTTGTCGAGCTGGGCCCATGGGCGCTGGCCCTTGACGCACTCGAGGACAACACATCCCAAGCTCCAGATATCCATCGCGCCTTCGCGGCCGTTGTGCTCGCCACGCACGACCTCGGGGCTCATGTACATCGGCGTGCCCTGGAGGCTCTGCAGCTGCTCGCCCGATGGCGCGTGCGGCCCCCGGCGCGACGCGTTGAGTGTGCGCGAGTTCTTCGAGAGGACCTTGGCCGCGCCAAAGTCGACGAACTTGATGACGCCCATATGGTCGAGCAGGATGTTCTCGGGCTTGATATCGCGGTGCACGACGCCCTTCGAGTGCAGGTACATGAGGCCGTCGAGCATCTGGAGCGTGTAGACCTGCAGCACAATCTCGTCCTCGATGCGCCCATGCTCGAGCAGCTGCGCGAGGCTGCCGCCCTGGCAGTACTCCTCAAATATGTACACCTTCTCGCGGTGCACCTCGATGCCGTAGTACTCGACAATGTTGGGGTGGCGCAGCATTTCCATCACGTGCATTTCGTCGTGGATCTGCTTGTAGAGGCTCGGCGAGCTGGTCAGCTCCTGGAAGCGGATCTCCTTGACGGCCATGAGGCCACCTGTGTCGAGGTTTACGCCGAGGAACACAGTGCCGAACGTGCCGCTGCCGATAAAGCGGCCCTGCTGCCAGCGCATGTGCACGCCCTTGGACGCGAGCAGCTGCAGCCCCCGGTCCTCCATGCGCGTATCGTCCAGCACGCGTCCGATGACTTGCCGCTCGGCCAGCACGGCCTCGCGTGCGCGGTCGCACTCGCTGAGCGCGGCGACGCGGCGCTCCGAGAGCTGTCGTTCATGCTCGGCCGCGTCAGGGCCGCGGTACATCTGCGCGCCCTCGCGCTCAATCTGGGCGCGCCGCTGCTCCTGCTCCTTGACGGCATTGCTGCGTGCGCCGAGGATATCAAAGTGCGAGATGAGCAGGGCCATGCAGCTCGATACGCGGCTGCGCAGCTGGAAGAACTCGTGCTCGCTGAGCAGGAAGATGTTCTCGCCGAGTGTCATGTTCATGGCGTTCTCCAGCGCCGAGACGGCCCACTTGAATGTGCGGCGCTCGGTGAGCACACAGTCGTCACAAACAAAGCCGATCCACTCGACAGAGAGCTGCGCGAGCGCAGTCGATAGGAGCGAGTTGAGGCGCACGCTCTGTACATAGCCGAGGCCCCGCGCGCCATGGTCAAACGCCATACTGAAGCACATCTGGACGAGCTCGTCGCATGCCGCACGGTCCGCCGGCGCCAGTGGGCGCAGGCGCAGCATCTGCTGCCGAATCACGGGGACGGCGTGCACGACCTGGTCGGTGAGCACGTACCCTGCCTTGGACATGAGCTTGAGCTCGTGCTGCAGCATGCCCAGGTGCGACATGCGATCGTACACGGTCTGCAAGGGAAAGGCGGACGGCATCTCGCCCGTCGGCGTGCCCGCTGCAAAGTGGTGCGCGAGGTGCCGCTTGGCCTGCTCGAGGTACGGCCCTGCGCCATCGGCGACGAGGCGCAGACGCTGCTCCTTGAGGTCGACGTCGATCCACGGGAGCGTCAGCGTCATGACACGCCCTGTCCACAAAAACGGCTCGCACGGCGTGAGCAGCAGCAGGTAGGGGGGCGTCGCGCCTACATCGGCGGCCATGAGCGGCGTGCCTTCTTCGTTCGAGCGGCCGCTCGCGCGCACGCACTGGAAGAGCAGGTCCTGGATTGTATGCGGCTTATCGTGCAGGCTCGGCTCAGCGAGAACAAAGACACCACGCTCCTCAAACGACGTTGTGTATACGAGGAAGTAGTCGGCCTGCAGGAGCGTCTGGAGGAGCGTGTGTAGATCGTACGACGGGTGGCTGCGCAGCGCGCGCAAGTCGTACTCGCACGCGCACTCGAGCGTGCTGCGCAGGCGGCGCGCAAAACCAGTGAGGCGCCGACTGCGCATGCGCGTGTGGTTGAACACCGCGTGGATACTGCGCGTCATGTCCTGCACGGGCAGCGGCGACTGCCGCGAGGCGTGCGGCGGCGCCTCACGCGCGGCCTCCGGAAGCTGCAGCTCCTTTTGAAAGTAGGCCATAAGGCGCGCAAACAGGCGGTTGACCATGCCTGCCATCTTGTGTGCGACAATGATGTCGGCGCCGGGCACGACGCGTACGGCCTGCGACAGAAAGTGCCACTCGGGCTCAATCACGTCGACCTCCTTGAAGAAGGGCGCACTCTTCAGGCGGAAGTGCAGGAGGCGGAAGAAGAAATGCAGTGCCGAGCACACGGCCGCATCAAAGCTGTCGTCGCTCTTGAGCGGCAGGCTCCAGCCAATGTCCGGCTCGGGCACCGTAAGCTGCATGTACTGCGACTTGATGCGGCACGCGAGCGCGAGCGCCGCGCGCAGATCGTCCGCAAGCGAGTCGACCAGCAGCACGCTCGGCTCGCGCAGCTTGTCCGCATACTCCAGCCGCTGCCGCAGCGCGGCCTCAGCGAGCCACATGGGAAAGCGCACGAGCGGCAGCACATGCGGCTCAAACGACGGCAGGCCAATCTTCTCGAGCAGCGCGTGGTGCGTCCGCAGCGTCTCGTGCGTCTTTTCCACAAGCATGCGGAGCCGACGCAGCGTGCGCTGCTCGAATGTCTGCTGCACGTTCCCTTCGAGCGAAAGGCGCTGCACCACAGTGCGGTCGCGGTCCGCGTCGCCCGGGAGCAGGGCCTCCAGTGCAGGACGCAGTGCGCCGCCGGGCGATGTGAGGCTGCCGGACCAGCCGCGCAGCAGACCCGCCTGCGACTTCAGCTCGCGCGTGACATTGTGCCATGCACTGAGTGCGTTCAGCTTAGTCTGCAGCGGCGGCTGCACCCAGTCAGGGAACAAGGCCGCCATCTGCCGCAACGAGGGAAAGAGGCGCTTGGCCTGCTGCACGTCGTCGATCAGCTGGCCGACGCGCGCAAACACAGCGTCCGCGTCCTCGTCGGGCGCGACGGCAAACTCCTCCACGGCCTGCATGAGCGCGGGCACAGCCACCTCGCGCTCCTTCTGCAGCAGGTGCTCCTCGGCCTCGGGGTCGTCGCGCCCATGCGCATGGCCCGCCTGGATCGCATGCAGGCTTAGCCACAGGCGGTGCATCTGCTCGGCCGGCGAGCGTATCGCCGCATCCGCCGCAGTGATGCGCTTCGTCTCGGACGATAGCACCTCGCTCTCCAGCACGGAGCGCAGCATCTTCTGCCACTCCATGCGCTTCTTGGGGTCGTCTTCAGGCACCACCTGCTCGAGCACGCCGCGCTCCGCCTGCGGCGTGCTCATCTGGCCGGGCGTATCAGCGCGGCGCGTGCACGCGCGTGCGCGGTCCATGTACGAGTGTAGGTATACGAGGTCCGTCTGGGCCTCATGGTCTGCGCTTCCACGCCGCGCGCCGCGCTCCGCGTCCGGCATGGAGGGCGGCGCTATAGGTCGGCCCGCCACTCCCTCATCGGGAAATCGGGCCTCCGCTCCGCCGACCGCCCCCGATGTACTGGCCGAGCGGCAGCGCGCGGCGCCTCAGCGCGGCGCCCGCGGGGCTGCCGGACGTGCCGGACGGCGCTCTGCATATGGCGCGTGCGCGCGACGGCACGTTGTGGCTCTTGCTCACGCGCACCGCGCTCCTTGTATGGCGCACGCGCCCCGCAGAGCTCGTGGCTATCGTCGAGCGCACGCCGCGCGGTCTCGCGCAGCATGGCGAGAACGTGCGCGCGGTATGGCGCCACGACGCAGGAGCCATTGCTGTGCAGACGTCGCGCGATGCACTCCTCTTCTACGACGTCATCCAGCCGGCGGATGCGCCTGTGGCCCATGCACTGTCCCGCGCCGACGCGCCGGACCTCGCGCCGTCCGCCGCGGCGCTCCTCGCGACGTTCCAGCCAGAGGTCGGCGACGCAGTGCATACGCCAGGCGGCACGCCGCTCGGGCCGCGGTGCGCGCTGCACCTGCCGCTCCGCCACGCCCTGCACGTGGATCCCGGCATGGCTGCCATAGCAGCTCTGGGCCCCCACGTGTTTGTGGCGACGCGGACGCCGGCAGCCGTGCAGCTGCTGCCGTGGCCGGGCATGCAGGAAGCCCCGGCTGCGCCCATGCTCCTGCGCGACCTGCCATGGCTCGGCGAGGCGCCGATCGTGCACGCGGAGCACTCGTACGCGACCGACCTCTCAGCCTGGCTCACGAGCGATGGACGTGCGTACGTCGTGAGCCTTACGGACGCATGGCGCGGGGCGCTCGCATACGAAGGCGACGTACGGCCTGTGACCACGGCCGTGAACGCGCGATTCAGCCTCCTGGCGCTCGGCCTGGACGATGGGCGTATCGCGCTCTTCGAGTTCCAGACATCGACGCAGACGCCGCTGCTCACGCACGAGCTCGCGCTGCCCCCCACGCTCGGCCCGCCAGGCGCGGTGCGCACGCTCAGCTGGACGTCCGATGGCCATGCACTCGCGGTCGGCTGGGACCACGGCTGGGCGCTGTGGAGCCCGTTTGGGCGCCTCCTCGCGCACAGCTTCCGCGACGACTGGCAGAGCACCACGCGTGTCTTCCGCGACGGCTTTGCGTTCGGCGTGCAGAGTGTGTTTTGGGGCCTCGGCGGCACGGAGCTGTTCCTGCTGCCGACCGACGCGCGCGATGCGTGGGTGCATGTGCTGCCGCTCGTCAAGTCGGCGAGTGCGCTGCATATGACGCCGGATGAGGCGGGCGCTGCGCTCCTACTCGATAACGACAGCGTGTACGTGTACCGCGGGCTCGAGCAGTCCGAGGCGGGTCTGCTGGCGCCAGAGAGCGACGCGTGGCGGCGCGTGGCGCTGCCGCCCTCGTACGCCGCGGCGCAGTGGCCCCTCCAGTACGCAACGCTCAGTGCGGACGGACGCTTCCTCGCGGTCGCTGGGCGCCGCGGACTCGCGCACTACAGCAGCGCGTCAGGACACTGGAAGATGTACGAGAACGCCGCGCAGGCGCAGGCGTTCCGTGTGCGTGGCGGCCTCGCGTGGTTCCAGCATGTGCTGATCGCCGCGTGCGACTGCCAGGGCGAGGTGCAAGTGCGCCTGTACTCGCGCGACCAGCCGCTCGACAATGCGCACCTCCTCGACCTGTGCGTGCTGAATGCGCCGGTCATTACGCTCCAGCTCCTCGACACGAACCTGCTGCTGTACCTCGCGGACAATACCCTCGTGCACTATGTGGTGACGACGACCGCGACGCACATCCGCCTCCAGCTCTGCGGCAGCATCTCGTTTGACGGTATCGTCGGTGAGCCGGCGCGCGTGCGCGCGTTTAGCTGGCGCCTGCCGATGCAGGTGCCGAATGCCGACCTCGCGCAGGCGAGTCTGCTCTTCCTGATTGACGGCATGCTCGTGCTCTTGCGCCCGGCACGGACGCACGACACGGATGAACTGTCGTACGACCTGCAGATTTTGCACGAGCACATCGAGGCGTACTGGACGAATGCACACGCGCACGGCCCGTGGCCCAACTCGCTTTGGGGCCTCGACGGCTCGCACATGTGTGTGTGGCTCGAGCTGCATGCGCAGCCCCTGCGCCTGGCGCTGCCCGATGAGGCATACCCCCTCTGTGTCCTGCTCGACCGCGGACTCGTGCTCGGTGCCGAGTCCGTGTCGACCGTGCGGCGTACGCTCGACACTGTGTCGTTCCGTGTGCGCCTACACACGACTCTCTTCCTTGATACGGTGCTGCGCGCGCTGCTGACGGAGCGCGGCGTGGACAAGGCCGTGGACGCTGCGGCGCCATACGCGGCGCTGTCGTACTTTGCGCATGCGCTCGAGCGCCTGTGCGCGGGCGTGCTGGAGGACGAGGCAGATGCACGACCGCCGCTCCCGCCAGCGGAGCGCCTGCTGCCGACCGTCGCTGCGTTCCTCGACCACTATGCGTGCAGCGTCGGGGTGATCGCGCGCGCCGCCCGAAAGACCGAAGCAGCGCGCTGGGCATACCTCTTTGCGTGTGTGGGGCCGCCGCAGACCCTCCTGCAGCATGCGGTGCGCATGCGCGAGTGGGACACGGCCTGCGCGCTCCTCCTCGTCGTGCACACGCTCGACGATGAGGCAAGCAGCATCGCTGCTACGGGCACGGCACTCGCGCGTATGGAGCAGGACCACGCCTGGTCATCCATCCGCCAGGTACTCTCGTTCCTCGCGACGATGGACGAGCGTCGACGAATGCGTGCGTGCCTCGCCGCGGCTGCGCACGAGGCGCCCCACTCGCTCTTTGTCCCGTGGCTCGAGGCGGCCTCCGACGCTCGTGCTGTCAGTGTCCCGATGAAGGCGGACGCCGCGCCGCCATCTGAGGCGCCACGCAGGGCGGGCCTCGGCGACGGCCCTCGGCGGCCGAGTCGGGCGGCGCGCTTTGAGCCGGGGGACGTAGAGGGGCCCGTCGAGACGCGCGCTTCGACGGCGCAGGTGCTCCACCGTGCCGCACGGCATGCGTCGCTTACGCTGTCCCCCTCGATCACGCTGATGCAGGCAAATGGCCGCGTCGTCGTAGGCCCCGCCACGCCCGGCGCCGCGCCGTCGCCGCGGGCGCTGTGAGGTATCGGGTCATCGGGCTCCACATAGTCGTTCGCTCTTTGCCCTCCATCATGGTCCGACGGCGCGAGGCGTCGCGCAAGACGCGCTCGTCGCTCTCGGAGCGGCTCGCGCAAGAGGCCAAACCGGCCCTGTCCAAGTCGTCGGTGCGTCGCCAGAAGCAGCGCGCGCGTGAGCAGCTCGCGGGCAACCGCGAGGGTTTGCAAGCCATGACGGCGGTGGTCACGTCCATGGAGGCCTCGATCGAGGCGGCGCCGCGTGAGCCTGCGCGTGCGTCGAACACCAGGAATACGACACGCTCGCGACGTGCGATGCTGTAAGTGAAGTTACTGACGCAGCGAGCGCGAGCGGCAGCGGCAGCCACACATTCTCGCCGACCTGCAGCGCCAAGCCGACCCGTTTGCAGCGCTGCGCACACATGTGCGCAATACGCTGGACCTTGCTCCGCGCACGGTGCGCGAGACGGACGACGCCATGGGCGGTACATAGTCGGCACTATCAACACGGGATATCTAGCGTCAGCGGTCGCCGCGCACATAGTCGACGAGGTGCCGCAGCTCTTCGAGCACGGTCAGCAAAATGACCGTGTTCGGCGCGAGACGGATCCACGAAGGCACCCAGCCACGGAACAGGAACATGGGGCCCTCGCGGCGCAGCGCCTTCATGAGTTCTGGCACGCCGCTCTCAGAGCCACGCACATTCATGAGGCGTGCACGGATCACGTCGGCAGGCGAGGTGATCGTAGTGGCGACCGTCCCGGCGAGCAGCGACGACGTCAGGTAGTGCGTGAGCGTGCCCTTATGGAAGTAGCCGGTCGACTCGAGCAGCTCTTTGAAAAAGTCGTACGATGCCAGCTGGCTCGAGTTCATCAGCATGGCGCGCACGACATTCGGCGTCAGACCCCGCATGAGCGACGACGGGCCCTCTTCTTGCACAGCGTGCATGATGCCGTGTATCGCGCCGCGGTACGCAAAGCGCTGGTCCACAGGGCGGTAAATGTCGCTCGTCATGCGCACGAGAATCACGTCCGCAGGGTTGCCGGCGATGCCACCAACCGCACCAGCCATACCGGCCGCCGCGATTTTGAGCCACACAGGCACGGCCTCAGGCCCGCTGTAGTGGGGGGCGACCATATGCTTGATCTCCTCGTACGCGGCAAAACGCGTGAGGCTGTATGTCATTTGGCGCAGCACACTTGCGGAAATGCCGATGTAGAGGCCACGCACACCCTCATTCACGAGCGTGCCGCGCAAAAGCCTGAACGTTGTCGTCTTGTGGGGCGAATTCTGCATCCGCACCTTGGTCAGGTCGAGGGGATGCGTAAAGCACACCGCAATGCTGGCGGCGCAGCCGCCCAGCCAGAAGGGGTACTTTCTGCGCGGCGCGCCGTCCGACATGGATAGCAAAAAAAAAAGGACGATTGCGCCCTGACCCCTATGCTGACTAACACGGTGCGCCAGCGCCGCCCACTTCTTACGTGGCCCCGACGATGTACGTAGACGGCGCCGAGCGGGCGTGGCTGACTTCCAGGCGAGTCGCTGTGCAGTCGGATGAGATCGCCAGCGTGACGCTGCATCAGAAGCGTCCTATCCAGTACCATGTGTATGCTTTGCCGTTCCTGTCGCTGTACCCTGTACTGCTCTACGCCTACTACGTCAAGTACGACGAGTGGCTCAAGTCGGAGGAGTGGACGTTCATGTACACGGTGCTGCTCCTTTCGCTGCATGCTCTGAGCTACCTCGTGACGCACTGGGATGTGCGCGCCAAGGCGCTCATCACAGCCACCTCGGTGTCGGCTCTCGACATGGCCGACTGCGTGCGAGTCCTGCCGCACCCCCACAAGGGCGACGGCGAGATGCTGCCGCTGACGCGTGTAGTGCGCGAGGGTGAGCGCGACGAGTACTCGTTTGTGTACCAGGCAGACAAGTACGTGCTTGCGTTTCCCGATTCACAGGCGCCGACGACCTCGATCACGTCGTCGCCGGACATTCGCGAGCGCACGTTCCGCCGCGTGTTGTACCCGGCGGATGCACGCATGCCGCTGAGTGAATTCCAGACGAACACCGGACTTGGTGGTGCGGCGCTGGCGCGTGCGCAGCGTATCTACGGTGGTAACGTGCTCAACATCCCCGTGCCGCAGTTCCTCGATCTGTTCATCCAGCATGCCGTCGCGCCGTTCTTTGTGTTTCAGATCTTCTGTGTGGGCCTGTGGCTGCTTGACGAGTACTGGTTCAGCTCGCTCATCTCACTCTTTGGTCTTGTCGCGTTCGAGTGCACAGTCGTGTTTCAGCGCCTGCGAACGCTCAACGAGTTCCGCACCATGTCGATTCAGCCATTCCAAATTCATGTGTTCCGCAACGGCAAATGGACCGAAATCTCCACGTCGGAGCTCGTGCCGAACGATGTGGTGAGTGTGACGCGTACCAAGCCGGACTCGGCGCTCCCGTGCGACATGCTTCTGCTCTCCGGCTCGTCGATTGTCAACGAGGCGATGCTGTCAGGTGAGAGCACGCCGCTACTCAAGGAGGGCATCACGCAGCGCAACGGGACCGACATCCTGGATGACCAGGGCGCTGACAAGCTGCACTGCCTCTTTGGCGGTACCAAGGCGCTGCAGGTGTCGCCCGGCGACACAGTGCGTGGCATTCCATCGCCGCCTGACCATGGCGCGCTGGCTGTCGTGCTGCGTACCGGGTTTGGCACAACGCAGGGCCGCCTCATCCGCCTCATGGTGTACACGAACGAGAACCAAGTCACTGCGAACAACTGGGAGAGCTTTGTGTTCATTGCGTTTTTGCTCGTATTTGCGATCGCTGCAAGTGCATATGTGTGGATCAATGGCCTCAAGATGCAGCGTCCCAAGGGGAAGCTACTGCTCGACTGCGTGCTGATCATCACCTCGGTCGTGCCGCCGGAGCTGCCGATGGAGCTGTCGATGGCCGTCAATGCCTCGCTCGTGGCCCTGTCGAAGTATGCCATTTTCTGCACGGAACCCTTCCGTATCCCGTACGCAGGTCGCGTCGATGTCTGCTGCTTTGACAAGACCGGCACCATCACTGGTGAGGACCTCGAAGTGCAGGGCCTCGTGGGCACAGACGCTCAGGGCACAGACGCGCTCGACGACACGCTGGTGGCGATGTCCCAGGCATCGGAGCAAGCGGCGCTTGTGGTCGCTGCTGCGCATGCACTCGTGATTGTCGACGACGAGGTGGTGGGTGACCCGATGGAGCGACGCGCCCTCGATGCGCTTGGCTGGGTCGTCCAGCCGGGCGACCGAGTCGTGCCGGGACCGGACCAAAAAGGGCCGTCAGTGCACATCTGCACGCGCTTCCACTTCTCTTCGGCGCTTAAGCGCATGTCGTCGGTGAGCCAGGTATCGTCGCGCAAGCAGCTGCTGGGCGCCACGAAAGGCGCGCCGGAGGTACTCAAGCCCATGTTTTCGCAGCTGCCGTCGAACTACGACGCAGTGTACCGCCACTACACGCGCCGCGGAAGCCGCGTGATTGCACTGGGTTACCGCTGGCTCGACATGGACGTGGCCAAGGCACGCACACTGAAGCGTGAGCAGGTTGAGGCCGAGCTCACGTTTGCTGGATTCCTTATTCTGCACTGCCCACTGAAACCGGATGCCGTGGAGTCAGTGCGCCAGCTGAACGAATCGTCGCACCGCTGCGTGATGATCACCGGTGACCATGCGCTGACGGCAATCCACGTCGCGGAGGAGGTCGAGATGGTGGTGCGTGAGCCGATCGTGCTCGACCGTCGCGAGGGCGGCCGGGAGGATGAACTGGTGTGGCGCGATGTCGACGACCGCATTGTGCGCGAGCAGCCGCTGGAAGCTGAACTGCACCGCCACCTGTTCGACGAGTATGATGTGTGTGTGACGGGCGCGGCGCTGCGCCAATTGGAGGAGCGTCCCGAGGCACTGCGTGAGCTGGTGGCCAATACGGTGGTGTACGCACGTGTGTCGCCGAACCAGAAGGAGCTGATTTTGAGTGTGCTGCGCTCGCTGGGCTACATTACACTCATGGCCGGAGACGGCACGAACGATGTGGGTGCGCTCAAGATGGCCAACATTGGCGTGGCGCTTCTGGACGGCTCAGAAGAGGACTTGAAGAAGATGGCGGAGCATCAGCGTTTGGAGCGGATGAAGAAAGCGTACGAGTCGCAGCTGAACTTGATGGCGCGCTGGAACCAGCCGCCGCCGCCGGTGCCTCCGGCACTCAAGACGGCGTTCCCCCAGCTGGAGGAGGCGCGCGCCAAGGCGGCGCGCAAGATGCAGTCGCAGCGCGCGGCGAACCCGGTGGCCAAGTTTGATCTGTCGTCGATCACCTCGACGATGGAGTCGCTCGACGAGGACGATGGGCCGCCGCAGATCCGTCTCGGCGATGCCAGCGTCGCCGCACCGTTTACCAGCAAGCTGGCGAATGTCAAGGCTGTGTGCTCGATCATCCGCCAGGGCCGCTGCACGCTCGTTGCTACGATCCAGATGTACAAGATCCTTGCACTGAACTGTTTGATCCAGGCTTACTCGCTGTCCGTGCTGTACCTGGACGGTATCAAGATGGGCGACTACCAGCTGGCTGTGAGTGGCATGTTGATCTCGGTGTGCTTCTACTGCATCAGCCGTGGCAAGCCCCTCGACCGACTGGCACCTGAGCGCCCGGTAAACAACATTATCAATGTCTATGTGTTTGGCTCTATTATGACGCAGACTTTCCTTCACATTGCTACCATGTTGTACATTCAGCGCACGTCGGTCGCGTTTGAGCACCCGGGTGAGGTCGATCTCGAGGCCAAATACACGCCGACGCTGCTCAACTCGGGCGTGTATCTGCTGAGTCTGTCGCAGACCGTCTCGACTTTTGCCGTGAACTACATTGGCCGCCCGTGGCGCGAGAGCATCCCGGAAAACAAGGCGCTGTACTGGGGCCTGATTGGAGCAAGTGCAATTGCATACCTCGGTGCGCTGGAGCTCATGCCAGAGCTCAACGAGTGGCTGCAGCTGACCAAGATGTCGTCAGAGTACCAGACGCTGCTCGTCAGCGCCATGGCGCTCGACTTTGTCGGCTCGTACGCCCTCGAGGCCTTCTGGAAGCTGTTCGCTGACGTGCGTCCCAAGCCGCTGATCCTGCAAGGGCAGAAGCTGCGTGAGTCGCGGCGCGTGCAGGCCAAGCAGCAGTAAATGTAGTCAGAGCCGTGTATCTACATAGACTACGAGGGCTCGGACCCATCCATCTCACCATCGTTGGTCGCCTGCAACACAAACGCATGGCGGAGGAGTTCATCGGCCGACGGCCGGTCGGCATGATTCAGCTCAAAGGTGGCATTCAAGAAGGAGGCAGCCACCTCCGAAATGTCCGGCGGGAGCGCCGGGGTCTTGTTCATCCCAATTTGGAATAGGGCCTGCATTTGGTCAAGCTGGGGCCAGGGGTGCGTAGCCGTGAACATTTCCACAACACAGCAGCCCAGACTCCAAACGTCAGCTTTGGCAGTGAAGGCTGTTTGCTTCACCACCTCTGGGGCCATCCAAAACACACTGCCCTGAATAGCCGGACGAGATTTGCCTCCAGTCGGACCTGCGAACAGGAGGCCACTCTCCACCTTCTTGCTGATGCCAAAGTCACTAATCTTGACACCGCCTTTGTTATCCACAAGAATGTTGGCACCTTTAATATCTCGGTGCACAATGTCGCGTGCATGTAAAAACGAAAGGCCGCGCAGAATCTGGCGCACAAAGTTCTGGACTAGCGCCTCTTCAAACGCGCCATAGCTCTGTAGCAGTGCCACCACCGAGCCACCCGGCACATATTCGAGAAAAATGTTCAGGTGCTTATCATCGGCGAATGAATCCAGGTATTGTACAATGTTCGGGTGCTGGATCGATTTGAGCAACACAATCTCCGACTCAAGCGACTCGATCATCATGCGGCGATGACGCGTCATCTCATCATCCGAGTGCGGAAGTTCGACCTGTTTTACAGCCATCAGCATACCAGTCTTGGCATTCATGCCCAAGAATACTTTGCCAAACGAGCCGGTGCCGATCAACGCACCCTTATGCCAGCGCATATGCTGCTTTGTGGCGGGCGCCCCACTTGGTGCGAATGTGCCATCAGTTAAGGGGGCCGTCAACTCGGGCGACACAGACGGCGTTGTCACTGTGGGTGGCAGCATTTGCGTCGCCGACACAGTATCAGTTGGCACTGGCAAAGGAGCAGAGGATGGATTACTCCACCGCCCCGAGTCATTTTCGCCGGTATCATGAACAGAAGCACGCTCGAGATCCTGCGTAATCTCATCCAAGGTCACCAGACTCGCATGATCGTCAGTCGGATCTGATTCAATGTCCGGGCCTGATGGCTGAACGTTTGATCGAGGTGCGTACGGCGTCATAGGTACAGACACCCGTTTCTTCGAAGAGCCTTTCGAGTATCGACGCAGTTCGTTCGAATTGGTCGCTGGGAAGTACTCCGCGAGGTGCGAACTAATGAGCTCAGACGATGGGCGCTGTCCAAAAAAGTTGCGCACACGGCGTCGCACATTCGGCAAGGGCCCCGACATATCTGCCGGCTTCGCCTTGCTGCGCGTCGCGGAGTCAGCAGGCAAAGACTCGATCTCCGACAGTTCGCCGCCGCCGAGACCGTTGAGAATGCTAAACGTCGAGGCGCGGCGGGTGATCGGCAGATGACGGAAGGCATCAACAGGTGCTTCCCTTTTGGATCCAGGCCGTAGAGGCTCCTCGTCGGTAGTTCGAAGAAGATATAGACCATGTCGCCACACTGGCTCGTAATTGTGCGGCTGCGAGCACAAGGCCATGAGCTCAATCTCCGATAGCACTTTCAGTTGGTCACCAGCGTCGGTCATAGCAAGCACCCAGCGACGCATGTACTGCGTCGAGTCAGGTTCTGTCAAGCGTCCAAACTTGCGCAGGACCTTGGCAAGAACATCGCTTGCCTGCTTACATTGGCTCACATCTACACTGCGAGATGTGCCGTCCTCTGCAAGGAACTTGATGATGTGCTTGCGAATCACCTCCAGGCTTTGAGGAGTCGCATTCACCGTGCTCACTTCAGAGCGTAACGAATCATCGGGGTCTAACTCGGTACGGCGCAAGTTGTAAGGGGCGCTAATTTGACCGACCCTGGGCTTGTTTACAAAGGCCCCTCGACCCACCGCATACCCAGCTTGTTGAGACTGATTAGACGAAGGCATCGTCACAGGATCCAGAGGCTTGATATTCGTGCTCGGGCCTCGTCCGTGGCTGGAAAGAGGACGTGTTGGTATGCTGTGATTGCTCGCTCCTGAGGCTGTGCTTGGGCGGCGCATTGATTGGTTCCGACCATTCGTTGGAACCTCCAAGTTGTTCATCGAATCTGCACTGGATGGGCGGCTTGTGCTCATACTCGCCGGAGCAGGCGCAAGCGTCATTGGGGTCAACTGGATCGGTGACATGGTTCGTATTGGGGGCGACAGGGGTATTTGGTTGTAGGACTGCGAGGCCGAGGGTAAATTCACATATGATCCCGTACTGGCAGAAGTAGGTATAACGCTGTATGAATGTACAGGTGTAGACGGAGATGGAATAGGGTGGCTAGACAACTGGGGGCTCAACGACATGGTCCGAAGTGAATCCGTCGGCGTATGCCTGTTGAGTAGGCGGATAGCACCTAAGAGACGCAAACGCTCACCAACGGAGGTGATGCCCATCTCCTTGAGTGTTGTGTGGTCTAGCTGTGGCAGAACACTTCCTTGAATATCATTCTCTTCAAATTTGCCCATATGCTGGCTCATGTTAGATTCCTGGAGCCACGCAAGGACATCAGCAGTACTCCATGTATGTACTGGAACATGAGTAACGATGTACCAACCTTCACGATTTAAGTAGTTCCGAATACTGCTGGTTGGTGACACCAGTTGAGTCTCCATACTGCCGGACGAGGCAGCGACTGAGAGACAAACTTCGACCCCGTGTCAAATGTGTAATAGGGTTGTTTGATGATGACAAATCCAACTCGTAGTATCAACGCCCCACACATTCGTTATCGCTCCTACTCCATTATGACACGAACGGCTGCCGATCCTATCCTTCTGTCACTTTTCGCCAACCGTTTTATGGCGGTTGCGGAATCCATGGGACGCTCGTTACAACAAACATCCATTTCTACTAATATCAAGGAGCGCCTTGACTTTTCCTGCGCGATTTTTGCGCCGGACGGATCCCTTATCGCCAATGCACCACACTTGCCTGTGCATCTCGGAAGCATGAGCTTTGCCGTGCAGTACCAGGCTAAAAATCTTCATACACTTGGGAAGGGTTCTTTCAAGCGTGGGGATGTTGTGCTAACCAACCATCCAGTTGCTGGGGGAAGTCATCTGCCGGACATTACGTGCATTACGCCGGTGTTTGCGCCGGACCGCGACGAGATTATATTCTTTACTGCGAGTCGTGGACATCATGCTGATATTGGTGGTATTCTTCCAGGATCCATGCCGCCCACAAGCAAGACACTATTCGAAGAAGGCGCACAAATCCGCTCCTTCAAGATCGTGGCGGAAGGCGTGTATGACCGCGAAGGCCTCGTGCGGCTACTCGTTGAGGAGCCAGCCCGGTACCCTGGTTGCTCAGGAACGCGCTGCTTCCACGATGTGGAAAGCGACCTCCAGGCACAGATCGCCGCGAATCACAAGGGGATCCAGCTGATCAATGACCTCGTGGAAGAATGGGGTTTGGCAACGGTTCAAGAATACATGATCCATATTCGCGACAATGCGGAATTGTCTGTGCGCAACCTGCTGCGCCGAGTTGCACGCGAACAAAGTTCCAAGGAGTTACACGCTATTGACCATATGGACGATGGCTCACCGATCGAACTTCGTGTGACGATTGATCCGGATGCTGGGTCGGCGCTCTTTGACTTCCAAGGGACAGGCCCTGAGGTGAATGCCAATTTCAACTGCCCTAAGTCTGTGGTTCACAGCGCGATTATCTACGCCCTGCGATGCATGGTCTCGGATGACATCCCTCTCAACCAGGGTTGCTTGGCCCCCATTGATGTACGTATTCCAGAGGGATCGCTTTTGAGCCCATCTGAGACAGCGGCTGTCGTGGGTGGCAACGTCTTGACGAGCCAGCGTATCACTGATGTGGTATTCAAAGCGTTCCAGGCTGTGGCAGCAAGTCAGGGTGATTGCAACAACTTGACCTTTGGTACCGGCGGCAACGATGAGCAGGGGCGCCTTATCGAGGGATTCGGCTACTATGAAACCATTGCAGGCGGTTCCGGCGCAGGCCCGTCGTGGCATGGCACGAGCGGTGTCCATACGCACATGACGAACACTCGTATCACCGACCCAGAAATCTTTGAGCGGCGATACCCCGTGTACCTGCGTCAATTTGGCCTCCGTGAAGGTTCCGGCGGCAACGGTCTCTTCCGAGGTGGTGATGGCGTCATCCGTGATATTGAGTTCTTGGAGCCCGGAATTCAAGTAAGTATTCTGTCCGAGCGCCGAGTGTTTCATCCGTACGGCCTTCAAGGTGGTGAAGATGCTCAATGTGGTCTGAACCTGTGGATTAAGCAGCGCCGCGAAGAGGACGGTGATATGAAGGAGCCCGACGAGCAAGGTGCAATCCTACCACGTGTGATCAACATGGGTGGCAAGGCGACTGCGAGATTCGGTGTAGGAGATCGGATCGTCATACACACGCCCGGTGGAGGTGGCTTTGGTGCACCCAGCGATCCTGCCCCAGAGCCTGTGTCGCGACCAGCGCGGGGACCGCATCGAGGAAGCTTGGCCGACTGGCATTCGCTGCAGCTAGGTGCATAGATTATTGATGGCGGCGGATCTTTTCCTGCAAGTCACGGATCTCTTGGGCAACCCGATCTGACGAGGACGCATGAGTCCGTGGCGGCCTCTCCGTAGTCTTTGCTTGGGGCTTATGAGCTTTCTTTGATAAGGGGAAAGGTGAAGGGATATCGTGTGGCTCCCCGTGATCTGATAAGAAGAGCATGTTACGTACCGATAGTCGGATCTTGTGTATTTGCCTGAAAGGGTGGGACAGGTCGACCTTGTACCCTCGAGGGAAGATGGTCCCATTCGTGCAGCATGCGTTCAGTGATGCGGAGAAAGGAAGGGGAGCGGCTCATCTTTTGTTAGCAGATAACGCGCACCCAGCGAGCCATGTATGTCGCAGCATATGCCGTCAGTAGCTGTTCAAGCGCTCTAGACCATCGCGGCATAACGCGAAAGAACTCCACATAGACTCGGGGTCATAAATGATAGGATGGACTATCTACAAAGCTAAGATCCCTGTGCAGCCGCATGAACCAGCATGGACAGGCCATTTAGGACCTTGACGAAATTCTGAAGGTTTCCTCCTTGAGGATTGTCGTCGCTGCCACTGCCTCCCGTCGCAGAGGTTGTGGTGGACGAGCTAGTGGAATCGGCTGAGCCCGAAGAGCTCGTCGAGCTCGTCGAGCTCGTCGAGCTAGCCGAACTAGTCGAGCTAGCCGAACTAGTCGAGCTGGAGACTGAAGAAGACGACGAAGAGCTCGAATTACTAGCACTTTTAGATGCGGAAGCAGACGATGCCGATGAAGCACTGCTTCGGGAGCTAGCCGCAGAGGCACGCGACCTGGACTGCGCAGCAGCCTCTGAGGAGGCAGCTCGCATAGCTGACGCAGACGAGGCTGACGCAGCAGATGCCTTGGACGAGCGCGAAGCATTGGCTTGTGCGTCTGTAGAGTGTGTGGATGACGGTGTGGCAGAGTCCTTGTGGGAGCTCGGAGAAGCATTGTGTGTGGCGCTCGACGAACTTGAACGACGGGAGGTCGATTTGCTGGACGAGGAAGATGAATCGTTCGAACCTCCTTTATCATTGTCATCGCTGTCGTTACTGATGACCCACCAAGTAATTGGAAACACGCCTAGTTTCAAATCGTGAAATTCCTGAAACAAGGACATGCTCATATCGAGAGATCCATGATGGCACTGTTCCGTCTCTGGACATGCATCCATAATAACCGCCCTAGCTGTCTTCAAGCCATTCGCAATCATGATGTGCTGACCGCACCATTTGGACTTAGAGTCAAGATTGCCGTACATTGGCTCATTGAGGGCAACAATATGCATGTCGTTGTCAATGTACTGGCCGCACGCGCCAGCTACCCATGTTTCCACGTCATACCATGTTGCTGTGCCGAAGAAGGATGACCTCTTGCTTAAGGTATGAGACGAGTTGGCTACGGCAACGCCTTGTCCATCAGCCGGATCGAGATACGCAGCCACAGCCGAAACGGCCGCCACCCCCGCCAGCAGCGCACGCATGGGAAACATCAGACACTAGCGAAGGCAGACCAGTTGGGGGCCCCTCATCCAAGCGTCATTCGTGGGGAACGAGCTGCAAGGTATACTCTTGTGCGAAGGAGTTATGCATGCCAAGTAAAGCGACCAATGTCTGTGACTTAACGCACAACTAGGACGTTCGATGGCCATGTGGCACAAGAGCCCCAGGGCACCCGCATTAAAAACAGGTATGCATCTTAACCAATCCGACTTCAGAGATGAAAGAGACGCGTTACATAAACGAATTAAAAAATACTGCGCGCGGGGTTGAGCAAACGGCAGTCTAGGCGCAGGAAATCGACCGAGGAGATGATTACATGATCATGCGTGCAATTGGTGAAATCAGCGCTAGGTGCATGGGTAGTCACACCCCGCATCGTCGTAGCCAATCGAGTAACCGGTGACCTACAATGAGAGCCTGTAATGTGCTTATATAACCAGTGTTTGCGTTGATCGTTTTTGTGTTCGAGGCCAAGGTCTTGGAGCACCCGACGGTACCGGTTCTTTTCTTACCAGTCTCTTTTCATGAAGAGCATCAACCTTCCTACTATCCCGGGCTCGGACCGGATTCGGGGCACTGCCCTAACGATCTTTGTTGCGTTCGTTTGCTCGTGCGGTTTCTTGCTTTTCGGTTATGACCAAGGTGTCATGTCGCTGCTGATTGAGGAGCCCATGCTGGCTTCGACCATGCCCAAAATTGCCAAGTACGAGCCTGATGGCGCTAATACTGCTGATGAATATGCCAGGACGCACCCTAATGATCCTATTCCTTACTTCCCGGATCAGTTCGATTCCAACGTGCAGGGTGCCGTTGTTAGTTGCTACGAGCTTGGTTGTATGGTTGGTTCACTGTTCTTGCTTTGGAAGGGTGATGTGATTGGTCGTCGCTGGAGTGTCGTCATTGGATCTACGATCATGATCATTGGTGTCATCATCATGGTGGCCGATGACACGATTGGTCCCTTCACTGCTGGTCGTGTGATTGCCGGTGTGGGTAACGGTTTTAACACTACGACGATTCCCATGCTCCAGTCGGAGCTGTCGCGCCCGCAGTACCGTGGTCTTCTTGTGTTCATTGAAGGTGCGCTTCTCGCCGGTGGTGTCATGATTTCCTACTGGCTGGACTTTGGTTTCTATTTCCTCAAGTTCAACAGTGTGCAATGGCGATTCCCGATTGCGTTCCAGATTGTCTTTGCTGGTATCCTGATGCTCGGTGTTTTTGTCATGCCTGAGTCGCCACGTTGGCTTGTTAAGCGTGGTCGCATTGAGGAGGCCAATGCGGTGCTCTCGCGTCTGCACGACAAGCCTATGGATGACCCGGCTGTGCAGCAGGAGCTGCATACGCTTGTGGATGCAATTCGCAAGGTGGAGATGGATCTTGGTCCCTTCAAGTATCGCGAGTTGTTGACGAACGGCCCGCAGCAGAACTTCTACCGTCTCGCTCTTGGTTGTGGTGCTCAGTGCATGCAGCAGTGGACTGGTATTAACAACCTGACCTATTATGCTAGTACTGTGTTCAAGATGGTGCAGCCGGACGATGTTGCCTCCCGTCTGCTGGTGTGTGGCAGTGGTGTGCTGTACTTCCTTGCCGCTTCGGTCGCTGTGTTCCTGATTGATGTTGCTGGTCGTCGCACGCTGATGATTTCGTGTGCCTTTGGTATGATGCTTTGCTATGCCATTATTTCGGGTATGGTCTACATGGTGGACCCCTCGACAAGCCCCGACACTCCGCAGAGCTCGCGTGACGTGTACGGTAAGGTGGGTGAGGCCTTCATCTACCTGTACTTCATTCCGTGGTCGTTTGGCTGGCTGGGTATGACTTGGCTGTACCCGCCGGAGATCATGCCGATCCGTATCCGTGCGGCGGGTACGGCGCTGTCGACCTGCACGAACTGGCTGATGAACTTCACTGTCGTCATGATTTCGCCGCCTGCTTTCGAGAACCTGAAGAACCATACCTTCACCATGTTTGGTGCGTTCAACTTTATCTTCATTCCGATCGTGTACATGTTCTACCCCGAAACCAACCGCCGTGGTCTGGAGGAGATGGACCTGTTCTTTGCCGATGCGCACCAGGAGGGCTTCTGGAAGCCGAGTCGCTTTATGACGACGGCTGCCTACCTCTCGATTACTCGCCCATACCTGACCTCGGAGGAGCTTGATGCTATCATTTCGAAGCGCGACGAGATGGAGGCCATCCCTGACAGCGAGGCGAACCCCGAGTTTGCGCAGGGTATGCCGAACGAGCCGAAGGAGATGCCTGTGAACCCTCCGAACCAGGCTTGAATGTTGACTTTCTGAGCCATTGCTGTTCATGTTGTGTTCCTGACCGCTAGAAGCACGGCTCTTTAATTGCTGCCAGTGGTCAGGCGCCCAGAATATTCGATATAGCTCGCGCGGTGGCGCCATACTGTGCGTGCGAAGCTCGCCACGATAGGGGCGCCTTGTGATCGGCCCCATAGATTCTTATGTAATCAAAAGCATGACGCGGCCATTCACGCAGGCATGCATGGTGCGAGTAGCCCATGTCCTTCTGGCCGGCCCGCTATGGACTTTGAGTGGCTCGCCGATGATCCGGTGGACGATGTAGGTGCCGGCAGCGCTAAACGTGCAGGTGGATGTAGGGCCGCTGGAGGACCCAGACGAGGCGCCGCTGCTGGGCGGCGTCCTGCCCTATGCAAATCATTCGCAGGCGCAGTGGGAAGCCGAGGTGCGCCATGTGGCGGCGCGGATCGCTGCGTGTGTCCAGCGGCATGACTGGGGTGCGCCGCTCGTGGTGTGGTGCCAAAATCTGCAGGCACTACAGAGCCTCAAGTACCGGCTGCCGCGCCCGCTACGGGCGCAGCTCGCGCGCCTGCTCTTTGAGCTGGCAGTGATGCCCAAGCTCGATACGTTCTTGACGGACCTTGCAGCATCCTGCTGTATTCGACTCCTGCGCCCCAAGCACGAGATCGACGGGAGCGACTTGCAGCTGCCCTGGCGCGCGCTGTACGAGGCGCTCGAGCGAGAGGTGTTCCACAAGCAGCGCAAGATGAGCACCTCGGCCGTGAGCGGTGTGCTGCTGGACCTCGCCGACGTGTCGCAGCGCTTCTTTTCGGCGGACGAGGCGCCAGCGATGCTGGAGGCGATCCTGCCGCGCATGGACGGCAACGACTTGAACTCGGTCATTGCCACGCAGGCGCTGCTGGTGCACTTTTTGCCGCTTTCGAACCCCGACGCGTGGCTGCCGGTCCTGTTCCGCCTGTGGGACTCGTTCAAGTCGTCGCTCTTCGATGACCAGATGCTTGATGTGCTCGCACGCCTGGCCGAAGAACACGTCATGAGGCCGAGCGAGGCAAGCCGCTGGAGCGAGACGGGCATCTTCACCGAGGCGCAAATGGCCGTGATCATGACGCGGTGCCTGCGCAGCATGGGCCTGCCCATCGGCGCGAACAAGACGGCGAATGCAGCGCTCATGGCGCAGTCGGCGTCGGTGCGCACAGGCGCCGATGCGTCGGCCTCGCAGCAGACGCTGCGTATGAAAAAGCCGAGTGACCGGCTGCACTCGTTTGCGGCGATCCTCGTGTACAGCATGGCCCATGACGCTGACGCGCCCGAGCTCGTGGGCGGCTCCAAAGCGCTCACCCAGCTTGCGCAGCTGGTGCAGGTGACCGAGACGTACTTCCACCCGTCAAACTGGGGCGCGTGGCAGGCGCAGCTCGTGAACCTCGTGCAGCATCTCACCTGGGAGTTCGCGCGCCGCGTGCGTGCCGAAGCACGCAGCGACAGCCGCACGCCGCCAGCATGGCGCCTCACGCCCGCGATCCAGCGCGAGTTTGTGCGCACGCTGCGCACCGTCTCGCTGCTGGGCATGTTCTCCAAGGACCCCCTCACGTCGCTCGCGGCGCAGTCGAGCCTGAAGCGCATGGCATTCCTGGAGCCGGCGCTCATCCTGCCGGCTGTACTGCACCGCGGCTACACGTCGCTCGAGCAGCTGGAGACGACGCAGCGCACGAGCGCAGTGATGGCGACGCTCGCGGCCACGTCCCAAGTGCTCCTGTCGCCCGCCGTGTACGCGCCGGGCGCCAAGCACCTGGCGCCGCTCCTGTACCTGTGCCTGCCCGGCATCGACATGAACGACCCGGTGAAGACGATGAGCACGTGTATGCTGATCCTCAGTGTCACCATGTCGACCTGTGTGTGCGACGGCAGCACAGCCGGCGACGAGGAGATGCCCGGGGGCGCGGCGCGTGTCCCCGTGGACGACGAGGCCACCTCGACGCGCGGCGCCGAGGACTATGCGGCGCGGCTCTCGACCGCCGAGCTCGATGCGTGGACGACCGAGTTTCTGCAGCGCGTGCTGCAGCTCTTCGCCGCCCTGCCCGAGGAGGGCAAGAGCGGCAAGATCGGCGAGAAGCACGAGGAGATGGTGCTCAACCTCCTGATCGCCACGTGCGATGTGTTCTGCAGTGCGCTCGGCGAGGACGCGTACGTGCGGTGCCTCGACCTCGTGCTCGAGTACGCGCGCACGACCGTGGCGGCGAACGCCGTCAAGGCCATGGGCTCGCTGATCGGGTGCTTTGCACGCGCAGACCCGGCACGCGTCCTTGCGCGCGTCGTGCCGCTGGCCTGCGCGCGCATGGCGCAGGAGCTCGAGCACGGTGCGTCGTCCGTGCGGACGACGAGCACGAGTCTGCCGCGGCCGTCCGACACGGCGCTGCACTGGCACATTAGCCTGCTGAGCAGCGCTGTGATCTTTGCAGGGCCCGCGCTGCTCCCGCACGCGGACGAGCTCGTCGCAACGATGGAGCGCCTGGCGCGCTCGTGCCGCACCGAGCGCGGCTACATGCTGAGCGCCAAGCTGCTGCAGCGCGTGCTGCACTCGCTCACGAGCGTGTACGTGGCCGAGCAGCGCAGCCTGAACCCCGACGAGTGGGAGGCCGGCGCCCGTCGTGCGCACCCCCACCGCAGCTTTGGGCGCCTGTACACGCTCGGCGAGGTCCAGGTAACGTGGCATGTGCCGACCGACGCGGAGATCGGCCTGGCGCTGCGCGTCCTGCGGCAGGTCGTCGCGCCCGCGCTGGACGTGCTCGACGCGCGTCTGCACGAGGCGGCGCACGACGACGCCTGGCACAACGACGTGTGCCGCTACCTGCTGTGGGTGCGGCAGGCGCTCGCAGGCCAGGCGGCGCTGGCCGACGATGCACGGCGCGCACAGCCACGGGCCGCCGCCGTTCACACAGACCTCGGCGAGGTGCCCGTCGCGGAGATGCCCGCGCCGCTCGACATGCCGGCCGGCGCGGCGCTGGCGCCGGGCGACGCGCGGTACGACGAGGTGCAGGCGCTGCGGGAGCGGATCGGCGCCACGCTGCAGCGCGCGGCCGCGGTCGTCCCGACGCTCTCGAGCGACCACGTGGACGCAATGAAGCAGGTCGTGCGCGCGCTGCGCCTCTACCTGCTGCCGCACAGCGCGCATGCGGACGAGGTGCACGGCCTGACGAAGGCGGTCGTCTTTGTGCGCACGATCGGGCGGCGCCACGCGCGGCAGCAGCGCTTTCCCCGCCTCGTCTGGCTGCGGCGCGCCATGCTGCACCATGTGCTGCGCCAGCGGCTCCAGGCGCTGTACGTGCCGCGCACCGCGCGCGACGACGAGCTGGTGCGCCGCCTTGTGGAGCTCGCGACGTCGCACTACGTGGCGGTGCGCCGCCTCGCGCAGAGCGCGCTCGACAGCGTGTTTGCGGTGTACGACGGCACACGGCACATGTGCCTCGCGCCGCTCCTCGCGTGCCTGCGCGACGACGCGAGCGACGAGCAGGCGAAGGGCGCGCTGTATGTGCTCGGCACCAAGACGTTCCAGCGCGCCGTCGCGCGGCACGTCTCGTGGGCACGCGACGCGCTCCCGGCGCTGCTGTGCGTGCAGCGCCGCGCGCGGCCGTCCGTCCAGAAGCTCGCGCGCGGCCTCCTGTCCGAGCTCGTGTCGCGGCTGGAGGACCCCGCCGTGCACCGCGCGTACGAGCCGACGGCCGCGCTGGCCGCGGCGGCCGCGGCGCTCGCGCCG